CACGTGATGACCCATCGACGTGGCCATTAGCATGTAAAAGATGACCCCGGCCGGTGTCATCGTCACTGAACAGTGGACGGCTAAACTTGAAAAACGGGAAAATTTAGGGAAATTTCACCTTTCTAATATATAATTTCCCTAGAATTTTAAATTTTTCGTTTTACAAAAAATCCGAGATAGCAGTTTTTTAGCGCCGTTCATTCTGTGTCTACACCCGTTTTCAGATCGACTCTATCATAAAAACTGACGGCCTGACGGCTATTTCCCCCATTCCTTGCATTTCACAATGTTGGTGTATTTAAGAACAAAAATTGACCCCGTGCCACGGCACGTGCAATAGCACGTGCGCCACGTGACCACTGGTGCGACAAGCTGGACTCATCTGCTCACCGGCTGCATTGATTTGGTGTCGCTAGATGAAGTCGTTTCCGCGCCATAGGACCCCCAGTTGGACAATGTCGGATTTTCCCGGAGGTTACCCCATCAAACACGTTTGCACGTGGCACGTGCTTTTCAATCGCCCCATATCTGACCCATACCATGTGGTAGCCGACACCCCGGGGCACAACATATTGGAACATTTTCAAAATCTAACGTGGAAATTTTTTGCAAAATCGATTTGAAAATAATTTTTCGAAATCGCCATAGGCTCAACATGGGGTAACTGTCCGTCACGATTACCCGAAACTGTACCCTATGATTTTTAAATAATTACCCCCAGAAGGTGAGGTGCCAGCCCAAGAACTGACCCTAAAAAAGTGGACAAATATTACTGAACAGATTTTGCGCAAATCGCATTTTTAATTTTTCCCCATGTTAACCCTATGGGAAAATGCACGTGCCGATTACCCCAAAACGGGTTAATTATATTTCAAGCGACCGGTACCAGCCGGTAGCTCCCCCACACGGGACCAAACGCTGAAAATGGCAAGAAAATCTACCGAGCCGTTTCGGCGGCGATCAAAATGACCCAAATCGCGGCAGAAACGCTAAACACCCCCCTAGAGAGGTAGCTCAGGTTGGGATTTTCAATAGAAAATCACAATTCTAAAGAATAGTGATTTGTCTAATTGAAAAGTCCCAACCTTCGGATAGGCCCGGGCAGCGCTTGTCGAACAGCACTGCGGATCCGAAGGTTGGGACTTTAATCGTGAAAAACCGCCCGCCCGCCGCCAAACGCAAACACCGCAAAACGCGCAAAACGCACGCATAAAACGCCAACGCAAACTTCGCAAAAAACAATCGCCCGCCCGCCGAAAACCGCAGAAAAAACGCACAAAATGCCGCAAAAAAAAACGCGCGTCCGCCGCAAAACACAAACACCGCAAAAAACGCAAAACCGCCGCCGCAAAAAAACGCCCGCATCGCCCGCCGCCAACCGCGAAACGCCGCAAAAAAACGGCCGCAGCCGCGAACCGCAAAACGCCGCAAAAACGGCCGCCCGACGCAAACCGCTAAACGCCGCAAAAAAAACGACCGCCCGCCGCCCGCCGCTAACCGCAAATAACGGCGGGCCGCCGGCAACCGCAAAACGCCGCAAAAAAAACGGCCGCCCGCCGCAAACCGCCGCTAAAACGGCCGCCCGCCGCCAAACGCAAACAGCAAAAACACCCGCATCGCCCGCCCGCGTGCCGCCAAACACAAAAACCGCAAAAAAACGCAAACACCGCCGCAAAAACGCCCACAACGCACGCCCGCCCGCCGCCAACCGCAAAAAGCCGCAAAAAACGGCCGCCCGCCGCCAAACGCAAACACCGCCAAAAACGCAAAAACGGCCGCCCGCCGTCAAACGCAAACCCCGAAAAACTCAAACACCGCCGCAAAAAACGCCCGCCGTGGGCAAAACGCAAACACTGACGCATTAAGACAAATATGACGCCTTGCGGCAAATGTGATGCATTCATATCTGCCGTTAAGGCAGCCATACCTCAATCACAGCGCATCCTAATCGTCCCATGTTCGACAAAGATACGCACATTCTGCGATTTGCGGCAAAAATGGCGCTTTGAGACAAACGTGGCGCACTGCAACAAACGTGGCGCACTTGTTCCTGCCGCTTAACAATGCATCCAGCCACCAAATTCTAGCCCAATCGGACTTAAACTGACAAAGTTATGTACATTTGAATATTTCACTATAAAATATCTCCGCCACGAAGGTGCCCATCTTCGCACGTGTGCCACGTGACCACCGGTAGTGCAAGCAGGACTTGTCCCCTCACCGATTGTGCCATTTCAGGCTTCCTGGCTGGTGCTGTTTTCGTGCTATAAGCAGGGGCGGCGCCGCGGGTTTTCGATAGGGGGGGACGGGGACCTGCCTGACCGAAAATCCCAAAAGTAGATACTGATCGTGTATGCAAAAAAAAAAAAACGAGGCACGTTACGCCGCGAAACTTGGTAAAGCCCAAAACACATCGAATGGTGCATCCCGTTTCCAAACTTATCCTAGGACACCTAAGATCGATCACCTTTTCAAGCATCCTTGCCTCTAAATCAAAATTTGCAGTCTTGCCAACTCAAAGCTGGTTTCCTACAAGCCGCGAATTACTTAGGTATGATGAGTAGCAGTGCCAACCATTCTTACGTTTCGTACTTTCAAATTTTCAATCTTACGTCTGGTCAGCTTCATGGCTTCGCCTTCACCATCATATAGTCATGGAGGAAAAGTGGGAATGTCTTCTGCTCTGACAAGTGCGCCAAAACTGCAATATAATTTCAGAATCATGACATCACCACCACCACCTGATCCATATGCAACGGGCAGGGTGCAGCTAATGGCTAGCCGTCAGTGGTCATGTCATCGGTGGTCACTCAAAAGGTCATGCTAGGTCATGGAAGGTCACCAGCCATTATTTGATCACACTTTCTGATGGATTTTACTTACCAAGAGCTTCGCGGGAAAAACGAGCGCATGCATCGTTGAAAAAAAAAAATGAGTGAAAGGGTCTCAGGTCCGGCGACCTTTGCAGGTGAAATGCCCCAGGGTAGGATTCCGATTTTCACAGCCGCTGACGTAAGAAGGGGAGTGGGGGGGGGGTTGGCTCGATTAGACCCCCAGCCGTTCGGCCGCCGACCGAACTTAGTTTTGCAGAAAAAAAACGAGTGCTATCGAACCCCTTGACAAGAGGGAGCCGATGCTACCCAATTATAAGGTCTTGGGCTACTGCGTGCTTTTTTTGGTCCTACCTGTGATCTATCCGAACACTTCTCCCCACAAGTGCTGGGATTAAATGGCATAGATTTCAAATGGTTCCTGTGGTAGAACTGCCATGCTTGAGTTCGACTAATTAGGAATGGAAAATATCCATATAGTAGCGGAAATCTATGGAATTTCAGTAAACTTGGTTTTGTCGGCAATGGGGTCTGGCAGTGGGGTGGGGAGGTAATAACCCTGCCTGGCGCCCCAAAAAGGGGGGGGGGGAGCACGATCCCCGAGGCCCTGCCGATCACCTTATAACTACAGGCATCACAGCTCCACACCTTTTGCAGATGGCCAGGACCCCCTGCGATACATCACAACAGCAATCTTTATTCAGAACCTGCCTTTATTAACCAACGATGCATTAAATGCGACGGATAACTCTACAATGCATTATTATCAACTATTGAACGGGCCTCGCCGATAGGGGGGTACTGTACCCCCCTAACTTTCGATAGCGGGGGACCTGTCCCCCCCGTCCCCCCCGGTGGCGCCGCCCATGGCTATAAGGCCACAAATCGGCAAACACACGGTAATCTGGGAGGTACGCGACTCAAACACGTGGCCACGTGGCACGTGCCGGACCTCTGATTGCTTCACCGTTCACGCCACGTGATGACCCATCGACGTGGCCATCAGCATGTAAAAAATGACCCCGGCCGGTGTCACCGTCTCTGAACAGTGGACGGCTAAACTCGAAAAACGGGAAAATTTAGGGAAATTTCACCTTTCGAATATATAATTTTCCCAGAATTTTAAATTTTTCATTTTACAAAAAATCCGAGATAGCAGTTTTTTAGCCCCCTTCATTCTGTGCCTATACCCGTTTTCAGATCGACCCTATCATAAAAACTGACGACCTGACGGCTATTTCCCCCATTCATTGCATTTCACAATGTTGGTGCATTTAAGAACAAAAATTGACCCCGTGCCACGGCACGTGCAATAGCACGTGCGCCACGTGACCGCTGGTGCAACAAGCTGGACTCATCTGCTCACCGGCTGCGTTGATTTGGTGTCGCTAGGTGGAGTGGTTTCGGAGCCATAGGGCCCCAAGCTGGCCAATGTCGGATTTTCCCGGAGGTTACCCCATCAAACACGTTTGCACGTGGCACGTGCTTTTCAATCGCCCCATATCTGACCCATACCACGTGGTAGCCGACACCCCGGGGCACAACATATTGGAACATTTTCAAAATCTAACGTGGAAATTTTTGGCAAAATCGATTTGAAAATAATTTTTCGATAATGCCATAGGCTCAACATGGGGTAACTGTCCGTCAAGATTACCCGAAATTGTACCCTATGATTTTTAAATAATTAACATCAAAAGGTGAGGTGGCAGGCCGAGATCCGATCCTAAAAATATCAGCAAATATAATTGACGAAATTTTTCGCAAATCGAATTTCCAATTTTCCCCCATGTTAACCCTATGGGAAAATGCACGTGCCGATTACCCCAAAACGGGTTAATTATATTTCAAGCGACCGATGCCAGCCGGTAGCTCCCCGATACGGGACCAAACGCTGAAAATGGCAAAAAATTCTACCGTGCCGTTTTTCTCGGAATCAAAATGTCCTAAATCGCGGCCGAAACGCTAAACACCCCCCTAGAGAGGTAGCTCAGGTTGGGATTTTCAATAGAAAATCACAATTCTAAAGAATAGTGATTGTCTAATTGAAAAGTCCCAACCTTCGGATATATAATCTAAATTGCTGTACTTGAGGACAAGCTTTTGATATGCCTTTTCCCGGGAAACTCTCCCTGCCAGCTCCTTATAATCACCGCCCCCCGGCCTCACTCTGAATGCTGTCGAGTCGGCGCGGGTTGTCGCTGGGAAGCGGCGCCATCTGCTCCTGCCGCAGGCTGTCCACGCTCCGCTGCTCGATGTACATGTCCACGTTGGCGGAGGGTTTGTGGACGAACATGTCGACCAGAGAGCCGTTCACCACCTTCGGCACCATGCTGGTCACCGAGGACAGCGCGTACATCTCCAGACGGTCAATCATGTCCGACGACTCTGACGGAGTAGAAAAGAAACGGACGGCGATTTATCATAGCTCTAACCTTTTACAAAATAAACTTAACGCCAGATCTAAAAGGCAGTTTAAGCATAAAGAAGCGGTGAGAATTAGGTGATGGTGAGCGGTTAAAAGAGCACAATACTAAAACATCGTATGGTTGAGAGACGTACATACATTTCATATCGACAAGCAACATACCACCATCTAGTTGGACTTCCTCCTTCAGGATCTTCTGCTCGCGTTCCTTTTTGTTATTCTGTAGCTCGATTCCCTTCCATTTATTGTGGTGCTTATTTTCGAGAAGTTGAGAAGCCAAGTTCACCAAGTTCTGGGGGGGGGGGGGGATGGAGAGGCAAGATTAGAATCAAAAGTAATGCCGTCATTGAAAGAGTAGTAAGTTGGTGAAAGGCATCGTCCATAACTTATGTGATAGTGCAGTGATTTTCAAGATTAAGACATGTGACATCAACGAAGAAACACAACGAAACCTCAATTGAAATAATGTCAACTGTAAGGGAAATTGGCTCAGCATCATATTTTTTGTTTTATTGCGGGAGACATAATGTTAAAACCGGCTACAGCACCCCACCGCTCGGTAAACGTAACCATATCCACAGCGGCGCGAAGGCGACGGCGACGTACCATGAAGGTGTTGAGCTCCTGTTCGGTCTGGTTGGGCTTCACCACCTCCGGAGCCGTCATGGTGAACAGCAGGTCGGCCAGCACGTGCATCTTGGAGATCTGGCCCTGGGTGGCCAGCCGGAGCGCCGCCTTCGCTGCAGGGGCGCGCAGGGTGTGATACAGTTAAGTTATGGTACGGGCTTACCACATATAGTTTTGGAATGAGGGAGCCATTTCTGAGACATTAGCTTTGCGTTTTTTTTTAGGCTCAGCGATACGGTTCATCACACACACGTTCAATTTTTAAATTTTGAGATTATCGCTATTCATTGCTATCAGTAGGCATAAGGTTTCCGGTTGCAGAGAGCCTACCATCTTCATCCTCCTCCTCTTCTTCCTCCTCTGCTTCCTCATCTTCTTCCTCTTGCTCCGGCTTTTTCAGCGAGCTGAGTGGATTATCGATGGACTTCTCCGGGTTATCAACCATCTTGCTGGCGATCGACACAGCCACCGACTGCTGATCCGGATCGGTGAGGTCCACTCCCCGCAGAATATCGGCGAAAACCTCTGCGGACATGCCGGCGTAGTCCTCCTCTGTGGCGACGGAGGCGGAAGCGGATCAGTAACGGAAAGTCAGAACGCCGAGGGACTTAGAAACAACCGGTAAAGTTCCTCTCTGACTGAATACCAGCACAAGTTCTGTGTCATGTTAGATAATCAGTAGGAGAAAGGACGCCGTCCTAAGGAAATACCGGCAGATCCCACCTACCCAGTCCTCCGATGAAGAAGATGGTCTCGTTGGTGAGAAGCGCTCTCTTCCAGAGCGCTATCTCGTCAAACTCGCACGGACAGAAGTGACTGTAGTCCGTGTCAGCGGAGGTCTTGTGACAGCCCACCTGTCAGCAGGACGGGTCAGAGTGTCAACAGTCACGAGGCGTCCTGTGCCAGACAGGTGACACATGTGGAGTCATTTGGACACTGACAGGCATTACGCCTCACTACTCAACGGACGATATATCTGATTGCGGAGCCGTATCCTTTTAGCTCGGACATGTGCACCTGAGCGGGGACATCTGCATTCCGTATATTTCTGCATCACAATAGGAAATCAGATTATTCGGATAACAGTCCAGCCAGAAAGCTATTATGACCGCAATCCTTCTGCACTTTGCCATCACAATTGACTCGGAATTTCTAATCTGCGATCTCACCATAAACGTTAATTTTCCGCCCAGCACTCTCCCCACGAACTCGGTGCTTCCCCAGTTCACTCTCACCATGAACTCTGGCGGGTCGAGCGGCGGCTGCGCTGTGGTGTTGGGTGTCTGTCCGTGGATTACCATTGCAGCCGGCTGCTGGTTAATGTACAGCTGAAGGCCGGTGAACTCCTGTTCGGAGCCGTTCTGGGCTGGCGGCCTCCAGCGCACACCTGGAGAGGGCACAGGTCACCGGAGGTCAGCGCAGGTCACCAGTGGGTCATCACGGGTCACCAGGAGGTCATCACGGGTCATATTAGGTCACTAAAGTTACATAAAGGTCACCACAGCGCACAGATCAGTAAAGGTTGACCAAAGCTCAGCTAAAACCGTCACAGATCAACACCACACGGTCAGTGATCGCTACGAGATAAATGCGAACTTAAAACAGCTTACACGTATAGTCGATATGCTCAATGTTTACTCTGCACAAATTGTCTGCCTCATCATGTCACAAAAAAGAGTTAGAAGCTCGTCTAACCGATGTTGTTCCAGGTGTTGTTCGGCAGAAGTCCGATCGTCTCGACGCGCCAGAACTTGTTACCGGTGGACACCAGAGCCCCGAGGACCATTCCCTGTAGGTAGATGGCAATACCGGGCGACGCCTCGTCTCCGCCTGCGAATCAGCAATGATTACCATGTCGAACCGTCTAGACACCACCGATTATGCGCAAAACCTTATTCCCGCTAGAAAAGAAATCATTTACACATACACGCACATACGTTTCTGTGCCTAAATTCTTTTGTCATTGATTGAGACTCTCTTCACACATATATAATTTGTGATGCTTTCATCTTGTCATGCTACATTTAAAATTACAGCAGTAACATAAAGACACCAGTTTACCAGTTTAAGCATGTCTTTTAAAACAGATTTAAGCGCGACCTCGTATGGAGCCCTGTCACCTCACAGCTCTGTACCGTTTCCCCTGTAAGCGATGCACGGTAGCGTCCCACCTGTGCTGACGAGATAGCGGTAGGGCAAACCCTCGCGCGGCGTAAACGCGTCCGAGTCGAAGCTGCACCGGTGCCACAGGCTGAACGAGATGCCGTTGGCGCAGGTGGACGGATCGTGCACGCACGTGTCGCCCTCTCTCATGAAGCTCGCATGACGCATACACTGCGGATTGGGGAAAGCTATTAAAGTTCATAGCTGATGATTGACAATGTAAGGTAACAATTATAATTTTATGGTGCTGATCAATTAACATTAGCTCACACGTTTACCACGCCTCCCTCTACGCGATAGAGTGGCCCACTCACCGAGTCTCCGGGCAGTGTGACCGAGGACCGGAACCCGAACGGTCCGTTACCGAGGTCGAACCCTCCTCCGGCGGGCACCACGGACGTGTTGTGTTCGATGGTGCCCCAGTAGTAGTCAGTCGTCACCGGGTACCGTACGTCTGAGGGACAAATCAAACGTGGTTTTAATTTTTGTGATGATGATCTGTGTGAAAAAAGTCGTTAACAAATGACACCATAAAACGGAGATAATTTTATATTTAAAGACACCATACAACATTAAAAATCATAGTCATCGTCATTAACCGGTTAACGGTATCATTCTGATATCTGACTGATTATTAGTGACCACTGGCAACATTAAAGACTAATGGCAGTGACAGCTTATGGTAACTTACCGACCGGCGGCGGCGGCGGAAGCACGATGCCGTCGTACGGGATCGTACCTGAAACACAAACTACACCCGCTCGCAGAGTTAGACTCTGCCTGTGTCGGATGTAAGCGAGTAAAGATGGTATTTACATGACACACGAATACAGCGACACTACATATAGGACGGGGTTGGAAGGTGAGAGGGTGAACGCTGGAGGGTGAGCCGGGCGAGGTATTGGTGAGGAGATGATGTGAGCTTCATTCATCCCATTCATACCGACATAACTTCACACAAAGTTCACAGACACACTGTGTCACAGACACATTAGTCATGACACAATGTCAATGACAAATCAGTTTGTCATTAGAAGCAGGTATGTCAATTTTTCCATCACAGAAGTGATGGCCATCTGTCATGGCTCAGCCTATGACTCTTGCACGGAATATATAGTCTACGACATGGAATGGACAAGATCGAGATTTCCTGTAACTGCCGAGTTTTTGGCGACCTGATGATTTAGTCGTGCGGATTCGCTGTGGTTACTTCCTTTACGAGGATGAAAGTATAGTTACCAGACCTATAACTAATAGGGGAAGGTGGGGCATAACGGGGTACCGGGGCAATATGAGGTGCATTTTATTCTAATCAGGTGCTGTTGTCTGGAATCACTTCTGACAATTAAAACTTCGCTCGTTTGCCGCCCTTTTCCGGTGGACGCCGGCGGGAGGCGGCGTTGCTGAGGATGGTGGGTAAGGTTTTTTTCATGGTGCTGATGTATTTTTCAACATTCGTTTGGTAACTTCCTAGGTGAAAATCCGTTCGAGTAGGTTTGTCATAGTCAGTGAAAGCAATGACTCTCGTCCTAGCCAACCTTTCGCTGCGATAGAAAGTTGCCGGCTGTTTTGATAAACATGAACGATCCTGCTCTATTGCCAATGTCCTTCGGGGGTTAAAACGGGTTTCCGGTAGAGGCGATATGGGGTGGTGAATTTTACCACATTTTACCACATTTACCCCATTTACGTGCCCAGAAGTGCTTTTTTGTTACAGTTAAAACTAGTTGCCTTTATTGCCTTTATTGGCCCACTCACGTTTCATAAATGCATTTAGAGGTGGGGTTGTGTTAAACGTTTCAAACGTTGTCATAATGTTTCTTCATTATAAGTAGGTACACACACAGGCACCGTGTATGTGCCTCATACATATTTTTGCCGAGATAAACTCTTTCATTTTCAGTAGCTTGGATCTTGGTTTAAGCGGCGAGTGCACAGGAACGTGCACCCAGCAGCCTGACACAAGTCCCAGATTTTCACCACGCCTTTTATCGTTTGTCGCAGTCCTCGAATGGAGTCGATGCTGGCGCCGCCACCGACCGTCCACCGCTGCAGCCAGGCGTCGCTCTCCTGAAGAAACTGCATGTGTTCTCCCGCCGTTGCTGATGGAGGCTGGATATCGCGCGTCGCTTTGAGCAGGGGTCGAACCGGGCGGAAGAGTTTAGCACATCGAGCAGGTCGTTGAGGCGCAGCAGGAGAGTAGCAGTCGGGAGTGCAGTGCGCGGGAGCTTGCCGTGGGTCGCATGCAATGTGATTGCTGCTGCTACTGTCCGGCTCATCACCTGTAGGGCATAGCTGACTTTCATTTTTCAAAGCTGTTTGGCCTGATGTGTTTCTGGCTTAGTTTTGGAGCAGCCCGTGGGGAAGAAGCGCATTCCAGTGCGTAGAGTGTTTCTAAATGACTCCAAGATGCTACTTCACCGTCTACTTCAATATCGTATTTCATTAATGCATTTCGTATGCATTTGAAGATGTGAGGCACGTCATACAGAGCAGCAACCTCGTGCCCGTCCACGGTGAACAAGCCGGTTTCCGCAGCTCCGAGCAGTCTGTAGGTCGCCTGGTTGTTCTTTGACATGTCACAAGTTGTAGTTAGCACAGTGAATCCCGCTGTTGTTACACGTTGGACACACTGTGTTAACAGCTGCTGCTGCACAACGGCCTTGGTCGTTCCGGAACTCAGAAAGAAACCGATGGGCTGTTTCCAGCGTTTGGTGACACTGACGCCCCGCACCATCATGACCAAGGCGTCGTCGGCGCAGGCATTGGCGCGGCAGAGAGAGAGAGAGCCATGATCAGTGAAGCCCTCGATGACGTCATCACCCCGCTGGTAGGCCAACCTTGGTTTCAGCTGCATTTCGTCGAACGAAATGATGCACAGCTTGTCCTTGGCACTTGCTCCGGCGAACTTCTCTTTTATGAGAGCCAAGATAGCGTCATGAAAGCCAGGTCGCATCTGTATTTTTTCCATCTTCCTCCGCAGAGTTCGAGGATGGGGAAGGACGTAGCGTTTTTGTAGGAACCGATACGCCCTGGGACCAAGGCCATATATAGCCCTGGGACCCTGAAAGTATAGCGCGAGTGCTCGCACTTCCTCATCTACATCAAATTTTAGACGAATTTCATCGAATTTCATTTAATTTTAGACCAATGTTAAAACTATAATGCAATGAATATGCATAAATGCTTCCGTAACAATGTGTGCTAAAAGTTTCCAATAAAATATACGGTTACCATTTCAAAGTCACAGTCACAACTCATTCGACGATTGTTAAGAAAAAATGTATGAAATGTTAAGAAAATATATGAAAATGTAAACCCACGTGGAAAGAAATTCATCCGCATCCTCCGGATCTCCGGATATTCATCCGGCAAAATCCTTGATTTTTGGTTACACACGTGGCTATGCTAATCGAAGCTCCTGTCCATTCCATGTCGTAGACTATATATTCCGTGACTCTTGGTTGACCGATGGGCTCTTCGACGGACGATACATCAGCGCCGAGACGTAAAAACGCTGCGCCAATGCGATGAAAGCGCCGCTACAGTCCAGCCGATACCCGAAACTTGGCATCTCCTGAAGCCGTCGTGAATCCTTCTGTGGACACTTGGGAGGCTTTGGGGCATCGACTTCCACCATAGGTCAATAGTGGATTTAAATAATAGCATTAGTTAGCGGTTGCTGTATTATAAAATAAAAATAAATGTTTCTGCTAGCGCTCATATGCATCGGTTTTAAATGATCCGACAAACAATTATATTACGTATTACGTAACCAAGGGGAATGGGTGAAATATGTGCTAAATTAGTTTAGGTAATGTTGTATTCTGTTGAAGCGTATTAGCGCTAAAATTACTTACCTCTAAATCCTACTTACCGTATAGCCACAGACCAGAAGCGGGGCGAGTGTCGACTCAGCCCCTCCACTCCTCCTCCGCCGCCTCCTAGCGCAGTCTCACCAGTCGGTCTACTGAGGGTGACTGTCACGGTCCCTCCGTCCAGCCCCGGTCTGTTTTCTGGAAAACCCAGACAACAGACGCACCAGACCCGTGCCGATGGTCCCAAACACGACGAGCCTTCCCATGGCGATCGACGACGGCGTACAATATGCAGATGAAATGCGTTATTTATTGGCATGTGACCGGACGTGCCAACACCGCCTGTCCAGGGCCCACTGTCTTTTACAAAGCTTTGTTATTAACCCTCGCCCATATTGGTGTTTTTCCAGCCGCGAACGTATAAGGGGGGGGGTCCATTGGACCCCTTGCAGTTTCGCCCCTGATCGAGCTAGAGCTTCGCGAAAAAAACGAGCGTGTTGCCCGTGACGAGAGAAAGCCGATGATACCCAAGTTTAAGGTCCTAGGTCATTGGTTGACCTTCCAGGTCAGGTCAATGACCCAAAAGTCGGGAAAATCGGGACCTGTCACTCTGTCAGAACGTCGTAAAATGTGGCTGCTATGAGGTTTTTTCGGGGTGCTGATCACGAATATCATGCTAGTTTTGATCACAGATGATGTCTTCATGCATTTAGACCAGGTCGGGTCAGGTCAGGTCAGGTCAATCAGTAGGGGTCCTGCCGGGTATTCGTAGTAGGTGTCAACCGGCTCTGACAGCTTCGTAACATGTTACGAAGCCACCAAAACTACTTCGTAAATGTTCATATGGTTGCTAAATTCGAATTCAGCTAAAAACTGGCCTAGAAACATGTAAAACTCGAAAAAGTGAACCGAGGTCATCAATGGGCAATGACCTGACCTGACCTTCAGGTGACCTTGACACCTACCCTAATGCATGGGGGGCAACATCATATCACATGTTTGAACGCTTGTAACCACGAAAAGACTGCAAACGCGCGGCTAATGCGAGCCGACATACGCCGAATCGCGATTCCGGCCAAACATGGTCTCGAAAAGTAGGTCACAGGTCAAAGGTCATTTGGGTCAGGGTCATGAAATTTTTTAGGGTAGGTGTAAAATTGATCAACTCGAGGATAAGGAAAGTTTCGTCGCAATCGGCCGCTTTTTACGCGAGTTATTCGCGAAAAACCGAGGGAGGGGGGTCCGTTCGAACCCCTATACGGACGAGGGTTAACTTTATTGCTACAGCTAGCAATTATAATTTTAAGATTGTTTGCGTGATGTTCCGATCGAAAATCTATGCATGAAAAACGATTTCATTTGTAAACGGATTTTGGAGGTGCGAGCTATCGAAGGGAAGCTAATTAGAGAAACGAATGATATAAATTTTACGGAAGCGAAGCTATAACATATAATATCTAGCATGTGCGTTAGGGAATTGATAAACCAGTGGAAACACTATTCAGTAAAAACTTGATAACTACCAGATCTACACCCCGTTTCTTTCGTGCGTTCAGTCTGTGGCCTAAGGACGTGTCGCTGGTCGTTGTGTGAGTGTGTGATTCCAGATATCGATACTCCCACGCTGCCGCTGTTTTGGATACGGTTCAGCGGTAAACAGCACGTCGCCATGAACACAACTAAATCGAACAGAACCTACATCGCCACCGGAACTGCGCATACCACCCCGGGTACCTTCATCACAGCTATGAGTTACGTAATACCAAATTCAGACGTCTGTTTACGTAAATTCCAAACGCGACTGAATAACTAAAATGGAAGATCTCTCACCTCATGAACCCTTGGACTGAATTTGATGATCATTCACAAACATGCACGATTGCACACTTTGAGATTTTCAGAAGATTTTGTTTGTTTGTTTTGTTGGGTTAGGCCCTTTCGGTCCAGTAAGACCATTTCAGAGCCGGGAGGATGATAGGATATAGGGGGAGACATTGGTCTGGGCAGGCACCCTAGTGAGTCGCCGGGGCTGAGCCCGTCCGAAGACAGGCCACACATACCCAAGGCACTCACTGCACCCGGCTACGGGGTGCGCTCCCTCGGGAGCAGCGGTGCCGCTCCAAGGGAGCAGCCCGCATGAGATAAAGTTGCCTGTCCAGTCCGGAGGGGGATTGCGGCGTGGAGGAGGACTTCTGTATCCTGAGGATAGAAGCACGGAACGGTGTTTTCAGAAGAGTAATCGATTGAAGCTATAGGTGGGTAAATCGGTGCATGGGTGGGTAAACGCTAACAAACATTAATCAAAACGGCCGTTCAACCAGCAAAAGAAACCTTGCTTATTGATGCATAAGAATCTATCATTGGAATATGCATCAGATACGCTAACACATAAAACATAACCAAAAAGAAAACGGCTACGGACCGTGCGGGCCAGTATAACTGCAGGCGTCATACTACTAGCGACATCTCTCGGCAGGATTCCAAGAAGTAATCAGCCATGCGGCACAGCGTCACTCTAGGCGCAACACTACTAGCGACATCTACTGTCTAAGATACGAAACTATAGTGTCTTGCGGCGCAGCATGCCACCAGGCGCTATACTACTAGTGACATCTATGGGCAGTAATACAAGCTTGCGGTTTTGCGGCACAGTATAACTTCAGGCGTCATACTGCTAGTGACATCTATGGACAGGAAACTTACTAAGCATTACGTCCTGCGGCACAGCATGACTTCAGGCGTAACACTCCTAGTGACATCTATGGGCAGAAATGGAAATAGCAGGAGGCTATCCGGCACAGCATAACTTCACGCGTAATTCTCGCGGCATCCGGTTCTAGACAATTGCTGGCTATACGTAATGCCTAGTACAATAATGAACGTAAATCCGGAGTAATTAAATTCTCTTTTGTTCATTGGAGAGCTGACAATGATTTGACCCAATCGTAGGTTCGGCCACATGTCACCCGTTTATATTAACAAATCGTTTCGGCCATTTCAGCTGGCTCAGCGGACAATAGATCAGGCCGAGCCCAGACAAAAAATACTCGTTTGGTGAGGTTGGAGATAAAGTGCGCATACCATCGACAAGATATGCGGAAACGCATTAAATGCTTGTTACAAAAAACTATAATCTACGGTTTAGTAAGCCAATACGTGGCTGAATATGGACTGATGGCTACGCATGAATGCATAATTTGATGCACATTAAATTTAACACAAATCAACGTCATACAAACACATAGAACGATTTCACCTTTTCTAGGAAACATCTTGTATTATTCCAATGACCACGCTTTGTTTGACATGAAATAACACACGTGACTGACAGACTGAAACGCATACTTGGGGCGGACAGCTGCCCCGCACACAGCAGTGCTATAGAACGGCACGTGACAACTGATCGAAAAATACCCTCCCTGTCCCCCCCCCCCCCCACCCGGACCGATCTCTGAGCTCAGAGAACGGTTTCCATGATCGCCTCCTCGCCACCATGAAAGCAGGACGATCGCACCTCGGTCAACAACATCCATCCAACATCTCCACCGTCGAGCAGTCGACTGTACTGACAACTCTAGGCACCCCAACGACCCTTTCAAGACTATGCCAGCGTGCATTCGCGCTAGCGGCGGACTCTCACCGGCCAGCGCCGGACTCCACGCCTCCGCCGACCGTCAGGTCAGATTACCGCGCCGTCCCTGAAGGCGGACACCATCAGCGCCGTATTCCCGGCCGTCCGCGGCTCACCGCTCAGCAGTCGGTGGCCTTGAAGTGGTCGTCGTCGGTGGTGTTGTAGATGTGTCCCTCGTTGCTGAGGAACTCCATGATGCGGTCGATCTCGGGCCGCGGCACCTTGCCCGTCAGCGAGCCGTACACCTGGTCGCGGTGCACGCCCTGGTCGCCGACGGCCGCGTGGATCGCCGAGTAGACCATCTGCTGCTGCGGGGTGAGACCCACGATCCCGCCGCCGGTCACCATCGGCACGTCGGCGCCGCCGCCGCCGCCCACCATCGAGTTGGTCAGCCCGGTGCCGCCGCCGCCGCCGTTCGCAGCGCCTCCGCCGGCCGACAGCGCGGCCACGTGCGCGATGGTGAGCGCCGCGTGCTGCACCTCCAGCCGGTGGATCAGCTCCTCCTCGGGCGTCACCGCCTCCAGGTGGAAGCACATGATGTTGGTCGAGCCGGCGCCGCCCTTGCTGGGGCCGGGCCGCACGCGCACCACCATGCGCACCAGCATGCCCTCGGCCAGGTCCGAGTCGGGCTCGGGGCCGGCCTCGGCGTCGATCCAGCGCAGCGCCGTTAGGGTGCCCGTCTCGTCGGCCAGGGTGTAGGAGACCTTGGTGCCGCCTCGGTCGATGGTCTCCAGCCGACCCACCAGCACTGCCATGTGCACCTCAGCACCGGACACACGCAGTGGCTGGTCCTGGGGCGTGGCCAGCACTGTGGCCACAGCCACAGGCACTACTGACTGGATACGATCCTGGCGCTTCTCTGTGGAGCCAGCACTGGGTGAACCAAACTGGCCGGGTGACTGCATGAACCCACCACCCTGGGCAGGCTTCTCAGTACTACTCCACATGGTCTACAGCAGGAAACAGCCTGGAACGAGAGCAGATTAGATATATGTAATATCATACTCACACTAGCCATGGGTATTAAAATGGGCAGGGCAGGAAGAAATTGAAAATAAGAAAAAAACATGCTTTATCTGAATGGCAAGATTGAGATAATCAGTAGGCGGAACTATGGTCAAGCGTACCCATTTTCGGGAACGCATTTTCGTTCCCATGTTTGGGAACGATAAACCCAAATATGGGAACGCCATGTAGGCATTATTTAAAACAAGAAAAAGAACTCTTAAATGACGTCCAAAAAATATAAAACGATCGTGAACCGCCTGATAGTTGTCTCAATATTGTTGGGAAAGAGTTTGATATTGTAAGGCCCATCGTAGTTTCAAATCGTTCCCCTATTTCTAAAGCAGTCCATCACCCGGGCCGCGAGCCCAAATTTGGGAACGCTCTCGTACACTGGCGCTGCAAGCGTTCCTTATTATGGGAACGGCGTACCCAAAATTGGGAACGATTTCACCGAAGCCTTTCAGGGGCTCTTTTCATTAACAAGCATCACGTCCAACGCCGCAAATTATTGTTAACGCAACAATCATCAGATGACCTTTCCCGCAAGACCGTTGCATGTTTCGCCCGGTCTTCTGCGCTTTTATTCCCGTCGATCTCGCAGCGGGCACGCCCCCCTCTGCAGGATTACGTAATCCACAACGCTCAGCGATGTTCAACAAGGTCTTCCATACCTATATCCACCGTCCGCGCCGAGGGTGGAGACATGTCAAGCACCTGTCTGCTAATCACCGAGAGTTGACGAGCACAAGAAGTATCCAAAAATGGGAACGCTGAATATGTTACACCCTCAAAACACCTAGTCCCAATGAAAATCTAGTTTTTTCCTTTCTTAATGAGTGTAAGTGGCAAAAGGCCTGGTAGGATGGGCACGAGGTATGATCGAAATCAGCATAAAAATTATAAATAAGCCACACAGAGCGACCTATATCAGAGAAATTCCCCCAAACGATCATGCTTAGAAACGCCGAAGACAAAAACCACGCTCATGACGCTGCTTATAAAACAACGCTAAACAGCTAGCATCCAAATAAAATATGTCTTTCAGGGCTGATAAAATACAGCTGAATGATTTTAAACCACTGAAACTGAGTTTACAACAGTAGTTCGGTAAAATCACTGACGTTCCACGCGGTCGATCGCCCCGACACCAAAAGTCAACAATATTACCTCGGGACTGTCCGCGTGTTCGCTTGCATATGTCAGCATCTGGTGTCGCTAGAATGAAACTTCATAACCAGGCGAAAATTATTATACTTGACCTCAAAATGTAAAAAATGCTTCATTTTCCTTAAAATTGCATGTTAAATGTCGTATAACCCATATTTCCACCATTCTGTCATTTTTAAAAAATCATTAAAAATATCATTCCACGGTCAATTTCCTTGTTCCACGGTCAGATTAAAGACAACTTTATGGAGATTTAGTAGATACTTAAATCAGCGTGCACTTTTTTGAGACGTGATGCACTTTTGAGTTTTAGTGGGCGAACGGCCGAAAAATTGCCTTCCGTTCTCATAAATGGGAACGCCCGTTCCCATATTTGGGAACTCCGTTCCCAAAAATGGGAACGTTCCTATATTTGGGTACTCATGACCATAGTTCCGCCTACTGTAATGGCACACAGCAACAGCAGTCCTGGAAAAAAGGAGGAGCACACCATCCTTAATGAGCTAGGACCTAAAAGAAAACACTGTTGGGGTGCCATATGATTATAAAATGGTAGAATATGAATAATCTTTCAAGATGAAAAGCATCCGGCATGAAACATCCAACAGGCCAACTCAATACGGTCCGTGGCACCATAATTGCATAGCAATATAGCCAGATCTGCAAAATCAAATGGTTGAATTCTAGTTCAAGCTTCCAATGATGATAAGTACAGTACTCACCACCAATGTATAAATAAATTGATGAGGTAACAACGTAATGGTACTGTCGGCCGCAACAGTACAAAATTCACAAGTATTTCTGCGACAACAAGAGACGAACGAGAGACAACACGCAACACGCAATGTCCAATCCCGCCAAAAGAGATAGAGGGATTCTGCTTCCATATGAAGTGTTTTACGCATAGCTGCTTGAAATGCACCTTTCTAGTTATTTTTAACACAATGTAGAATGGTTGCATCAGAAAATTTAAAGAATGATTAAGATATTTGTTTTATCATAATAAAAAAATTATGAAAACGTTTGGGTGAATAATTATAATTTATTTCTGAAATCGAAATTTCGTAGGGAAAAGTTCAGATTAGGGAATTTATCTAATATGGCAGGTAATCGTCAAGAGAGCGTTTGCTACGCGCTTGCGACATGATAAAAGAGCATTCCTGCGTCGAAAAATTACAAGCAAGGCCATATATATTACAAGGCTTGGTGGGAGGTGGTATTTTGAGGTGGGTGATTGGTGAAGGAATAATTTCAATTTGCATGTATTCTAATTGGTTATTTTGATTTTTAAGTGAGTGTTCTTATATGCTAACTAGTAACCATTGCTGGTGAATGTTACAGTTAGATGTTTCACGGTTCACCTAGTCGCTACTCACTCGCTTGTTCTTGTTCTTGTCGGATTAGGCTACTCACTCGCAGTTGCTTAGGTGCTCACTCAGGATGCTTGGATTTTAATTTCGATGTGGCCTGGGATGGTTGAATGGATGATCCATGAGTCACTCTTTGAGTGACCAACACAAGCTTTGCCAATTTATGTATACTGAGGCTCTACACAGTTACGCATACCCTAAGGGCCTAGGCAGTTGGGTGTAATTTCAATAACATGCTGCTGGTTTTTCTGTTTATCTGAGTAGTTTGTCAGCATTTCCTTCCTGTCATTGGTGATCCTGATCATTTCATCATACATGACTTACACTAAATGGGAGCCAGAAATTGAAATTGTTGTGTATCGAGTGGTCAGTACTTTCCTTATTCTGCTACTTCCGATTGTACTTCATGCTTTTGGCTGACTCCAAAGACTCCTTTTTACTCAGAACGTTTCTTCCATACTACACAAGGCCAAGAACAACAACTTCCAAGGTTCTCCATATGAGGCACACTCTCTAAATCCAGGCAGAGTAAATGACGTCACAAGAGACATCATCCTAATACACAACACTCCTCCCCACTAAACAACACTTTACAGGTTCATGCGCACTACAGGTTTACGCTCACGCTGGGGATGAGTGCGCAGTTCTGGGGTCTTCCGGATGACGTCCGCTGGACGTGCCCTAGGACCTACAGTCTCTTGTTCAGTGTTCGCCTTCGCTGCTGACGCTGCTTCAGGTGACTGTGTTGCAGCGATCCCATCTTCCTCCAGCACGAGCCCGCGGTTACCGGTTGAAGTTACCGACTGTTCCACAGCGCTATGCAGTGGCGGTCCATGTTCCCGCTGCACCGCTGGTGCGTCTTGCGCTGGGAGATTGCAGTGCTCAGACGGATTGATCTCCTGCCGCAGATTAGTCACTGGAGGTCGGACACCTGGCAGACAGACAATCTGATCGATGTGTCGACGCCACACTTCGTCTTGCACTTGGACTAGGTAGTGTTTACTGCCTTGTCGTTCGATGACGTCTCCCTCCCTCCATTTCTGTGCACCTCGGTAGTCGCGGACCAGGACTGATTCGCCGACTTCGAGCGTTCTGTCGGTTCCCTTCTGTGATCTTTCTACTTGTTCCTGTTGCTTCTCTCGAACTTCACTTGCGAGGTTGGGCTTCAGGAGGTCCAGGCAGTTTCGTAGCGGCCTGCCCAGCATCAACTCCGCCAGTGTACGTCCTGTTGACGCTTGTGGCGTACTGCGGTACGCCATCAGGAAGTTCGGGATGTTGACCTTCTTGCCTTTTGAGGCCTTCAGCAGGTTCTTCAGACAACCCACTGCTCTTTCCGCAGCTCCGTTAGTGGACGGCTTGTACGGCGCTGTGACACTGTGCTTGATTCCGTTCCTCTCCAAGAACCCTTCGAAGTCCTTGCTGACGAGTTGTGGACCATTATTCGTGACCAGTTGGTGAGGCAGTCCCCACCTAGCGAACAGGTTCAGCAGGTATTCAATCGTCTTCTCTGTTGTGATGGTCTTCATTGGAGCGATTTCCATCCACTTCGAGTAGCTGTCGATGACAACCACGTAGAATCTACCTTCCACAGGACCAGCGAAATCTAGATGTATCCGTTGCCAGGGTCCCTTGGCATACTCCCATGGGTGGAGATCTCCGCTTGGTGGCTCTGCTCGCTTTTGCCAGCAGCCTTCGCAGTTCCGGACTTCCGCCTCGATCTGCTTGTCCATGTTCGGCCACCAGACGTGCATCCTTCCGAGCTGCTTCATCTTCACCATTCCTTGATGTCCGGCATGCAGCTCGCTCAGCACTCTGGATCTCAGGTTCGGCGGAACCACGACGCGACATCCCCACATTAGACATCCGCGCTCCACGGTCAGTTCGGTTTGCCTCATCTTGAATGGTTGTAGCTCTTCATTTACGGCTTCTGACCAGCCGTTGTGCACGAAGTGCATCACCTTCGCCAGGATTGGGCTTCTGGCCGTCTCTCGTTGAATCGCTGCGGCCGTCACCGGACTTAGCGACTCCAGTTGTCCGATCAGACAGACAGTGCACTCGTCTTCTGGTGCTTCTGACTTCAGCACTGAGCCTTCTCTCGGTAGACGTGAGAGCCAATCAGCTACTGGAATCTGTTCCGACTTCCTGACTTCCACAGAGAAATCGTACTCCGCCAACTTCATCGCCCATCTCTGGATCCGTGAGGCAGCCAACGTCGGCAGCGGCGCCTTAGGTCCAAAGACGTGAGCTAGCGGCTTGTTGTCCGTTACGAGCTTGAAATGGCGCCCGTACAGGAACTGCTTCAGTCGCTGAAATGCCCAGACTACACAGAGTCCTTCCCTTTCTATCTGAGAGTATTTCCGCTCGTGTTCACTCAGCGATCTTGACACGTACATGATCGGCCGCTCATCCTTCCCTTGAACGAGTACGGCGCCTAGTCCTTCTGGACTAGCGTCCGTGATCACCGTCACCTGCTCCGTCACGTCGAAATGACGCAGCACTTCCGTTGATGACAGCTGTCTCTTGATGCTGTTGAAGCTGGCTTCACACTCTGCAGTCCACTTCCATTCGCTGTCTTTCTTCAGGAGTTCATTCAACGGCCTTGCTGTCTTCGAGAGGTTCTTCAGGAAGCGGTTGTAGAACGTGACAGCACCGAGAAACTCACGAACTTCTTTCTGGTTGGTGGGTGCTCTTGCGTTCAGCACGGCTTTCACACGTTCTGGATCTGTTCTGATGCCCTCGGCTCCTAGCCTGAGCCCTAGGTACCGGACTTCCTTTGTCAGAAACTGACATTTCTCCTTTTTCAGACGCAGACCATGTGACTTCATGATCTGCATCACTTCGTCCAGTCGCTTCAGTGCTTCTTCTTCAGTTCTTCCTGTGATGAGCATATCATCCAACAGACACTTCACTCCAGGCACATTCTTGAGGATTCTGTCCATTTCCCTCTGGAAGAGCATTGGACTTGACTTCACCCCGTATGGTAGTCGCAGCATACGGTGCATCCCCCATGGTGTGTTGAGAACACAGTACTCCTGGCTTTCTGTGCTGAGGGGCATCTGCAGATACGCTTGGGAGAGGTCAATCACTGAGATGTATCGAACCTGTCCCACTGTTGCAAAAATGTCCTCCATCTTCGGCAGCGGGTGCTTCGGCACTTCCAGGTTTGGGTTCAGCGTTACCTTGAAATCTCCACAGAGCCTTACTGATCCGTCCGGCTTTGGCACGACTACGAGAGGCGTGGCCCACTTCGGCGTTGCATCCTCTGACGTCAGTTCTTTTGTCACTCCAAGTTCCACCCATTTTGACAACTCTTGCTTCACTTTGTCCGCGAGACCATATGGCACAGGTCGTGGTGGCTGGAACACTGGTTTGGCATCCTCTTTCAGCTCTAGATGAGCTTCAGTGTTCTTCATCTGACCCAGCGTACCATCAAACAGCTCTTCATTCCTCTGCAGAACATCTTCCAGCTTCCAACGCATTGTCTTCTGAGATTGCATACTTCCCACCAGCTGTTCCCAGTCCAGTCTGATTTCTTTCAGCCAGTTACGTCCCAGTAGTGGAGGTCCATCTCCTTCCACCACATGCACTTCCAGTTCCTTCTGGTTTCCTTGGTACACTACTTCTGCATCTGTGACACCCAGCACAGGGATCTTGTGCCCTGTATATGAGGTCAGACGACATCCAGCTTTCCGCAGACTCAGTCCAGGAAGCACACTGTCTGGCATCAACGTCACTGGGCATCCTGTGTCAACCAGGAATTCCACATCCTTGCCATTTACGGACATGCTCACCTTGATCGCCTTTGACTTCTCCCTGCTTGCTTGATACACACAATAGTTGTCTTCCTCGTCATCTTCTACTTTGTCACCTTCATTACAGTTCACCCTCACTCTCTCTTCAGCACTCGGGTTCCTGCACGCAGCTTGGAGATGACCCGGCTTTGAACAGTTGTTACATCTGACATGTTTCGGCACTCTGCAGTCTTTTATCAGATGGTTACCTTTGCCACATCTGAAGCATTTCCTTTCATCTTCCCTTTGACTGCTTTGCATCATCTTACCTCTTGCATTTTTCATCTGGTTTTGCTGCCCTCTCACAGCTTCATCCTTCTTTGGCTTTCTTTCTGCCTGCTTCCAGTTGACCTTGTTCACCTTTTCATCTTTCCTTGATGCTCCTTCCTCTGACACTTCCATCTTCCGAGCTTGCTCTCGAACAGTGGCATCTGTCGACCATATAGAGATGGCTTTGGTTAGAGTCAGCTTTTCTTCCTTAAGCATGCTCTCCTTTACTCTGGATGAGGGACATGTTGCAACCAGCTTATCTCTCACCAGGTTATCCACTTCATTGACATCAAAGTCACACTTCCGAGCTTGAGTTTTCAGCTTTGCTACGTATCCTTCCACTCTTCCGCCTTCGTACACCATTGTGTTGAAGTGATGTCGCTCAACTACTGCGTTTACTTTTGGCTTGAAGTGCTTCTCCAGCTGATCTTTCAACTTTTCATATGCATTTGTCCCTTCCCCCTCTGGCAAAGTATCGATAATACCTTGAACATCAGGTCCGAGAAGGTGCAGAACAATATTGACTTTCTGAGAAGCAGTTTTCACATCAATTGCACCCATGTAAATTTCCACTGATTTGATCCATGTCATGAAGTTTTCACCTTCCTTGATACTTGGTGGTGGAGGCAGACTAACAGCCATAATTCAGAAAATATCCAAATCGACAAATACTGGCGCACTTCCAACTCGAGATATGCCCTTAACCTTGAAATGCGACAAACTTTGGCGCGACACGTGCTGCGCCTTACAGATGCGTCTTCGGGACTTTAAATCGCGTATTTTACCTTCGTCGCCATTTTGTTGTGTATCGAGTGGTCAGTACTTTCCTTATTCTGCTACTTCCGATTGTACTTCATGCTTTTGGCTGACTCCAAAGACTCCTTTTTACTCAGAACGTTTCTTCCATACTACACAAGGCCAAGAACAACAACTTCCAAGGTTCTCCATATGAGGCACACTCTCTAAATCCAGGCAGAGTAAATGACGTCACAAGAGACATCATCCTAATACACAACAGAAATGTTCGCAGGCTGGCAGTCAGCTCAGAAAAATAGAAGCAATAGTGCCCCAGTGTTTTGCTTTGTTGCAGAAACTCTAACTGTGATGCTGAAAAGCAATTTATGTAAACTAAGTCCTAATTATCAAATGCAGTCAAATGGATAAAGTGCCCATTGCCTTTCAATGATAATGAAGTTGCTCTGATTTAATGCTGCTTCTTGTGACCTACCTTAATATTCCTGGCAGAATGATTTGTAATAATCATTGTCATTAAGTGGGGCTTTAGGTCATCTTATATACTTCTACTCATGTTGATAAATTAATGTCATTGTCATTATAAGCAGCCAGTCTCAGTCAGTCTCAGTCTGATGACTGATCTCCCCTAGTTGGAAATAGCTTGATTTAGCCTCTGAATTGACATTGAGATGTCATTGGATCCATTACCAAACTTTTTCTAGCTTTATACTTTATGTGAGGTTTGTGACAATATCCTGTAGTTTTTATTGGATTTTGAGCCCAGGGTGCAAAAGGTGGTTTACTCTGAATGGTGATATAACGGTGCTAGTTTTGGTTGGTGGTAGCCGGTAGGGTAGCATGGGCAGGTGCAGTCATTGTGTTGGATCATGCACTGCACTGTCAATATAGATACCTTAGACAGATGCTCAGCTCTCAGCTACACAGTGGACAAGAATGACTGTGGCTGTATGATGTGGATTTTGTTGGTATGTGAATTGGTATCTTTTATCCTGTCTCCTAATTTTTATATTGTCAAATCAGATACCTGGAACTTCCAATGCTATGTTTGAGGTCAGAGGAAGCACAATAACCTCAGGTTGACATCAGCTGTCTTCATCAACTGATCCATTCAAATCATAAAAAGACTACAAAAAGTTGCTGGCACAAACTCAACTCTCATCATAAAACCAGCTTGCCTAAGCATTTCGAAAATCAGTGCCTAGTGATTCCCCAAAGCAACAACCATTCCACAATGAAATATTATCCTTCGATCCTTATGTGCTAAGCCACTGTATTCCTTTGTATCGACAGGTATCACTTTGGAGGCAAATCTCAAACATGAATTTCATGAACATTCGCGATGGTCAGTACACAATGACCATATACCAGAAGATCCGGGACGGTCAGTACAAGGAGTCCGTTCAGATGTTAACCGCCATCCTGGACACGTACCCGACGTCTCGCGCGGCGCTATCGCTGCTCGGCTACTGCCACTTCTACCAGCAGGAGTTTGACGCTGCGGCCGAGTACTACGGCCGGCTGGTGCAGCTGTTCCCAGAGTACGAGGACTACCGGCTCTACTACTCGCAGGCGCTCTACCAGGCGTGCCGCTATGAGGAGGCCATGAAGGAGACGAGTCAGATCGACAACCCCGAGTACGCGGCGCGGGTGACCAAGCTGCAGGCGGCCATCAAGTACGGCCAGGAGGACCTGGCCGGTGCCAAGAGCATGGTGGAGCAGTGTCCGTCGGACGACCCGGACACCACCATCAACCACGCCTGCCTGCTCTTCAAGGACGAGCGCTACGACGAGGCGTGCAGCAAGTTCACGCACGCCCAGCAGGTGGTGGGCTACATGCCGCACCTGTCCTACAACATCGCCCTCTGCCACTACAAGCTGAAACACTACGCGCCGGCGCTGAAGGCGATCGCTGACATCATCCAGCAGGGGATCCAGCAGTACCCCGAGCTGAGTGTCGGGATGACCACAGAGGGTCTGGAGGTGCGCAGCGTCGGCAACACGCTCACCCTGCACGAGACCGCGCTGGTGGAGGCCTTCAACCTCAAGGCGGCCGTCGAGTACCAGCTGAAAAACTTTGATTCCGCGCGGGAGGCACTCACAGACATGCCTCCCAGGCTTGAGGAAGAGCTGGACGCCGTCACGCTCCACAACCAGGCCATCATGAACATGGATGAGAAGGCGTCGGACGGCTTCCAGAAGCTGCAGTAGGGGAAAGTGGGGTAAGACGGTCAGGGTAGGTAAGACGGGCACCCCTTCTGCAGACCAAACCAATAGCGCTACGAGCAAGAAAAGTTAGGACCAGAATTGCCTTTCCCACTACACACCACCATTCAAGTCTGGTGAATTTGTGTTCAGTCGATAATCTTTTATTTTGATTTCTTTAAAACACTCATTTCATTGAAAACATCCATAATGTATTGTGCAAGCTTTTGTGTACAGCACTATAGAGTTAAAAACTCGCAATCACTTGTGGTACACTCATATGCCAACAGTGTTCATTTACGGCGGATTTGCTTTGTCTGCATCAAATTGTCCACAGCGAAAAATCGTGCTGAACTTCTGACATTGAGTTTGGGGTAAGACGGGCAACTATGAACCCAATGGGTCTGTAATGGTGAAAATATTTTTGTTGCTGTAGGAAAAAAGAAGCATTTCTAATAAGAATATGTTCGATTCCGATACTCACAGACATGTTAGCAATATTCCTTCGGCACAGTTTATTCTCGAATAATGAATGTGAAAAACGGTTCTACATGGCTTCTGAACTAGGGCCTATATAGGAGCATACGCCTTCTGCACGAATCTCGTATACTGCCATTTCCGAAGCACTTGAGACCAACGAGCGACTGTATAAATGCGGCTAATCTCGGGCATTTGTTGCGAGCTGCGCTGATCGGTGAAAGAAGCTGGCCGTCTTGCCCTACCCATGTGACCGTCTTACCCCATGGGGTGGGGTAAGACGGGTTTTTGCAAGGTTTTGCAAAAATAGCTGCAGTTTATTTGTTGAATCAGGTCTAAGTCTCATCTTCTGGCAAATGAAAGTAAAATGTCTGAAAAAGGTTTTCACCCAGTTTCCCGTTTCTATGATGTTTCTAACCGGCCGAAAAATGGCTCCAAAGTTAAGGTGCCCGTCTTACCCCACTTTCCCCTACCTGCTCATGCAGAACCCGTTCCCTCCGGAGACGTTCGGCAACCTGCTGCTGCTCTACTGCAAGTACGAGTACTACGACCTGGCCGCAGACGTTTTGGCGGAGAACGCTGACCTCACCTACCGCTACCTGACGCCGTACCTGTACGACTTCCTGGACGCCGTCATCACCGAGCAGACCTCCATCGAGGAGGCGTACAGAAAGTTCGACGAGATCAGCACTAAGCACACGGAGCAGCTGCGGAAGCTGACCAAACAGGTGCAGGACGCGCGGGCCAAGCAGGACGAGGCGTCCATCAAGCGCGCGCTGAACGAGTACGAGGAGTCGCTCGAGCGCTACATCCCGGTACTGATGGCGCAGGCCAAGATCTACTGGGACCTGGAGAACTACCCGCAGGTCGAGAAGATCTTCCGCAAGTCGGTCGAGTTCTGCTCAGACTCGGACGTCTGGAAACTGAACGTCGCACACGTCCTCTTCATGCAGGAGAACAAGTTCAAAGAGGCGACCGGCTTCTACGAGCCGATCGTGAAGAAGCACTACGACAACATCCTGGACGTGTCGGCAATCGTGCTGGCCAACCTGTGCGTCTCCTACATCATGACCTCGCAGAACGAGGAAGCCGAGGAACTGATGCGGAAGATCGAGAAGGAGGAGGAATCTCTGGCGTTCGAAGATCCCGAGAAGAAGATATTCCACCTGTGTATTGTGAATCTCGTCATTGGCACGCTGTATTGTGGCAAAGGTAACTACGAGTTCGGTATCTCTCGCGTGATCAAGTCGCTGGAGCCGTACCAGAAGAAGCTGGGCACGGATACCTGGTACTACGCCAAGCGCTGCTTCCTCAGTCTGTTCGAGATGCTCGCCAAGAACATGATCACGGTGAACGACAAGACGCTGGACGAGTGCATCCAGTTCCTGGAGAACTGCGAGGCCTTCGGCAAGAATATCAAGACGACGATCGAGGCGCCGCTGGCTGAGACCAACCTGCATCCAGGAAAGAACACCGTCACCTACGAGTCGCGTCTGCTGCGCGCGCTCTTCATGGAGTACATGATGAACTGAGGCGCTGAACTGAAGCGCTGTGATGAACTGGAGAGCTGGGCGAGTGATGGATCTGATTCGTGTTTGTTTCGTGGTCGCACGATTATTTTTGTTTATGGTTTGTTTCACTGCGAAGCGACCTTTCTGTCTTTTGTGTGTGATACTGAGCTTCGTCCGTGCTGTTTATAGTCCGATTCACTGTCATTCACTTTACTTGTTTATAATCTAGTCAGGCAGGGTTTTGTCGGTGGTCGATCGCTGTGAAAGTGGTGGCTCGTGGTCCAATGATACGCACATTCCGTCCAGACATGCTGTGCGGCGTTGAGAAGCTGAGTCTCACTCCTTGTCACTTCATTCATTGATCTCGATACGATCTCAATGTCAATTTACGCGTATCTACAGCGCGCACAAAGCTGCCGTCGATATGCTAGTCTTCAATGTCGTTAACCGCTTCGTTTGTTTAAAATATCGAAAAATAAAATGCACAAACACTGGCATAACTATGAACACCGTCTATTTGTTCATGGTGAAAGTAACAGCTTTGGAGGCAGTGGTTGGAATAACACGACGAAGTTGCTTTACGATGAAGCTGTGTGATGCTGCTACGCTAGGTCAGTGGTCATCCGTCCTCTATCGTACATACTCGTATTCACACGCACTTCTAGGTGTTACTGCGAGTAGAGCCGCAACTGAAGATGCTCATGCGTATGATGAATGCCTTGTGGCACTGCACTTATATTTTTCTTTTTCTTTTCGCAGGTATTCAAGATTTAAAAAGCATATTTCTCTTAAGTTCGTTTATTTTGGCATTTACCGGTAAGTGTTTCAATGAAACTGAATTATTTTCTTTTTCCTTTTGTTAATTGTTTGGCTAGTTTTGCTTTAGTTGTTTTTTTAATTTGTTGTTATACCGCTACATTTTATTTGGTTTTAAAGTACCTTATTTTTAGATTAAGTTGCCCGTAACACCATCATTTGCTGCACTTCGATCACGCTTTCTTTGCCTTCCAGGGAATGCATCATTAGAGAAACGAGAGGCACACAGTTCTTCTGCATATCAAAGGTGAGTCCCTGGGGCTTACGTCTTTTGCACTATCTTGTTTTTGCTCGTGATCTGACAATATATTGCTTTGTTGAGTAGATCAGATGATCAGTGATAATGCTTTGGTGTTACGTTGCTCAGGCAGTTCTCGCTTTTTGTTAAAATGCCGAAGTGCCGTCATAATCTTCCATTTATTTGTACTCACCACCGCTGGTCACGCTGGGATACATTTTCATAACACGTTACAAACGACAGATTCATAGACGCACAGTTTCTCTCCCCGCCGAACCCCCTGGGCCCTGCCCGAACTCCGCTCGGCCGTGACGGGCCGAGGGCTCACGCTCCGCCGCGTCTCAGCGCCTCGGTGGCGTCCACGAAATCTGCCAGGTCGAAGGTGCCGTCTCCGTCGTGGTCGGCGTGCTGGATGGCGTATCGCACGTGCTCGGCGTCGGCCAGGTTGAGCGCCTCCGCCACCTGGTTGGCCTGGGCCTCTGTCAGGTGTCCGTCACCGTCCGCGTCGGCCGACTGGAAACTGAGCGGCACCAGCTCCGGCGGCGCCGGGTGGCTGGCGGCGGTCACAAAGTCCGTCTCCGAGACGGCGCCGTCGCCGTCCCGGTCGAGCGCGTCGAACTCGATGCGGAACTGGTCATCGGTGAAGTTGGGCTGGCTGGGCCGCCACAGGGGCAGGAACTCTGCCAGGGTGATGCGGCCGTCCCCGTCCGAGTCCAGCTGGCCCAGCATGGCTTGGAAGACGCCGCGCAGCGACACCTCGTCCACGGGCAGCGGCTGCGCCACGCACAGTGTCCCCACCTGTTGGACGGACGCAGAGTTAGACGGACTAGACGAGTCAGACGAGTCTGAGGGCACGACCTCGCAGTCGGCGCGCCCCTAACCCCCAACAAACAAACAAACTAACAAACAAACAAACGAGTCTGAGGGCTGAATGGCTATTAGAGGAACACTACACCCGTTGTAAGATTTTATGCACGTGGAAAGTGAACGGAATGGTTAGCGCTTCAAGGTGGGGCTGATTATATTACTTAGTAGAATGGTTTAGGTTTTCTAAACTCAAACTGCACACAGTCTTCCTGCCCAAATCACGTCAAGCGAGTTCCTCAGAAGTGGTAGGTAGCGTATAGAGGCATGACCACTGACCACACAATATACGATATAATATACATGCATGGTAGAACCGTTTTCACTCACCAGGACAACGGTGACGATGAACTTCAGCATGTTGGCGGTGTGGGGGCTCGGTGACCGGCTGCTGCTCTCACGGCACACGGCAGAGGCTGGCTGATGAATACTGAACGAGCGAAGGAACCGACTTTTATACGGCCGCTGTGCTGATGATCCGGCAGGGGCGTCTCCAGGCACTAGTCTGGGGAGGACTGGCTGACCTTGCGGCCTATCTTCTCTGATATTAGCCTGTGAGAGAAAAGGCGTACTTCTGCTCGATTCAGCGAGTGCTGTTCAAATATAGAAGGTTTTCCCACCATCAGCGCTCCCTGGTGCCGCCACTGCTGCGGCTGAGCCGGTCCAGAGGTGATGACGTCACATGGTGGTGAGTGTTGTGGCCGTGACGTCACACTTATCCAGCAGCCGGCAGGACCCGACACGAATCTGCCGTGGCGGGCCGCGTCTGAAGAGGGAGGGGCGCCGGCACCACCGATGTGGTGCCACTCATTAGCCACTGTGACAACTGTCACTGGTTCACTGTGACTTCCATTTTTAGAAGCAAACGTCTCAAAAGACATAAGTGTCTTATGAATTGAGACAGGATCACCACCTAAAGGGGTGATCCGATCGTAACATCGAAATGGGGTGTCTTTGCTTCTTCCCTTCCCTTGTCTAACTCTGGTCCTGGGTCGTAATTGGAAAGCAACTCTCGAATAATCTTCGGAACACAGAGAGCAATAAATTAGCTCTGTATGTCATCGCTGAGGTTAGGTTACCACGTTAAGATCCAAGGAATCATCAAATTTTACATTTTCCTGGGTTTTACGGTTTTGACGAATTGGCATACCTACGATAGCTCTTTTTTGCTCGCTACTTTGACCTCAGATATGGCCTGAGATCAAATGTTGGGCTTCCAGGGGCAGAAGGGTAAAAGGGACGTTTTAACGAAAGAGGTTTTCGCAGTAACTTTAGCCGCAAGCCTTGTTCGAACTCGATTTCATCAACATCGTATTACCCTGGTCGAGACGGTCGGATGATCTTATGTTTTCTTCAATATATCGCTATTAGGTCAAGTCCATCACCTGGATAGGTCATGTTGCAGTCAGTCGATCTGCATCGGTGAGATGAACACACCCGAGGTGTTGTCATGGCCCTAGCATATTGCTACAAAAAGTAACAATAAAAAGCTGCTTGCTACTTTTCCATGACCTAAGATGACCTCGGTGGTATCATGTGGACTTAGAGATGCAATTAGATGATTTATAAATCAATTGAAGCATATAAGACGATATCAGTGAGTTTAGTGTGACTTTTTGCGAAGGAACCGTAATTTCGTTTTGCTTTCGTTGAATTTCAGTACCGTTGTCACACAATCATCTATTTATTTGGCCTTTGTTTTGATATTAAACCACTTCATGACATTTGACAACTATTTTACCAATACGCCTTTCGTTACCATTACTCTCGGCACGACCGAGTTTTGGGTGCAAAATAGATAATCATGTCGACACGCTCTAAAGCCCCCAATGAACAGACAACGGCACGGCTGAGCTTGTTCGACGCTCGTGGAGGCGGCCCCTCGGACCGGCTGCCCTGCCCTGGGAAGGCGGCCTGTTCGGGACCACACTGCGGACTTCCCTGGCCTCTGTCGGTCCCGCCGGAGGGGCCATGTGGACGGTCATGCAGACCTTTGGTGCAGCGCCGGCCGCCAGTCTGTGACGTCACCTATTGCTGGCCGGCCGGCGGGCCTTGGAGAGCAGTGAAGGTGACCTCAGCGTGACAGGGAGCAGCGGCCCAGTGAGTGATGGTGGTGCAGGCTGGGTCTGAGGGCACATGAACCGGCATGCTCGACAGAGGCAGGATGGTGCGCGCAGCGCGCATCAGGATGTCGTGAAGGCGGACTATTTTGGAGAGCGATTACATCCAATTATTGTCATCCAAATGGCCGGCTTCAAGCAGTACTTGTCCTGTCATCATCATCATCATGCAACGGTTTATTGGAGTGTCCCCCTCCCCATTACGTTCGTCCGTCTTGACGTCTATTCGATTCTGATACGAATGAACCGTTTTAATCCTGCTGACTCCTTCATTTCCGCTACCGACTTCGTCAATCGTCATCAACCTCACTGTACTGAACCCCCCCCCCCCCCCCCAGATCAGCCCCATCCTTTCGGCCCATATCGGCGCCCCGACACGCCCCGTCAGCCGGAGTGGGCCGTGCTGACGCCGGTCCTTGCACGCTCAGCGACGCCTCAAAGCGGCCGACTGCCGTAAATCGAAACATGACCCGACCCGAATACACTGTTTGGAAACGGTCGTGTGGAGTCGTGCGCACCTCGCCCCCCCCCCCCCCCCACTATACATAATGCAGGAAGTAGTTGGTGCGATCATTGACGAACATTGGACGGGTTTGTCTGCTCGGCAGATGATTCGACGCAATCAGGACTTCCCCGTCACATATTTCGGGGAATGACGACGACATGAAGTCATTTCTATCCAATGACCATAACCAATTCTCAGAGGTTGGTTGTTTGGCAGGCTGAAAGTGCCTGGCGGCTATCTAGTTGCAATGAAGCGTCCCTCGTTCTAAGAAAACGCTGCACTCCAGGTCACGGCGTCGCTGTTCGGCTGCACACTCACTGCCGAGCTGGTATGCGATGTATTGCTCTGCCTCAGACATGAGGCGCTCTATGTTCCAGTGCAAGTAACTGCTTTTGGTTTCCTCTGCAAACAATAACGCTGAGTTCGCTAACCTACATACAATCTCATTTCTCCTGGTTAGCAGCAGCGCTGATGTCGCCTGCAAGGTATTTTGCTGTGATCAACAATAACGGCGACCCCACGTGTACCTATGTTCTGGCTGGTCTGGCCGTGCGACACAGTCTCTGCGTAATGTGCTTTTGATCCTGCCCGCTTCTGACGGAGAAACCCAATTACGTACCGAAACCCCTGTCGCTGACCGCTGACCCCCCACTCGCCGACCTCAGAGCTCTGTTGCTGACCTCAGACCTCTCCTCGACCTCAGCCCCTGCCCCGAACTCAGCCCCTGCCCCGACCTCAGCCCCTGTCACTGATCTCATGGCTGTTGAACTCAGGGCGACCGGCGACCTCTAACCTCTCCGCCGACTTTAGAGCCGCTGATCCCACATTAGCTCTCACTGACCCGACATCAGCTGCCACTGACCTCAAAGTCGCAGACCTCAGGACCCAGCTGCTCAGGGCTCCTGCCCCCATCGTTGACCTAAGGTCCCTGCCTCTGACCGCTGAGGCCATCTCTCTGACTTCTCTGCTGCTGACCTCAGGTCCCCTACCGCTGACCTCAGGTCCAACTGCTGAGCGGCTGACCCCAGTACCGCCATGCTGAGCGGCGTCAGTGGCCGGGTGTCGGCTGTGCTGCGGGCGGCCACGGCGGCCGTCACCCCGGTCCGGAACCGCTGGCACGCCGACAAGGTGGCGCGCGGCCCGGTGGCGGTGCGCTACGGATGGCACAAGGAGCACATCATGCCATCTGGTGGGTGAATCGGACAACTGAAGCTTCGACAGCAGTTTAGCAGACGTCTGTTGAAATAACATAAGTTTTCTACGCAGGCCGGAGATATAAAAAAGACTGTACTTACTGAGAAATGTGCCCATTACCGACCATTATATCTTTTTTTTTTTGCTGGTTGACGTTTTACACGTTTTGTTTCTGATAGCTCGATGAAATTTGACATGAATGTTTCTGCACCAAACATGCATTCACCAATGTGCCGATTTTTAGGCTTGTTGCCACGGAAGGAGGGTGCTAAGGCCCTGCCAATGCCGGAATACAAACCCAACAACGCCTGGACAAAGAAGAAGGCCATGTTCGGTCAGAACGACTACATTGGTGAGTACCGACCGATTTTTAACGTAATATCCGTCTTTTAGAAGGTATTCTAGGACTACGAGGAGCATAAGACATTCACATAGACTCGTTTGTTCAGGGTTCCTATTGCTGCACGGTTCGTCGGAAGGTCATTTCAGGCTCAAAAGAAACGTTATATACCAGTAAAACGCCTTTTGGGCGAAGAACGAGCGAGCGAGATAGTGAGCCCGGCACGTGCGGAAGGGCGAGAGGGTGCTTCCAACGGGCTTGCGCAAAGCACCCTTCTAACTGGTCGCTAGCGGTGTGCCAAATTTGAACGTAATCGGCCCAGCCGTTCCTGAGATCTGGAGGCGGCATTCTGCACGTGCGCACGTGCAAACGGGGTCCAAAATGACTTTTGCACGGCACCCTACTAACTGGTCCCCAACCGTGTACCAAATTTGAGCGCAATCGGCCCAGCCGTTCTCGAGATCTGGAAACGCCCCCTGCACGTGCGCACGTGCAGTAGCACCCTAACCGCAACACATGGGAATGCATTGCCTGGTGGGTGCCTACCTGTATGCCAAGTTTCAGCGAAATCGCCACAGTAATTACCGAGTTACTGAAATGGGAACAAATTTGGCACCTCTTATTGTTGTATTTTGCACGTGCAGTGGGGGTCACTCACATACAGTGGCGTATCCAAGGGGGGATCCTGGGGGCCCTAGGATCCCCCTGGAGCCTAGAAAAAAAGTTTTTTTTTTATAACACGGAAAAAATTGAAATGACTTCAAGGGCCCTTTTGACCACTTCCCATTTTATTCGCTAAAAGAAAAAGTATTGTAGAACTCTTTTAGGGACCCTTTGAGGATTATTAGAGGACACATTTAGGCCAATGAGGGACCTTGTGAAGTATACAGAGGGCCTTCTCAGGTACACAGAGGACCCTTTCAGGCACACAGAGGGCCCTCTCAGCCACACAGGGGGCCCGCTCTGGCACACAGGGGGCCCTCTCAGGCACACAAAGGCCCTCTGAGACACACAAAGGGCCCTCTCAGGCACACAGACGGTCCTCTAGGGCTTACAGAGGGCCCTCTCAGGCACACATAGGGCCTTCTCAGGCACACAGAGGGCCCTCTCAGGCAAACAGAGGGCCATCTCAGGTACACAGAGGGCCCTTTCAGGCACATAGAGGGCGCTCTCAGGTACACAGAGGGTCCTCTTAGACACACAGAGGGCCCTCTCAGGCAAACAGAGGGCCCTTTCAGGTACACAGAGGGCCCTTTCAGGCACACAGAGGGCCCTCTCAGGCACACATAGGGCCCTCTCAGGCACACAGAGGGCCCTCTCAGGTACACAGAGGGCCCTTTCAGGCACACAGAGGGCCCTCTCAGGCTCACAGAGGGCCCTCTCAGGCACACATAGGGCCTCTCAGGCACACAGAGGGCCCTCTCAGGCTCACAGAGGGCCCTCTCAGGCACACATAGGGCTCTCTCAGGCACACAGAGGGTTCTCTGAGACACACAGAGGGTCCTTTCAGGCAAACAGAGGGCCGTCTCAGGTACACAGAGGGCCCTCTCAGGCACACATAGGGCCCTCTCAGGCACACAGAGGGCCCACGCAGGCAAACAGAGGGCCCTCGCAGGCAAACAGAGGGCCCTTTCAGGCACACAGAGGACCCTTTCAGGCAAACAGAGGGCCGTCTCAGGTACACAGAGGACCCTTTCAGGCTCACAGAGGGCCCTCTCAGGCACACATAGGGCTCTCTCAGGCACACAGAGGGTTCTCTGAGACACACAGAGGGTCCTTTCAGGCAAACAGAGGGCCGTCTCAGGTACACAGAGGGCCCTCTCAGGCACACATAGGGCCCTCTCAGGCACACAGAGGGCCCTCGCAGGCAAACAGAGGGCCCTCGCAGGCAAACAGAGGGCCCTTTCAGGCACACAGAGGACCCTTTCAGGCAAACAGAGGGCCGTCTCAGGTACACAGAGGACCCTTTCAGGCACACAGAGGGCCCTCTCAAACACACAGAGGGCCCTCTCAGGTACTCAGGGGGGCCTCCCAGGCACACAAAGGGCCCTCTAAGACCAGCAGAGGGCCCCTTAAGACGAACAGAAGGCCCTCTGAGGTACGAGGGTCAATGTCAGGCCACAAGGTACCCTATGAGGCCACCAGACGGCCCTCTTAGATCAAAGATGGTCCCTGGAGGTCACCAAAGGGCCCTCTGAGGTGAACAAAGGGCCCTCTGAGATCGAAGAGATCAAAGAGATCAAAGAGGGCCCTCTAAGGCGAATGGCGGGCCTTCAAAGGTCACAAAGTGCCCTCTGAGGCCACTGGAGAGCCTTCTGAGGTGATATGAGGCTATGTCAGACCACCATGAGCCCTATGAGGTCATCAGGCCCTCTGAGATCAAAGAGGGTCCTTGGAAGTCATCGGAGGACCCCTTAAGGCTCATTGAGGCGAACAAAGGCCAGAGGGTCCCCTTAGACACCACAAAGAAGTAAAAAAGATCCCTCTGAGGTCAAAGACAGCTCTCTGAGATGTAATAGGGCCATTTGAGGCCTCCGAGGGCCCTCTGATGCCACAGAGAGGCGCCCTCTGATGCCAAAACAGGGTCCTCTGAAGTCTAAATCCACCAGAGGGCCCTCTGAGGCGAACAGAGGGCCCTAACATCCACCTCAAAGAGGGCCCTCTGAAAATCAACTGGCCCTCGGAGTCAGTGTCCCAAAATCGTATTTTGGCTTGGGTGTCAGGGGGAAAAGGTCACCCAAAAGAGGGATAAGAGTGGACAATTGTCAGTCACAGGGCAGTCGGAGCCCTCTGAGAAGGCCACTTGAGCCTTACAACAGAGGGCCCTCTGAGGTGATATGAAGGCTATGTCAGGCCACTATGGGCTCTATGAGGTCATCAGGCACTCTGAGGAAAAAGCTGGCCCTCTGAGGCGAACAGAGGGCCCTTGGACAATCAGAGGACTTTTTAGGTCAACTAGGGGTCTATGAGGCCAGCAAAGGACCCTTTCGGACACAAACAGGGCCTCTCAGGCACCCGGAGGGACCTCTTTTCTAAGGCAAACAGGGGTCACCTTAGATGATATGAGGGCTATTTTAGGCCACTAGGGGCCTCATGTATTAGACCAACATACGGTCATTTGAAGTAAAAGAGAACCTTTTGAGGTAAAAAGGGCCCCTGGAGAGAAAACAGAGGGACCTTTCAGGTACCCAGAAGGTCCATGGAGGCCACTAGAGGACCCTTTGAGGCCAGTGATGGTCTTCAGAGGCCATCAGAGGGTCCCTCTGAGGGTAACAGAGGGTCCTTAAGACGACCAGAGGCCCTCCGTAAAAATGCGGGCGTCACAAGGCCCGGTTTGCATCAAAGGTCAGGAAGCTATGCCCAGTTTTGGCTCTCTGTTGCCTGCCGACGTGTTCCGAGCTGTCGCAAAACAAAAAACGATGTGGTGGCACCCACGCCCCCCCCCCCCGGCCGGCCAGGGTCCATCTAACCAGGGATGCGGAGGCGTGGAAATTTCAGACGGCTCCGGCTCCGGCTCCGGCTCCGGAGAAAAAAACGGCTTCGGCTCCGGCTCCGGCTCCGGCTTCGACTCCAGTACTCAGTTCATCCTTTATACAAATAAATACGGGTGGAAAAGAAAAGATGAAGGATTGGTTCACGTTGCTTCTGTATTTGCATAACAAGGCTATTTTGAATACCACATATTTTACTGCCTTAACTGGCCGCTGGATGACTGGCCGCTTTTTTTTCCTCTTCAAAAAAAAAAAACAGCCGGAGTCGCCGCCTTTTTTACCGCTCCGGCTCCGGCTCCGGGCTATATTGTTTCACGGCTCCGGCTCCGGCTCCGGGCAAAATATGCCGGCACCGGCGGCTCCTCCGGCTCCAGCTCCGGCTCCGCACCCCTGCATCTATAACTCGGCTTCTGAGCCACGTACCAACACGCCTAAGGCAGTGTTCGAAGGGACGCAAGCAAACAATAATGACGAAATTACGCCTGTCACTTTTTAGTTCAAAATTCAGTTCACATAGGTCATCCAAGGTTAAATTTCGCCAATTTTCAGGTCCAATTTCGACAATTTTCAACAAACCACCGCATGATTCGGAAATGAATAGAGCTACAGTACCGGGGAAAAGCGTAGTTAATAGCTCTTTTAACACCCCTTTCGCCGTTTCCATCCTCAGGACATTCAAATCCTTCTCCTCCATGCCGCAACCCCTGATCCGGACTGGACCTGGACGGGCAACTTTATTCCATGCGGGCGGCTCCCATTGGAGCGCACTGCAGCTCCTAAGGAAGGAAGCACACTCGTAACCGGGTGCAGTGAGCACTTGGGAGGCTGGTCGGCCTGTCCTGTTGGACAGGCTCAGCCCCAGTGAGTCACCAAGGTGCCCGCCCAGACCAATGTCTCCCTCAATTCCTATCATCCCTCCGGCCCTGAAATGGTCTCGTCAGACCGAAAGCTGAAAGGGCCTGGGTCCAACCCAACAAAACAAACAAAGCTCTTTTAACGCTCTTTCTGTACTGTGCTCAGATTTGACCCAAGCCTGTTAATTCTACACTTTTTATATCGGAACATTTTCATGTTTCTACAGCTCTGTAGGCCTGATAGCTCTTCCTGCGAAACCTTTTTTGGGCCGAAAATGGCAGAACATGACGTCATTCTGACGTATTTGCGGCCAACCTAATCCTATCATAGCCTCTGAAAAAAGGTCACAATGTGTAAAATGGATGCCCGGAGAGGTCCTGAAAGTTTGGTGGCGATATCTGCAGTCATTTAGGAGATAGCTACGGAAGAGGACAGGGGCCGTTTCGCCCCCCCCCCCTACGGGGCGCGGGCTAACGCCATTTCAACTCAGGCTTCAAGGGCCCTTTTGCCACTTAAGGGCCCTTTCAACCCAGTCAGTCAAGGGCCCTTTTGACTGCGGATCCCCCCTGAGAGAAATCCTAGATACGCCACTGCTCACATAGATGATGAGTATCCGACCTTTGGTAGAAGGGATGCAGCTACCCTACAAAAATTACCGCAAGTCAATCACCCAAGCGGCTGCTGATATATGAGCCTCTCAAAATCACTACTTTTGCAAAACAGCTTGAACACCCTTGACTTTTCACGTGGCACGTGCCACGACGGTCACTGAGATGTATCAAAAGTAGTCAATTACGGGGTAGAAGGGATGGGTCTACCCAACAAAAAAGACCGCAGGCCAATCGGTCCAGCGGTTGCTGAGATATAAGCCTCTCAAAAGCGTTACAGGCCGGGCCGGGCCGGGCCGGGCCGGGCCGGGCCGGGCCGGGCCGCTCATACTGAGATTTTTCCGTTATATTGAAAAGACTCACTTCGCTCGCTGCGCTCGCTCGCTCGTAACCATTCGAAAGCTGACGATGCGCTGAATCCGAAAATGTAATTTTTATCAAAATCGATCGATGGCCTTTTTGAAAATTGCGTTTTTGTAAAAACTTTATAATCTTTTATTCAACAGGCTGTCCCAGACATTCTTGAAAATATAAATATGTATTTTTGAGTTCCAGTGAAAGCTGAACGCCAAAAGAGCAATATTTAGCGAAGCAATATTTCCAAACATTAATATGCGTCTCCCACAGCCGACAATAAGGCGCAAGTACACAGCTCAGTGTCACGATGGACCAAAGTCAGCCACACAGAAGCGTGAAATGACCCTTATCGACTCGCAGACCCGGCGCTCTCGGCCCGCCTGACCGGCCACGGAAAGAACGTTCGGCTCTCGTTCTACTAAACAAATGTCATATTTGTCAGTTTAACTGTCTACATCACTATTAAAGCTATTCAGGATACCTGTGAAGAAAATTCATTGCTCTGTCATCTTCACATCATGCATTAATTTACATTTGTTCATTTCTACTTTGCTCAATTGAGCTTGGTATCATGCCCATATAAGGAAAATTGGCCGCGCTGAAATGTCAGAGGTTGCACCGGCCTCAGCTCCGGTGGAGTGGGGGTAGGGCCCGGTGGGGCAGGGCTTCATCCATGGGCAGGGTAACCTTTGACCGGTCGCACGGCCGAGCAGCTGTCGCCAGTACAGCCTCTGACAGTGAAACCCCGCTCACTTCCCCTGCGCGGGCACTGAGCGCAGCTGGATGGAACAAAACATGCATAAGAAAAATGTAAATTAAAGCATGTTGTAAATCAAGCAGAACAATGAATTTTCTTCACAGGTATCCTAAATAACGTTAATAGCGATGTGGACAGTTAAACCGACGAATATGACATTTGTTTAGTAGTACGAGAGCCGAACGTTCTTTCCGTGGCCGGTCAGGCGGGCCGAGAGCGCCGGGTCCGTGAGTCGATAAGGGTCATTTCACGCTTCTGTGTGGCTGACTTTGGTCCATCGTGACACTGAGCTGTGTTATTGCGCCTTATTGTCGACTGTGGGAGACGCATATTAATTTTTGGAAATATTGCTTCGCTAAATATTGTTCTTTTGGCATTGAGCTTTCACTGGAACCCGAAAAAAACATGTTTATTTTTTTCAAGAATGTCCGGGACAGCCCGTTGATTAAGAAATTATAAAGTTTTTACAAAAACGCAATTTTCAAAAAAGGCCATCGATCGATTTTGATAAAAATTACATTTTTGGATTCAGCTTACCGTCAGCTTTCGAATGGTATATACCGTTTCTTTTGAGCCTGAGATGACCTTCCGACGAACCGTGGCTGTTGCCGTAGCTCTATGCAAATAATGTGCTCAGAAGTTCGGTAGATTTCACGTCGCTTCAAATACAGTGAGATGGTAAAGTTACCGTGATTTCTCTACATTTTCGGAATCTAAGCTCTCCGTCGTTCTCCCGGCAGATATTCTGGGTAACGGCTCACTGCACCCGGTACAGCTGATGTACAAGGTACCGCCGTGGCTGCGCGGCTTCCGCGGGAACGAGTACCAGATGCTGCTGCGCAAACGGCGCGCCCTTGGACCCCTCCTGGACGACCACTACCCGACCAAGAGCTTCAACCTGCAGAAACGCATCAGGTACCTGTACCGCTTCCTCAACCACGGGCGCACCAAGGATTACTTCTGGAGGAAGCACTAGGGCGGTAATAGGTCATTTGGTCTGAGTGTGTCTTCTCAGGTCAGCGCAAACTTGGACCGCTGAGTGCGAGTGGTGAATTGAGTGATTGTGACTGAGTTTTTTACGTTTTTGTTTTCAATGAATGGTTTGTACAGAGGTTGTCTAGAATGCTATGTGGAAAGGAATTCACGAAGTAATAGAGAACATTTTAAAATGATGTTTCGCATTACACATTTGCCCGACCAGTCTCTAATTTAGTTCGTGCCTATGTTCGAAGCAATTCGAACTTACATTGGGAATTCTTTCCCGGGCAATACACAACGTTTGTGGACGGCATGATGCGTGTTTATTCAAACACATTATGATGCAGCGCAGCAGTATGAAGCCATATAACTAATCAGGCACATTGTGAGCATTATCGTTCCCAGCGACTCGGGCCTTCGGTCGAGTCCGCTAATTATGAGCAAGAGCGCGGCGCGGCCGACCCCGTCAGTCCCCGGCGCAGTCCGCGAGCGGAGTCGCATCCGGACCACACGGCGGCAGTGAGACCCAATTCCACCGCTCCACGGGCGACCGCGGTCAGAGTCCAATAAATACCGCTCTCCTATCGTGGCAGCGACTTATCACAGCGGCAGCGTCCCTCCTACCGCGCCAGGCACCACCGCACCACCCCCGCCAGCACCAGCACCAGCGCGGCCGGGCCGCTGGTGACGGCGGCACCACTGGCCGCCGGGTCCAGCACCATCTCTGCGAACACCACGGGCCAGAGGGCCGGCTCGGAGGCTACTGCCGGGCTGCCCGAGCTGAGCCACACGCGCAGTTTGTCGGCCTCCAGGCGGCAGACGGCGGCGGCGGCGGGGCGCTCCCCGATCACCATCACAGTCAGCTGACGCGCCGCCTCCAGTCGGCCGGTCAGCGCGCACTCGGCCGTCCCCACCAGTCGGCGCAGAGCCGACAGCACCGAGCGCGCCGGCACCGGCGAGCCCAGCGCCGCCAGCCGCCGCCGGCTGAAGTAGAGTCTCAGCGCGCTGCCGCACGGTGGCAGCACTGTGCCGTTGTCGCCGGCCGTCCCACACGGCGGGAGGGGCGCGTCGCACTCCTCCGCGGACACGGGACACGCCTGGCGGGCGGAGCGGCGGTCAGAGGGCGTCAGTAGGCGCGGGGACGGCTACAGAGGCGTCAGCGACGCAGGGAATAAATAAACACCGGGCCGGGAGCAATAAATCCAACGAAAACCGTGGAACAGATCGACCACACGCCGCGTGCCAGAAGTGGCTTACTTTACACGCACAATCACTTCGAGAAACAAAGGAAGCTAAAGGTCAAGAGCTGCGCTACTATCTTCGTGATAAATGGCTCTAGTTCTAGCGTTTTCGCCCTTTCCAACAAACACTGAAAACATAATACACGTCCCAGTGTCCAGTCAGGTTACGACCGCCAGAGACGTTACGCACCACATAGGGCTGGTGCCAGTCGCTCTCCTCTGTCGCCAGAACGGACGACTGGGAGCGCTGACAGGTGGCTGCCGCCTCCGTTATCGCCCCAGGCGCCTCCGGAACTGAAAACAAAACCACTGGGATGAGAACAGACCGAACGGAGTACCGAGACCCAATATCAGTCACACATGTTGAAAACTCCTGCAACAGACTCAGTGGTTCATCATGCACCTAAGAGTCTAAATGCCAAAGAAATCATGCGAGTATGTTCAGGTGCCTTACCGCAGGTGTGTAGTTCGCAGGGCTGCAGGCTGTCCACACAGATGTCGGGCTGGGGTAGGCAGCGGTGGCCGGTCGGGCAGGGGCGCACCTCGCACGGGTCAAAATTCAACTGCGAGGGCACGCACCTGGGGATACGGGAGAGGGCAAGTCAGACGTCGGACAGCGTGGGGGATGGTGACTCCTAAAGACATTCCAAGAGAGTGAGGGTAATAGCGTCAAAAACAAAACCAAATACTACGATAGACATACGGTAGCTGAATTTACCGGCATGAACCGTTATTGCTCAATATCGAACGTTACCAAAAACGCCGATTTGGTATTTTGGTGAAGCGAGTAGCATGCCACCAAACTGAACAAATACCGTCCATTACAAATGATCCTGTTCATAAACTTATAAGTAGCCCGTTCACCCCGTAGATTGCTAACCTCTGGAATGCTGACCTCTGAGTGTGAATATGGACGCAGGTGGGCTGAAGGGCGCCCACACTGGCCGCTGACTTCAGCGGGCGGCTCGACTTGAGACACTCGGGAGCGGTCCGACACAGGAGGTCCCCGTCCACACAGACACAGGAGAGGCAGCGCTGGTGGACCACCGTCCCAGAGTCTGTGGACACAACACACAGAAATACAACACCACCTCCCGCCGTCCACACAGACACAGGAGAGGCAGCGCTGGTGGACCACCGTCCCCGAGTCTGCAGACATGGACAATTCCACTTGAATGACACAAAAGGAATGTACGATGACACGCTTGAGGCTGGATAGTCGCGGCCTCGTGAACAGTATTTGGTGCCAGACTGATTTGGGTCCAATCTAGGTCATTAGTTCACTCGCTTTTCGCGGAAAAAGTAAAAAAGGTAAAGCACAGCGGCTCCACGATTCCAGCAGAGGTAGAGCGCCGTTCACCTACGTTCCGAGTACCCTGGGATTTACGGCTCACCGATTTTGGTATCGAAGGCGTCGCAGGGAATGCTGCTGGGTACGGTAACGGAGGTGCATCGGGTCAGCTGCGGCGGCCCGCCGCCCGGGTCCGGCGCGCAGAGCAGCAGCGAGAGGTGGCCGCCGTCACCGCCGACCGGCGGCAGGAGCACCGAGGAGCCCAGCGCCACCATACTGTTGCTGACGGTGCTGAGGCGGCAGCCTGACGGACGAGGGGGAACAATATGGTTTTGTCAAAGACTGAATTGAATATGCAACTTTGTCAAAGTCTGCAAACAGCATGACGATTTCGCGCGATGTAATTGTATATACAGATAACACATTACAAATATTTTTTATCCCGTTGGCACACCCGGAATCATGTTTCCATCTAACGGACAGCTTATTCCATCCTTAGTGATGTTATTTGCCCTACCATTTTGATAAGCATGCAGCTAACTGTTTTTCATTTTTATGTTACCTGGCAGACAGTGTTACACAAGTAACTTTCGTTAATTGTACTTACCTGGCAGACAGTGTCGAGTGGACAGGTTGGGAGCGGCCACCCTGCACACCATTCCCGCCTCACAGGGTGAGGGGTGACACGGACTGGTCACCTGAAATCAGCAGACCTCTCCGTCAGTCGGACATGGTTGTGGCTGCAGGAGAACGGGGCTTTACGGATCGAGCAAACAGGTTCCTAATAAGATCCAAAGACGCATCGAAGACAAATAGCACGGCAGCTCATACGGTAGGCATCTCTTGTTTACTAACATTACCTCTGAGCCACGCATATTCTTCGTGTGGCTCCAGACACTCCTACAACTGCTGCACACCCTCCTCTTGAGTCATTACCTGACTCCTCCACTGCGTCTCGTCCCCCTGCGGAAGCTCTGGCTCCAGTGTGTTCTCCGAGACCGACAGCGGCGAGGTGTCCAGTGTCATGGCTCGCACACAGTCCGGCTCGGGGGCGGCCATCAGCTCGCAGAGTGTGGCCGGGTCGGCCTCGTCCCCGGCCGGGCTCAGACACGTCTCCAGCAGCCGCACGCAGTCTGACCTGGCCGGGTTAGAGGGTGAGACGGGGTTAGAAGGGTTAGATAAGGTCAAATTTGTGCTCAGTGCTAAATCATAAACCTCAAATGAGATGGGATCAGCAAGAAACATAAGTTTATAACACTACTGACGATCGCAACCTATTTCAGGTTCCCTGTCCTTCTCTACTGTTCAGTGTGTTGTGCCCAAGGTATATCCTTACCTGTGCAGGCTGGACAGGCAGGTGGTCGGGGAGGGTTATTATAGTGGGAGAGGAGGTATTATTACCTGCAGAGCTGGGCAGGCTCGTGGTCGGAGCGGCGGCAGGGCCGGAGGTGCAGCAGGCACGCCAGTCGCTTCAGTTCCGTCTTACACCGGCCCGTGGTGATGATGGAGAGGTTGCGGAACGACAGACCTGCAGTGGAGAGCGTGGTGAGGTCAACGACGGGCGCAGGGCTAAAGTAATGATGTAAATCCTTCTATATGGTGGTAAGACATGCTTATTGAACGACACCTCTATGTTACATGAGTCCTAGACGGTCGATATTTAATTTTTGTTTGACAAATTACGCGTACACAGCCAAGCTTGATGCCACAATTCAAGAGCTTTCGGCTCAAAAATATCTCTTGACTACCTCTCAGTCACATATGAACGCTCATTATAACTCTCCCCCCGTTTCTCTACGCCGTACTCCGGTCCCATTATCACAGTGTGGTTCATACCCAGCGCTCCTGTCCGCATCCACCCGAGGAACTCGCTCTTGGCGTTATCGTCGGCGCCTTTATCCCAGCGCCGGTACAGGCGGCTGCCCTCGTCCGTGACGCCCTTACAGAAGTGCAGCCGACCCGAGCTGGGCAGGCAGGGCGCCTCCGCTGCCGGCCGGAGGTGGAGAGGTCAGGTCAGGCGGACGGGGGTGGTGGATTAGACATATTAGTGAATTGGTCAGACAGAGACAAGCTGGGAGGGTAGACTTTCATGCTATGCTAAATGATTGATTTTTATTGCATTAGCTTTGTATCTTGCACGACTTGATTTCTTTTTCTTGCAAGACGCGGTTCTTTGTGAACGTCAAACATGAGTTATCATCGCATCAATCATCCCCGTCGTTTATTGATATGCATGGCAATAAGATCAACACTAGCAAGGAGTACAAGCGGGGTCCCGAGCTGCCATTCCAGCTAGATCGTCTCAGTCGCTGAGGGGAAGACGGACAAGCTATCTGCGAAAATAAACAGCTTCTGTGGACCATACCTAATGGTATAAACCGTATCGGGGATCAACATCAACAAAGGATACTAGGGAAAGGGGCGGCGCGGTATGCCAACCGTAACATGGTGTACCTCAATAACCATGCTCGTCACTACCATAGATTGACGACCAAAGGAGGGACCCTGAAGCTTGTAATTAACTCAACTTCAGACATGCTGGGGTTGAGTGAGTACATAACTTTGTAAATTTATATAACAAACCCCACCTACCATCTCTAATGCAGTGTCTCATGCGCGTCTCCCCAAAGTTGGCGTCCAGGCAGCGCGTCTCGAAGCGCGGCCCCTGGTCGTGCCAGCGCAGAGAGTAGGTGTGCGTGCAGAGCTGCCGGCACTGAGCCGTGTCCCCCAGAGGGCAGCAGTGCAGCTCGAGACGGTGTGAGGGCAGCTCCGGAGCCGGCGGGCCGCCACCGTGACACTCCCAGAACGCCGCGTCCTCCTGTGGGAAGGGGACAGGTCAGACTGGTGACAGAGAGGGTATAACTGACTCCCGTGACACCCCCAGAACGCCGCGTCCTCCTGTGGGGGGGGGGGGGAGGGTCAGGTCAGACAGGACAGAGAGGGTATAACTGACTCCCGTGACACTCCCAGAACGCGGCGTCCTCCTGTGGGAGGTGGGGGGAGGGACAGGTCAGACTGGTGACAGAGAGGGTATAACTGATTCCCGTGACACCCCCAGAACGCTCCATCCTCCTAAGGGCAGGAGGGGAGAGGGGCAGAAACGAGTCAGTCAAGACTGATACGGTGACAAACAAGAGCATCTGCAGCTTGGCTTTCACTGACCAATAGAGATATGACTTGAATTGGCGATTTTTGCGATCTCGTCAGCTCCTGATTTCTATAAGTGATCACCTTTCATGGTAAAAAACGAACGGTAGCCCAGTTATCAAAGCACTTGACTCCCTATCCAGCGACCCGGCGATTTGCTCGGCCTGTTTTTCACGTTCTGTCTCTGCGGCGTCATTTCGCTCCTATCTTTACAGCGGTCCGATACGGGCGGCAGTCGCAGTCGCAGCTCCCGCGGGTGGCCGCTCGCGCCGGGACGGGCACCCGTCGGTGGCCCACGGCTACCATCACCCGCCCTGAGATCTATCCAACCGAGCTACAGGGGGATACCGCTCCAAACATAGGGCGAACTCATCGGGGTTGTTAGTTCCACCAGCGCACCTCAGGAGACGTGATCGCTCGTCGTTGTTTGTGTCGGGTCACAGTGTCCTGTTGGGTACTACTGGTCCCCTAACGCTGCCTGTCCGGCGGGACTCATTATGCAGCCGGTGTGGGAGGCCCGCAGGTCAGTCCCCGGCGGTCACGTGACCCGATCACGGCTCATCCAGGGCGGCCTGGACACCGGCAGGCTGGTCACATTTTGCCCAATCAGTAAACAGTTCGACCACACGACTGTCCCAACGGGGCGAATATAGGCCCAGCTGGACAAATATTTAAACTCGGTCGCTGACAAGTTCTACAGAGACACACTGTACAGATACAGTGTGTGGTGTACGGGGCGGATGGGTCAGGGGGCGCCCGGGGGGTACTTCCGCCTCCCGTATGACGCCGTATAGGGGTCTCCGGGGAGTTAACAGTACCAGCGGTAGTAAACGGACACGATTAGGGGTCCAGCGGTAAGTGGACCGGGCAGAGGCAGAAGGACAACGCCGACAAGTAGAGATACGTAGGGTTATAAATATACAAACTTACCACATTTCTGTACATAACGCTTGAGCTGTACTAGCAACATTTGATTGCAGGTCATAGCCAGATATAGACGGAAGAAACAGAAATACGGAATCCATCCTTCTGACTCGTTTCAATGTCCTCCATTCGAGATAATCCTTTTGGTCGCAGCATAACCGCCTCTGATGTGACCCTCCCTGAGACCGCCCCTGGCGTGACCAACCCTGAGACCGCCCCTGCCGTGACCCGCCCGCTGACCTGGCCGCAGGCGGTGTCCTGGAGCCGCGTCAGGGCGGCCTCCCTGGCGGCCGGCGCCGCCTCCTGCAGCTCCCGGCAGGCGGTCCGACAGGGCCCGGAGCTGGCCCCCTGGCAGCACTTGATCACTGGCGACACACGGTGAATGGACGGTCAGAGGAGGAACGGCAGACTTACACACTATACATACTGATGCTTAGTGGATGCGTGCAATTTATTGATCCATACGAACACACAATAACGGTAAATACAGAGGACCTCCTGCAGGGGGAGTGGATCAGTTTTAGCGCTGACAACATCAGTGACCTACGTCAACTGGTTTAGACACAGACACGCACACACGTAAACATACACCCAGCTGGGACCTTGGGCAGAGCTGATAGTCACAAACACAGCTGTACGCACAACATACAGTTGAAGTGCGTACAGAGATACCAGAACACGCAATTTATTCCGCATAAAACGGACATGCTAAACGCGCACTTTGGAGCCTTGAGTGTCTTAGAAACGTTATAAAAACATGGCAAGAACGTATCAGATTTCGTGCTGGCATGTTGACGAAATCTGGCATGACTGTTACCTTCCGCATTCGTCCTGCTCTCATAAATGCGCCAGTCACCAGTAGAATTAGTTAAAATATTAACATTTCCCCATCCTTACGAAGCCGGCAAATAGCTATCGGATAAAATATATAAAATAGACGAAAAAAGAAACCAATATAATTCGTCAGCCTTATCTTCTCTCACCTTCCTGAATTTCCTCGTCCTCTATGTAGTCCCTGGCCTTGCCATTTTTGCCACCTTTGGCGCGCTGAAACAGAAGTGTCCACGCCCAATTCAGTCAGTCCGTAACAATAAACAGTACGGCGGACTGAGTAAACACGAGGCCGGCCGGGATGGCGGTATCGTGTCAGATTATTTATCCCCCCGAACCGCGAGCCGGGCCGGACCGGGACGGACGGACGGTGGGCGTACATTGCTGCGTGTCAGTAGAATGTACGCACTTGCATACGAGTACATACGACGCGCGAGTGCTACCCGGGCCATATCTCGTCCCGTCTCGTCTCTTCCCGTTCCGCCCGTTTCCCATTATGATTGATGGAATGCATCAGTCCATTATGAATGGTACATACACCTCGCATCATCCCATCCCGCCCCGTGCAGCACAAGACCTTCCCGTCCCGTCCCGTTCCGTATTATTTCGTCTGGTCCCGTCTTGTCTCGCCCCGTCCGATTTTTGTCTCTTCTCGTCTTGCATCGCTCATCCGCCTTCCATTCTGCCTTTTTCCCGTCTCGTGACTATAAGTCCGGTCCCATATCGTCCTATTCCGTCCCAGGTCCCCGTCCCATTTCAAGTTTTTTCCTGTGTGTACGTTTGAAGCAGTATACACTTCAATCACGTCTCGCGTGCCTAGCACTTAGCCGGGCTCGCAGAGCGGGGGAGTGGGGACGGGGGTACCGTCAAATACGCCCGCTCAGCGCGGCGGTGCCGGCCGGCCGGCCGGCCCCGCTCTACCGACGCGCTAAGATGGCCAGCTGTCAGCGGCCCGTCGTCTGGTTCATATTGAACACGGCCTAACGGGACTCCTCTGACCGCCCTCCGGCTAACGGCCAATGAAAACCGGTCATTAGTCGACAAAGTAGCACCTCGCGCCCAGCTTAAAGTAAATATTTGACCGTTTGGGGAATCGTGAAACAACTTTCAGTGATAACGATCACACTTCCAGTGCATGTTGGATCACTGGACATCATTGGCCACTAAAAAAACGGCCACCTGTACCCACCTTCTGTTCTGAGAGGCAATTGTAGAGCTCTCCCTCGTGCGATCTCCGGCAGTGCCTCTCCAGTTCTGGCACGGAGGTGGCGCGCTTGCAGGCGACTGCGCAGCCGGGCACCACGGCCTCCCTGCAGCACGAGGCACCCCTCCATCGGCTGCTGCCTGCAGTGACAGAAAACACGGCACGTTCAGACTCTGATAAGAAGGAAGGGGAGAGAAAGAGTCCCCCCGTCATGAAGGAGAGGGAGGTACCAGAGCCTGATACTTTACTTCATAGATACAATGGGAATGTATCGGGATTTAACAAGTCAGCAAATATTGTCCAGATAATACGGCTAGAGCTTCCCTAAGATGTCTAGTCACCTCCCGACGGTATCACGTCGCCCTTGGGGGCGTCATTAGTGCGATGGCGTCCTTCGTCACCACCGGCACCCCTAGGGTGTAATGGCCTCCCTTTGTTGATTTTCAACACTGCACTGGTCTCTGGCGGCATTGTCAGACTAAAACAGCCTCTGGTGACTGTAAGAGGTCTGATTTGTGTTCAATGTCAAATCGTCAGCCGTTCGTCTTCGTCAGCAGTTGTGTGGTGTTTAGATTCCGTTGCAGTTTCTGGAGAACAGGAGGGCGTCTCGTACCCAATGTCGATGGCGTGAGATCACCGTACTGAAATGATGATTTATTGTGACCTATGGCGACCTGGGTCGTCAAATCGGTGTGAGCATCGGTGACATCATGCTTGTTGTTTTCTGCAAGTGTGAGACATAACACATGTTGGAGGTGACTGTACGCATGCTGTCATATCTCGAGGGAGTACCTAATGCATAACTGATCAGCAGGGCGGTGATATCTTGAGGTGGCATGTGACGATGTTGTGCCGCGTCAGCAAATCACATTGGGCACCTATTCAAAACACGAATACATTATGCAAGGAATGGCATAAATATTTACTCCTTGGTCATGAGGCGCAGCTGCCTTCATAGTAGGGTTGTGTGCCCCACTAAAGCATTTCTTTGGCCGGATGAATAGAACATTGAACCTCCCACTACAGGTCGTTCGGGAAAACTGGGGAAGTCTATTATCGGCATCCCGTCCGTGAGCTCACTGCTCCAGCGCCGATGTGCGTTGGGTTCATAACCCCGAGCCTCTGAGGGCTTCGGCGCCGCTTCCAGCACCCCGGTTCGCCGGACACACCAGGCGCCTCTCGTTAGTTAGCACCAAGGCTGGCCACAGAGGGTGTCAGAGCATCACCCAGGCAAACACCACAGCATCTGGGGCATCTGGGCGGTCCGCTGAGACCGCTACCAGTGGCCTTGGAGCCGGGCAGGGGAGGAGATGCATGTGTTTTTGATATTAGGTCGGTGCTTCATGCGAGAAGGGGTTAACAGATATGCAGAGCATCATTGAATGTAAAGTAGGTTGTAGGAAAGAACCGGTGAAACACCGGCTAAGCGAGAACGCAACATGCAACCATGATGCATGACGGGATGCATCGAGCTGATCGAGCTATTGCAACGATGGAAACACTTTCTTACCTAATAAACTGGAGACTGAAACACCTTCAATAAACTTTGAATTGATTGCTTCCAGAACGAAGTCCTCACTACGCCGTAAAGCTAGCTACAACTGGGCACAGATAAGAGCTTACGAGTAGCATCGAAAATATTGACGCTCGCACTACATCCTTATAACTTGGATAATGTCAACCTCCAGCCCGTATCGTCGTTGCAAGGCGCCGCTGGCCGGTTTCCAAGGGATAACCTGACCGGTTAGGCTGTGCCGCCGGACAGCCGTGTATTGCGGCACAGTCTATACCGACGCATTGTCTCGGACGGCGCTCCGGCGAGGCTCTGCGGCGGTAAAGTGAGAAGAAGGCATCTCAAAATGCTTCGCCGAGACTAAGAATATTGACTAGAAAGCAATGATGATCCATCGACTCGCAAAGGGCAAAACAGGCGGCGAGCGGCACCGACTAAAGACCCGAGGCCCCGTCAGTGTCAATCACTTCTCGCTTCCGGCGACCGCACCCCTTTGCGGCGCCGTCAGCGCCGTCCTTGTTCGTCTGTTCGTCTGCCCGCCTATCAAAGCCATCCATCTCGGCTGCCGGTCGTCCGCGTCGTGTCGGCGGCGTCCCTGTTTATTTGGCGTCGGTCGGAGAGCGCCGCCGGCGCCGGCCGGTCCGGTCACGCGTCGGTCAGCGGTCACACGCGCCGCTGACCGGCGGTGGTCATCAGAGGGTCACGGAGGTTCGAGCGACACCCGGACCGTTACTGCGGCCTCCGGCGCGGCCGCCATCCGCCGGTATGGTATGCTAACATACTGGAGACGCTCGCATTTCATCAGCGACCGCACAGAAGGCCGGTGCATGAAATGCGCCTCAGAAATCGTAGACGGCATGGCTACGTTCTGATTAGGCCGGGATTAACAGAAAGCAGAGCCGGAGATCGGCCTGGGTCTCGTCTGAGTCCTGTTAACGAGACGGCAGGTCTCTGACAGAGACCAGAAAATACAAAACTGGCTCATGGCGCTCTGTCCCGAATGACGTCCTAATTTAGGAGCCTGCGGCATACCTAACAGTGACATGAAATGTTTGGGATCGATGTTGTGTTTATACGAGTAAATATACCTGGTGGTAACTGGGGTCAACACATGACTTTCAATTTAATGAAGGAGTCTATCGGCCTTACAACATAATCACTTATTGCGAGTCATCACTCTCCTTATTCTCGTACGCCACTTATCGTAATGAATCCGTCTCTCATCACGCAGATAGGCGTCGACAAGCAAAGCGTTCACGTCTCAATCAATAGCACGATCAGAGACCGTTTCGCGCTCAAATGGTCCGTGCACTGACGCTCTTGTAAGTACCGCGGCCGATGGTAAATTGGCGAGGCGTCACTTGCATTTATTTAGATATCTGAATGCCTGAGCGGTTACAGGGCATGCAATCCTGTGGCGGAGGGCATGTTTAATCACTGATGCTCCCGCTCCGGCGTCTGGCCGCTCCAACATTGTAACGACAGACAAGTCGCGGCCACTAAATCAATGACAGATAGCACGCCATCGCGACCGGGCGGACGGCGCCACTGCCGGCCCACTCAAAGCCGACGGGATGAAAGCCCAGCACCGAAGTGAACCGACGCGTCACAGAGTCGGGGAGCATGGGGCCTGCGAACTATCCACTTTGCAATTGTGCGCGCTTGTAATCGGACGGCGGCTATGAATGATTGGGTTCCGTACTGACCGGTCCATGCAGTTGTTTGCTTCTCTGTACTGACGACAGCTATACCTCTCAGAGTTACATGTTGCGCAAGCAGTGAAGCGATGACAGTTTGCACACGTGAGTGGGTCGGCGGGCTTGAACTGTCTGTTGTTCTACTGTGGACGAACTGTCAGTTTCTGGATCATTACATCTCTCTCGGGACGGCAGTCAGCGTACGGGAGTGGTTCGTTTATCGACTTTGTCGTGTATCATCACGGAGCGGACTCGTCCGTGTTGCGAAAACAGGGAGTGGAGGATCTGATGCCGCCACAGTGTCAATAAACTGGCGCATCATTGTGTATTGTAAGAGGGGTTCCTTGAATTTATGACAAAACACATCCCGAGAAAAATCAATATGCAGTATTATAAACCATTAAAAAGTGTTTCAGTCATAAAGAGTTGTTTACATTGGAAATTGTCTGTTCAAGTAAGTTAAGTGTGTTCAATTATCACATCTTCGTGCGCGTATAAGCATTTGTGTGGACATTTATTGATATTTCGGTCATATGCCATTCTCAGAAAAGATAAAAGTAAAAAGGGTAAGCATCATATTCTGACGGAGGCCTGTCGCTGGAATATCAATATGTGCTCATCATTCATGGCACGTAGACTTGAGACTAAATGTCCACAAATAAGGTCATAAATAGCTTAACGTTTTTAATATAATGCTCCTCAATATTTTAAGCAATACTGAATGTGACGACCCGAGGATAGATAGTCAAAAATAGCTACCTTCAAGCAAAATACCTATTGTCACAAGCTGACTTTTACAAACGGCGCCGGAAAAATGCGATACGATGACACCGTCTACCTGATCAGGACCGTTTACCTGATCGGGCGAACATAATACGGTATCATTATCCACCTTTTAGCTCGCTTGTTTTCGCGGGAGGTGAAAGCCACTTTGTCGTTACTTTATCGACGAGGAACTGACGAAAAAGGCTAACACATCCAATTACGCAGAGAAACCTTCGCTCTCGATTTCTTTACATCACTTCACAATTACAGATAGTGCTCTAGTGATAGGTAGCTGGTAACACATGGCACCAGCGGAAAGCAAAAGACGGACGAAAAATATCGTAACAGAGCCAGAAGGAGAAGCATTGACATAGCTTATTCATTACCCTTATTCATTTCTAATTGTTTTTTGAATACATTCGTAGACTAGTGGCTCTTTTCTACATTGATATAGCTGTTTGCGGGTGTTTATGCGACGAATGTATTTATTTTTATGACTTTTCCTCCAAAAATTTGTCTTACAGGGTGTCCCATAAGTCCGTTCTCACCTAAATTTTACGTTTTTAGGCTCTCTTGCTTAAAGGCACGCTGAAATTGATTCGTAACTGAGCTTTCGTGGTTGCCATGGCTGGTAGAAATATGCTCCACAGTAACTAATTTCTGTACCCAAAATAGTTTTTGCTAGAGAGCCCGCTTCCTACAGAGACGGCTAACGCCGCAGCATAGAGGTCTCCGATACGGGTACGTCTCGGTATTTAGTCAGCACGTGACCATTCGCGACGATTGAGGGTGATTGAGACCTACCAGTCTGTAAGCAATGCCCATCGCTAACTGGACGCACAGTCAGCAAGTGACGCCGATGATTTGTCGGGAGTCAATCACTGCAAGTTTATCCTCTTTCCAGTCAGCTCTCAGGAGTGAGCCAAGTGGCCAAAACTGTGTGGCGCCAAAGTGGCCATCAAAAAGGTCAAAGGGTTAGAAAGTTGGTAAGCAGACTTTTCAGGATGGATTACCAGCTGTCTAAGAGTGTTCTTTCGGGGTACATAACTCAAGGTGACTTAAGCTTTGCATACCGGAGGGCTCAAAGCAGTCAAAAACGTCTTAAGATGCCCAAAGATGAGTTTCGTTATGCCTGAGGCTAAAAAAACTAGAGGGCTGAGGATATTAACCAGGTCATCTGGACCAACTAGTCCACGTTCGAGATGAAACACCCGTCCAAACCCGAAAACAACCCCATAAGGGCGAAGGAGGAGGCCTCCGTTTCGTCCCGTTATGCTCCTATGCAAAAGGCCAGGGTCACCGTATTGGGGGGTTAAAGGGCGTCCAGACGCTGACCAGGTTGCGATTGGTGTTCCAGAAACAGCTTTGGGAAGTAGAATGCTTTTCCAAGAACATCTAGGAGGAGTTTCAGCCCTCAAGCTGAACTCGAACCGCGAGTATGAACACATTTATAGAGGAGAAAATGGCATCCGGGAGGTCGGAGGCCCATCTTCAGGCAAGACAGTGCATCAGTGCGCAGGTCAAGCAAAGCTTAAAAACGGTGCAAGGAGACTGTGACAGGCGTTTGTGGCAAGATCACATGCCAGGCACCTCATCGGATCAAAATTTCATAAAAATTTGTTGGTTATGCTTAAATTTAGGCTCGTCGAAGCGTAGCGCTGTTCCAGCCTCGAGGAGCTCACGGCGCATGTCAAGTCAGTCTGGGTTAACTTTAAGCCTGTTATACAGCCAAACATGCCGGTTGGCATGCCGCAGCATGTATTTATGTGTTTGCCTATTAAATGGGGAGCAAATTGAGGGGACATAAATATATCAAAACGCAATGTACTCTGTTTCACATGCAAATATAATGTGAGAACGAACTTATGGGACACCCTGTAAATATGATATTTCAATGAATAGATGACAGAGTTCGTGAAACGTAAAAGATGAAAATAAACTACACCTATATCAAGTGTTCATTAGTACCTTCTCGGAGCCCCAAAAGTAATCCTCGCACGGATCAAAGGCGGCGTCAGATGCCAGTTGGCGCGGCTGATGCCATCCTGACGGCGGGCGAAACATCAGCCGTTTCGCTTCCGTCCTCAGTCGCCTAACGAGCACAATCACATCCCGTGTTTACACTCGGGGGGACAAACACTCAAAGCCGCGCTCAGTGCACGTATCACGGCTGGGGGAGAGGGAGAAAGAGGGGAGGCGGAGAATGGGAGGAGGTTTCGACACCGGATAGCGAGCGGCCGAGGATGGAGATCGGCCCACCGGAAACAGAACAATCTTTCGGTGCAGGAAAGAGCGATTGCTGCAAGTGTACAGCAACGTGTGTTACGCAGTTAGTCTTCTGTCTGCAAGGACTGACCTACATGTGGACATGGATCGAACCTTGTGAGCGAGCTTTGGAGTAGCTTGCAGTCCCTGCTGGAAAGTAACGAACGATCGAAGATATTTATACGACTGGTATTCGGCATGCCGTTTGCGTCACGGTAGTTCTGTCTGGCGGTTCGGGTTTCCAAATCCATCCGTCAGTTATTAGGATCGGTGCAGCTCCAGTCCCGCAGGCTGGTACGGGCCGCATCGCTACCGCATTCCATCGTGGTTCCTCACGCTGTGTCGGTGCAGATATTTACTCCAATTACTCCCGCCCCCGCCCCGCCCCTGGACCTGTCACCCGCCAACAAGCCGTACACCCCTGCACTCATGCCGGACACCTCTGCAGTCCTGTCCGCCCGCCGGAACAGGCAGCGGGGGAGGGAGGGGCGGGGGCACCCGGGGGTCAGTGTAACGAGCCCGCCGCTGCTTATTTAACACCGATACACGGCGCTCGCCGGTCCGCTCCGGGCGCAGCGGCAGCCGTGGTCACTGGTCAGTGCTAGCCTGGCCAGTGATCAACTCAACACTGGCGGCCACACAGGACGGAGGGGGGACGGGCCCGCGGATGAACCGGAATGACATGGCGAGTCTATATCAAATAAATGGATGTTGCCGATGAGAATGAACTTACCGTTATTGTTGGTGGCATCGTTCGAAGGAAGTGCTAACAGCAGCGGTAGAATCAGCAGCGGCGACGACTGCGGTGACCAAAGCATTGCTGCAGGATCGGCGCTCAGTCCTCACGCAGATTTCGTGAACGCGTGCGCTGCTCCGCAACCAAGGCGCCTCACTCTCCTGCCGTCCGCAGGATGTGCTCTGCGTCACAGGATATCCGCTGACTGCGCTGATCGCTACACTCTGCCACGATCACTGCTCTGTCCTGTGCAAAGTCATTGCAATAAGGGTGACCACAGTTCAGCCGACCGGCCGTTTGTCGGGAAAATCAGAACCGACACAGCTTCCAGTTCAATTGCAGTGGTCCCTTGCTGATGTCTCGTCTTCAGGCCATGATTGCACTAACTTGTAGACCAGTTGTCAATCCCGGACGTGCGATGCCTCAATCTCGTTGATTGCAGTCACCCGAGTCACCCGAGTCACCAAACGAACATTCAGCAAAGCACAATGATGTCGATGTTACTCCATTGCGGGTGGTCTTGATTACTTTCTATATGAGATACTTTCTGCGTCTGTAAGTCCTGACCACTGCCCGTCGTCCGACTGTTTTCGGCTCGTCTCCGCCGCTGTTGTCGGCTCGTCTCCGCCGCTGTTGTCGGCTCGTCTCCGCCGCTGTTGTCGGCTCGTCTCCGCCGCTGTTTTCGGCTCGTCTCCGTCGTTGTTTCCTCCGCCCTCCGCTATCCGTTCTCGCTGTCCTCCGACCAATGTCCACCGTCCACCTCCCGCTATCTCCCGTCGAGTCCGTCGACCGTCCGGCGACCGCTCGGGCAGCATGTGCGGCCTGTCGCACGGGTCGACCAGACGTGACCGGCACCGAGCGCAGTCGGTCACCCACTGAGTGTCACCAGAGGCGAGCGGCCGGCGCGCTCTCCAGGAACCGGACGGCGCCACCAGATAGCCACTTCCCACAAACATTGTCGCCGCCGCGAGACGAGAGCAGGGCGCCGCGGCCCGGCTCGGCCCGGTCCGATCGAGAGCCGCGGCAGAAAGACGGGCTGAGATTAGCGGGAATGGGGGTTGAAATGAGAGGAGATGGGTGGGGTCGTGTTGGATGGACAGCAGAGTCGACGTTGATATAGATGACGAGATCGAGATAAATGGAGCAAGGGGTCGATATGAACGGATTGGTGAACACAGCGGAGTCGAAATCAGCGGAGGCTGGAATCCTGATAAGCAGAGAACTGAGTCCTGACAAGTGGGAGCAGAGTTGCTCTGTGTGGAGTCACGTTGAATAGTCAGCGGAGTCAAACTCAGCGGAGCAGAGTCACACCGCCCGCCGCTGACTGAGCAGAGCTGAGCGGAGAGCGGCGAGGAGCGGCAGCGGGTCGGAGGCTGTCCCGCGCCGCTGACCACTGACACCAGCGTGACATTGACCAGTGGCCGGCCCGACAACTGACCGGCGACCGTGGCGGTCATCTGATGTCCGACCACTGCCTGATGTCACCCCGAGGCCGGCCCAGAGCGGCGGCCACACCACGGGGAGGGGTGCGAGTACCAGTCACGGCTGTGCACGCCTCCGGGGGTCAGCCACTGTGACGTTGTTAGTGACACCGCACGTGTGATTCATTATCTGTGACGTTATAGTGGTTAGTGGTCGCGGGCCTTGTTGAAAAAGAAGCATACACGCCAGCCCTGTCCCATATGCTCCCGACTGATTCATGTCATGCTGGCGAAAATTGTTGTGTTGATGTCCAAATGAGCTTCCAGACGAACTTTTACATACCTGAGTCTATAGCGCTCGCGTGATTGCAAATGGAAATGCGGCCAGAAGCCATCCACGTTACGAATGAACATAAGCAACGGCACGTATTCTGACCGACACTGTTTCTGATATTTCACTTCCAAAAACACCTGAATCTGTCAATGACCGTTTCGTGGATCCATTTGCGCACGTATTAACGACAAATGAATGTGGCATTCATGTTAATCGGGGCTAGGCCGAGTCACAGCCTAAACCCATTGATTGAGGGAGAACACTGGCGAGAGTGCGTAAAACTGATAATATTCATGACGAGCCGCATGTGGACCCGTTCAACTCGCTCCGAAGGATGGTTGGTGGCTTTTCAAACGGTCCTTTGGCATTCGACACTCGGGGAAATGCATGGACCCAAACTAGATCAGTGCCTTCCTATCAGATGGCACTTAGCACGACAATAAGCGGCAAAGGAGATGAGGCTGACAATTTTGTTTCGGGACCCCTGGCACAGAAAAACGACCCTCTGGATGCCCACCTGACCACAGACACCAACAGCCCGTATCGTCGGACCCCCTCCCCTCCCCGTGCCCTGCCGTAAGACAGTCGGCGCTGACTCCTCCCCCCTTCCCCCACCCGGCCGGCCCCGTCTAAAAATACCGACCCGGGGCAGGTGGGAGGCTGAATCACAACTCCACTGGAGACGTCCGAGGCGGTGAGAACCTGTGAGAGGAACTGTGAGCGCCGTCGTGAGAGGACAGGTAGCCCCGAGAACAGATCTCACCAGGGAACCACACACAGGTGAGAAAGGAGGACCGGGAGAGGCGAGCCGCGGGGACTCCGAAACAGCTCAAGGGCAGGACGTTTGAGGACAGGAGGCGAATAACTGTCGGCAAGAAAATTTATTTGAAGCGCAGTGTTTAGGGTTCATAAGAAAATCTGCACAAAATATAGAACGCATGTTCTTCGCGATATATTTTTACTGAAGTTGAAATGCATGGCTTGCATACCTAAATGTTTCGCTATATCACAAAACGAGCCAGGGTAAGGAAATATCTAATTATGTTCACTTCAATGTTAAATTGGTACAATAATCGGCGTGCAAAGCCTAGCAAAACGGAACACGCTCTCGTTTTCGTTTTTTTTTTCGACCCTCAAGTGCATCTCAAATGGTACTGGCATGCCAAGTTAAGAATAACCGATTTCGGTGTCAAGTGCTAACTTTAGCGATAGGCATAGGACGTCGTGTATCGGTGACCAGTTTCTAGGAGCGAAAATAACTCGTATCTGGCATTACCATGCAACCAATGTTCCCAATTCGTAGCGGTAAAATTTGAGCCATTTCGTGACAGCTATTATCGGCATAGGCTGGGCGACTACGCAGGTGCGAATGGCACAAAAGCTTGCCAAAATTCTAGTCGGTATTTGGTCGGTAAGAATTCAGAACAATCCATGTAGATTTCTCGCAAGACCTGATTAGATGTGGACAATTTCTGTCACTGCTGTCCTCAATAACCTTGAGGTGCGGTATCCGCTACACGACCAGATCTTTAGCCGAAAAGGTTGCCCGAAACACCTACGCGTGGCCTTGCACTGTTCTGGACGATGACGTACACCTGTTCTAGCAACAAGCAGCCGCGTTCCGGTGATTCCAGCTCGATCCAGGACACGTGCCAAATCTATTTGGAAGCCGCCCATCGATAGACCGACGCCGCCAGCCCGCGGCCGCATCACACAGACCTGTGTGAGATGTTTTCAATCTAGATATAGATCATAACTGTCATAACATTATCGACACAGCTAAACAGGCGTTTTGTACATGCCAAATTTATCGATACCATTGATTTCATTCATTTATTAGCAGCACGCCGCTAAAACCTGTGAATGCCACGGTATGCCACAATAATGAAATTCTGCTGCCAAACTCACGTTTTCGCCAAACCAGCCACTTTTGACATTCATAGGCATCCGAACAGCAAGCAGAATTTAGCCGGTCGACCCACACGAGCATATCGTACAGCTCACTTAATTTCAACGTCAAGAAGTTCAAATATAAATAAAGTTGCGCACCGCGTGCGTTTTCAGATAACGGTATCACTAACATCTGAGCGTCGGCTTCGTAACAACTTGTTCGACTACTTGATATTGCGGTGAAATCGATATAGACATTACTGGATGACTTCCTGTGCGCACATCCCGAGAGCGAACGCAAAGCGGCGACCACCCAAGGGCATTTTATGATCATTCAACTCTCAAACTCACCCTTGAACGCCTCAAATTTCACAGACTATACGCATTATCATCCGCACATCAGCGTGGAATCGTGAAGCTGTGACACTAGTACGGGCAATGTAACTGTAACGCTACCATATGTAAAAGACACCATCACCTCCAGCCCCTTGACCTGACATCGCACTCCTGCCGCAGGTCACCATGCCGGTCTCCATGCAGCAGTTTGAGAAGGAGGTCACTCTCCTGAAGGAGGTGGCCAAGAAGAACCCGGTGGACGTGCAGCCCCTGCCGCCCGTCGTCCACAACGAAAAGTAAGGACCATTCCAATTGCAAGCGACGGGTGGCTGACGTTTTAAATGCTGGTTCATCTGTCCAGCTTTGATGCATATCAACTTCACAATTTACCGGTGGTAAATTGGGTGAATGGAAACCATTCGTCCTGTTTGTTCCAACAATATTCATTTTATGATATCAATCGTAATGCTCGAATGTTAACGAATAGCGATAAAGGCCGATCACCTAAAAAATACCACCATCCTCTTTCGCTTCCATTACCACTTTTCACAACCCTGCCCCATCTTCTCGCCGCCAGGAAGGGTCTGTTTGGTGTGAAGAACGCGCACGCCGAGCTGATCGAGCTCATCAATATGATCTACGAGGAGGGTTTCAAGTACGACGACGGCACCGTGGCCATTCCGTTCGGCATCCTCTTCCAGGTCTGTACTCACTACTCACGGTTCAAAGGCGACAATGAATGCGGAATGGGAAGATAATGTGTGGTAAAGGAGGTAAAGTACGGAAAGGGTTGATAAAATGAACGTGCAACTGGATGAATTATCCTATGTACGTAAAATGCAACTGATCATGAAAGGTCTCATCCATTAAAAATAAAGTATTTTGATAATAAAAGTAAGTAAAATAGGCATGCGAGATAATAAACGCGTAAATTTTGAGCATACGTCAACACGGTATATTATTGCAGCAAAACACACAACACTCAAACACTGTAAGTTAGAACTTAGAGTAAACGAATCCCAAAACGTCTTCTCAGTGAGCAGTCAATAGAAACTGTTAAGTTTATTCTACGTTACCCAAGTTCTCGCCTTTACATGTGTAAAAAGAAAAACTGAGCGGGGCATTCGGTCGCCGCCGCGCCGGTGGCGCCACTAACCGGTCAGTGTCAGTCGGCGTTAGTTCCCGGAGCGGCCGGCGTCTCGGCGGTGGCGCCACCGTCGCCGGTCCGGCGCCGCTCGTCCCGCTGCCGGCGCAGCACCGCCGCCATCCCCTGGCCCTCCTCCGTGCGGAAAACCTCCCGGGTCGAGTCAAAGAACTGCTGCAGGTCGCGGCCCTGCGCCGCCTCGTACTCATCCGCCTGGAGGATCATATCCAACTTATCGAGGTCGTGCACGAAGCGCGCCTCGGCGGTCTGGTTCGACTCGTACTCCACGAACAGCGCCATGATCTCGGAGGCGACCCTGTCGTCCAGCGGCTGCACCATCGTCTCCAGGGCGGCCAGCTCGCGCGCGTGCTTGTCTCCGTCCGAGACGCCGCAGTGCGGGGTGATGTCTCCCGCCAGCGCCTCGGCCAGGTCGTGCACGAGCGCCATTTTGACGGCGCGCGTCTGGTCCACGTGCGCACGCCCGGCGGCCACCATGGCCATGATGGACATGCGGTACATGTGGCCAGCAACTGTCTCTGGTTCGGTGACGTCACAGCGCACCCAGCCGGTCCGCTTCAGATGCTGCAGGGAGCAGGGGAGGAGGAGGGGACCATTTTGGGGCACACCCAGTACACACAAAAATAGTGTTTCTGCATAAGGAAAACAAGCAGTCGTAAGAAATTCATATGCCAAGCACCAAGCTAGAAGGAACATGGAACAAGAATGACCCTGAAGGCTGAAAGGAATGTTATTGTGTTTAAATGCAATGGGTACCTACTACTGAATACTGATTCAAAATGCTAAAAATGAGACAGTACCTAACAAAAATAATACAAAAACAAAAAATAGCAGAATGCTTGTGAGTTGACCGTTGGTCTAAGTCACTAGTCACTTCTACACCTCACAATAATGGCATTTATCTATATTCTCTGCAAAATGGGGTTTTCTTTGTAGCATAGGTACCTTAAGTTTTCCAACAATTCTGAAGAAGTCCAATAACTTCCTATGCTCTTCGAGACTGTTTGCTGCCATTTTTGCCTTAATGTTATGCCTGAAACAAGATAAAAGTATTGTTATAAAATATAATAGATCACTGCAGAACTGACCACTGAAAATAAACACAAAGAAAGATTTAAATGACTTTTAAAATTGTATCAATTGAAAGAAGTTGCAATTTGAACAGCTTAGTATCAAGCAGTTTGAATATCCTGTGAAAGAGCGAAAATAAGTATTCATCCTATCCGATGCAATAATAAGCTAGAAAATTTAAATTCAGTACAGTGGCAGTTTGAATCAGGCAAAGTGCATGCTGATTGCCCAGTCATTATTGTGATGTTGATGTTATCGAAATCATGAAATTGAAATGTTCAACTGCTGAAAGAACTTCGAAGATTTGCTTGTAATTGACAATTGTTGCAATATTTCATGGTTAGCTTCGAATTTTTCCAAATGGCATAGATTACGTTCTAGGGTCTTGGCATACCTAGATGATTACAAATGAAATTATTTTCGTTCCACGCAATGGTAATTTGTTCCACGGGCTCCAAGCATTTTCAACGTATGCGTCTAGACTGTCAGTACTGCGCCAATTATGCTAACTGTTTTTTGCTGCCAATATTCATCAAAGATTCCTTCCATATGAAGTATTATTTTACTAAAAAAACTTCACGCCAATGCGCAAGCCGTGGAGTGTTTAGGGAATCCAGAGTCCCGAACTCCCGACAATCACAACTTTTGGTCCGGACTCCGGGTACCGGGTGGATCACAGTATATGCAAAAAGTTGTTGCAAGAATGTCGAGCTAGAGGGTCGAAAGATCTGACAAACTGGGCAAATCTATCTGAAAGAATCTTGGACAAACCGAAAGGCCGCGACACACAATGCACCATGAGAAGCTGCCCATGAGTAACATGTTATTTCTGTTTCCAGTGTTATTCGGTTATCAACAATCGGGTGGTCGGCCTCCTCGGCAAGGCCAGGAAATATGGCTTCGTCTACTTCAAAGGAGAAATGCTGTATCAGGTAGGTAATCAATCAAAAGTAGGTATTGGAATAGCTGTCTTAGATTGATAGCACGACGAGTAGTAAAGGAATCTTGAGCACGACAACGTTTTAGACTAAACAATTTTATCTACAACTCACTCTCAGAGATGATGGCCATGAAGCACGTCTCTCTCACTTCCCCGCCGATGTTTTCTCACGCCGTGCGGACTCTCCTTAGGTCAAGGACGACCACAAGCCCATCATGCTGATGAAGCCAATAGAGGTCATCCGGAAAGAGCTCTCCGGCATCAACTGAACGCCTTCGCTCAGCGCGCGCGCCACACTGATGCACTTGCTTGACTTTGCTCTCGAAAATGAGTGCATTTCTGTCCAGGTTATACCGCTGAGACGTGATAGAGCGTGACTTTGCAGGTGCCATTGCTATCCTGTCACTACAGGTATGAGCTCCAATTCTACGCTGCATATACAACAGTGTGGTGTATTGAGTCACTGATATAACCATCTTAGCAACAAAATCAAGATATTGCTAAGTATATTAGGTACAGGATATCCCTTTATGGCAGTTGAGGAAAGCCTAAAATTTCGGACTTTGCTAATTTATTTACGTAAGCTCAAATTGTAGATTCTGATAGCCAGTCTTCACGATTCATATGCTGAGTTTGCTTCGTGCTATGCACACACGATGTCTTGAGCTTACAGGCGAAATCTGGCCAGCTGTTGGAACCGTTTATGTTGCTCTATTTCAAGGTAGATGCATCGACGTTATTTATGTCGCAGATGTGATACGACTGAGTATCGTATTTCACATTTTTAGTCGGCCGTCTTGTGCACGTCTATACAGTTTCATTCGCGTTATTCGCTTCATTCTCCCGCATTACAAGGCATAAATACATATTCAACAAGTTCACATGTTTGTATTTGGAACACGAGAGCCGCATTTCTTACACATTTTCTACATAATATCTATAGAGATCCGTACCTACACCAGCCTCTGTTTTAGTTTGCGATAAGTCGATGTAGGTACCTCCTGATGAAAACATCGAATGGGTTGGCCGCGCCGGGCCGAATTTGAGCTGCCGTCGACTGTGTTGGCTCTATGTTCGCCATGCTCGACGCTATCGGCAGCGGCAAACAATGCGTCACTGTAGTGCGCGCGACACCCGGCGGCCCGGTGCCTGCCCCGCCCCGTTATTATCAGCGCTCCGTCAAAAAGTACGGAAATCGAGCGCTGGCTTGGCCTCGGGTCCTCGGCGCCAAGCGGCAGAGATTAACCCTCGCCCGCACATGCCATTTTCCCATCCTAGAACGCACATGGGGGGGGGGGGGGTGGTTGCCACCCCCCCCGCGCCATTTCGTTCCTGTTGGAGATAGAGCTTAGCGGTAAAGACAAAAAAGATTATTTGGGAAGAGACGAATCCAATGATACCCAGTTTTATCTTCTCAGGTCAGTCATTGACCTTCCAGGTCAGGTCAAACTAAAAAATATTGCTGTTTTGGGTCACCGTTGGATATCAAGTGCGCTGCTTATCATATACCGATGACGATGCCGTTTTCTGGTGCCAAGCCAGCTAGAACCTCTTTGTCACACTACCCGACCAGGTTTTTGCTGCTGAGGTCATTTCAGGTCAAGTAAGGTCAAGGTCAATTATATGTGTTTGTATGTCTGTGTGTGTCTGTGTGTATACTGATGTGTGCACCGATTGTTTATGTGTCCATATTACATGAAATCATCATCTGATAAGCTTTTACCAAAAATGCAGTCAAAAAAATTCACAAAAAGTAAATTCCGCTTGCCTAAAACGCAATTATCTTGGATGACCTAGGTTGACCTTGACCTTGACCTTGACATCTGTACATCGTCGAACAGCATGTTCCATGATAGGTGGGAGGTAAGACTAGTAAAAAAGGCCGAAATCAAGGTGTCAAAAGCTCACAAGACCCATAGCCAACGCAAGATGTTGAGAATTGGCCATTTGGGTCATGACATGACCTGAGAAACAAGGTCATATCTCCGAAACCAAAAACCACAGAAACTTGAAATTTTCAGGGGACATCAAGAAAGGATAGAGGAGCAGCTATACGAAAAATCAGCCTTCTAGCTCTAAAAATGTTGAGTGCAGAGCAGAAAGACTACCTGGGGGGGGGGGGGTGGCAACCACCCCCCCCATGTGCGGGCGAGGGTTAATGTGGGACTATGTTGTATATCCATTATGCATTTGTTATTGCCATGTAATTACAATGCATAAGGCACTTTTTGCTAAAACAGCGAAATCCGTAGGTAAATACACACGGACAGCTTTGTTGAAAGATATTTCCAACAGGGACGCTGAACAATGAGACTATAATAGCGACGGTGGTTTATGGCTGGTCAGATTGGCAGAGCGGTGGTGGTTATAAGTGGCCGGTCAGATAGGTGATTTTTGGCGGGTTAGATTGGAGGTTTTTGGCGGGTCAGATTGGTGGAGCGGTGGCGGGTCAGATTGGCGGCGGCTCGGTCAGATTGGCGACGCCGTCACCTGTCCGTGTCACCCTCATTGATATGACGTCACGGCGTGCGGTGCGATAGGCGCCGCGGGAGGCCGCGACTGACAGTCCCAGTCGACCGGAGCAGCGGCCACGCCAGCAGGAGCGACCGTCGAGCCAGCAGGACCGCCAAGGACCGCGGCCAGACCAGGCAGCCGGGTCACACACAGGTCAGTGGGGGTAGGGTCATGCTCAGGTCATTGGGATATACCTACTTCGCGGCTCGTGGCTCGCGCACATAATAAAGATGATGCACGCCACACAGCCCAGCAATGAGATGTTCCACACAGTTCGTGGTCCGTGCACACTGCACAGGTCATTGAAGGCCTCATACACAATGCATGGTGCACAGGTCATACAAAGCACAAGTGCACATAATCGCACGCGAAAATCGAACTGATTTCTGATATGTTTTTTGCGATTATAATCGCAATCGATAATTATCGATTGTTGCACCACTTGTTTTGTTGCCGTGGTTAACCCGCGCCCTGGTGGGGTCTGTTTATAACGCGACCTGGTGGGGGGGGGGGGGCTATTTTTTGCCCCCCCTCGTATCTCCGAAACTACTGGACGGATCCGCGAAATTCAAACGGCGTTCGAAAGGCCTGTCAAATTTGTCGAGGGAAACCAAATTTCATTGACCTCGGGGTCACCGATGACGTCACAGGTCAGGTCAAAGATAAAATGTACAACCGTTCACGGGTCATCTAGGGAATGCGCTATAACACCGAAGAAAACGCATTTTGTCGAGAATCAACGATAGGGCGTCAGTTGCCTAGTACATATGTTGCTATAAGAGGTTACTGACATTACCGGTCAGGTCACAGGTCAGGTCACCAAGGGTCACAGGTCAGGTCACATGAACCTAACTTTAGGTACTAAGGTTGTGCGATGCATGTTTTATGGTCAATTTTTCATTTCCAACTCAATGGTGTTGGTTATAAGACTATCAGGTACGGCTTAGGTCACTTTCTGGTGAAGGTCAGGTCAAGGTCAGGTCAAAAAAGGTCAAATTTTAAAGTTGATAGTTTTGCATAAAATGGGTATCGATTCGATGCAGCTCGTCACGGGGAGTCTAATGGTGGTCTTTGTTTTGCGCTACGGGGTCTAGAATTGCTAAAAATTGAGTTTGAAAATTTGACGTCATCAATTTTGAACTGTTTTTTCGCTATAACTTCGCCAAAAAAAGAGGTATCAATATCAAATTTGGTATGTGGATAGATGGTGGTAGGGACTATCACATATATTCCGGTTTTTGCGAAATTCAAAAAACTTTTTGGATTTTTCGGCTATTATATTCAAAAAATCTATTTTTTGATTTTTGGGGTTCAAAATCCAAAAATTTCAAAAATCCGAGATAGCAGTTTTGTACCCCTGTCAATTCTACAGCTTTTATGTCTTTATCGTTTTTCTGTATTTGCAAAGCTATAGGCCTGACAGCTCTTCCCGCGAAACCCTTTTTTGGGTCGAAAACGGCAGAACATGACGTCACTCTGACGTCATTTCCGGCCAACCTATCATAGCCTTTGGAAAAATTTTTGGTCACAATGTGTAAAATTGATGTCCGGGAGGGTACTGAAAGTTTGGTGACGATCGGCGCAGCGGTTCTGGATATATATTGAAAAGTCTGGAGGGGGGGCAAAAAATAGCCCCCCCCCCCCACCAGGGCGCGGGTTAATTGTAATTTCTCTAAAATTCCACATTCTTTTTAAAGGTAGTGTGCCACCTTTGAAAGATTTCCCGTTTTATTTTTCCTAGGATAAGAAGCTTCTGTTTTTACCTAATATCGCAAAAAAAATCAAAAATGGGCCTGGAATAGTGCCTTTTTCGCCTAAAAGTTTATCGGTTTTTAGATATGTATAACAACTGTAGTGGGCTCACCTGCAAACAGGCGTCGGGCAACAATCGCGAATGCGGCGCACTTGTGACAATAAGCAAAGGTCATTATAGTGTTACGACCATACGACGTACGGGAATGAGTTATCAGCTGTCTAATCGTAGACAACACAATGTCGAGCCTTAAACTGTAAGCCTGTATTGGTATTGTTTCTTAAATTTGGCTGTCGAACATTAATTTGTGGTTTGAAATATGATTTTATGTAAAATAATTGATATGAAACAGCCGTCTCTTAAGTTATGACCCCATTACACCACACGCAAGTGGCAGAAATGACAATGATCAGCTGACGCATTTTTCTTGGCCGAAGTCAGAGCGCGCGGCCCGACGCACCACGCGTATTTGGAAATTCCGACCTCGACGAGCATCAGAAGCCACCTAACAGGCGTGTTCGAAACCGCAGGAGATGATGATGAACGGGTTTATCGAAACTTGATTGGATGAGCCTATCGGTAATAGCGATTTTAGTGTGTGCATTTATTGTTCATAGTGGTGTGAAATGTGGTTGGGGTACGACCGACAACCCGTCGGGGCGAATTTCGCACTGGGGTACTCAAAATTTGAAGAATTTAAGACGTTTCCATAAGTTTTGAAGGTATGGATAAGTTCTAAAAATCCGGTTCTCCTTATCCGGGTCATTAACTCCATATGGTCCAGGAAAGCTGGCACACTACCTTTAAATGCTTATAAGCATTTATAAATGTTTATAAGCGTTCGACACTTGTAGGCATACAAAAAAGTGCCTAACGAGTGGCTAGGGATAACTGAAGTATAACAGGTAGGAATTCGCTCGCTCCATGCTTCAAGTTCTAATAAACGCTTGGTTTATAAACGTTTACTAAGGCCTTACAAGTCCGAAATAAATACTTGACATCAGTTTAGTTAGTTTAGTTAGATGAATAGCAAGCAAGTGTGCTCATGAAAAAAAGATAGTGGTCAAAATAGCATGTCTACCGTTTTGCAGATCTCGCGTGTTCAAAAAGTTTAACTATAGCAACTAAAGGGCGGCAGCTGACCTTAAACTGCACGGAGGCACATGAATCACATTTGGGTGACCTTTAATGACCAGTGACGGGCACGACTGAACGCTATGCCTGTGAACACATCGGTCCTTTTTTATCGGTGCAGGGCGCAGGCTCATTATCGTTTGTACTTTTATACCGGAGCGCATTTTATAGACACTAGACAGCGGTAGGTATATCCAAAACTAGCGTGTTGCCCGTCACGAGACGAAGCCGATGATACCCAATTTTAAGGTCCTAGGTCATCGGGTGACCTTCCAGGTCAGGTCAATGACCCGAAAACCGGGAAAATCGGAACCTGTTAGAAAGCCGTAAAGTGTGACTGCTAAGTGGTTTTCCGGGGTGCTGATCACGAATATCGTGTTAGTTTTGATCAGAGATGATGTCTGATGTCTTTAAGCATTTAGACCAGGTCGGGTCAGGTCAGGTCAGGTCAACCGGTAGAGGTTGTGACGGGTATTCGTAATACGTGTCAACCGCCTCTGACAGCTTCGTAACATGTTACGAAGGCACCAAAACTACTTCGTAAATGTTCAAATGGTTGCTAAATTCGAATTCAGCTCCAAAAACTAGCCTAGAAACATGTAAAACTCGAAAAAGTGAACCGAGGTCACCCGAGGTCACCAAAGGTCAATGACCTGACCTGTCCTTCAGGTGACCTTGACACCCACCCTAATGTATGGGAGCAACATCAAATCACATGTTTGAACGTTTGATACCACGAAAAGCTTGCAAACGCGCGGCTAATGCGAGCCGACTTACGCCGAATCGCGATTTCGGCCAAACATAGTCTCGGAAAAGAGGTCACAGGTCAAAGGTCATTTGGGTCAGGGTCTTGAAATGTTCAGGGTAGGTGTAAAATTGATCAATGCGAGGGTACTGAAAGTTTCGTCGCAATCGGCCGCTTTTTACGCGAGTTATTCGCGAAAAACCTTAGGGGGGGGGGGTTGCATCACCCCCCCCCCCTGTGCCGGCGAGGTTAAAAGATATACGAACGGGAGTCTTTCATTTGCATCCAGTTTATATCTTTTCGTTTCGTGCTGACAAAGTTGTGGCTTAACCCTCGCACTTGTAGGGGGTGGGAGTCAGATGAACCCCTCGTTTTTTTTTTTTTGCGAATGGTTCGCTCAAAAAGCGGCGATTGCGACGAAGCTTCAAAACGCTCGAGCTGACCAATCCTACACCTACAATGAAAATTTCATGACCCTGCCCCAAATGACCTTTGACCTGTGAACTATTTCTCGAGACCATGCTTGGCCGGAATCACGATTCTGCGTATGTCAGCTCACATTATCCGCACGTTTCCAGTCTTTGTGTGATTGTAAACGCTCAAATATGTGAAATGATGTTGGTCCCATGCATTATGGTGGGATCAAGGTCACGTGAAGGTGAGGTCAAGGTCATTGACCTTTGATGACGTTGGTTCACTTTTTCGAGTTTTACATGTTTGTTGGGTAGTTTTTGCAGCTGATTTCGAATTTAACATCTATTTGAACATTTAAGAAGAAGTTTTAGTGCCTTCTTAAAACATGTTGCGACGCCGTTAGTTGTGGTTGACACCTTCTATGGATAGCCGGTAGGACACCTACTAATTGACCTGACCTGACCTGACCCGACCTGGCCTTAACCCGCGCCCTGGGGGGTGTTTGAACACCCTCCTTGTGGTTTTTCGCGAATATCTCAAAAACGGCGGCGCGGAGCGCCGCCGTTTTTGGTACACCTTATCATACATCAATTCTACACATGTTGTTAAAATTTCAGACCAAGGTCATTCAAGGTCAGGTCACCAGGTCACTTGAAGTGACCTCACCTCATAAAAAGTTTCAATGTCTGTCATAGCTACACCGAGTGACCGATCGCTTTTAAACTTTCAGCGATTGTTAAGAGCAATAGCATGTACAAAATGCATATCTCAGAATTTTGATATCGATGACCTGAGGTCAGGTCAATTTTGCGACCTCCCCATTATAAGTCAATGGGAGAAAATTGAAATGCGTCTCTTTTGGACGAAAGATATTATAAACACTCCCAAACACCGAATTACAAGTGGTTTAGACACACTGAACATGAAAATGGTGTCCGTGACCCTTGTTTATGCCCTGAGGTCATCTTAGGTCACGAATTGTATCTAACAGTTTTTCGCAAATAACTTTTGATAGAGGCATGCTAGAGCGATGAAAACGCCTTAGATGTGTTCAGCTCGACGATACGGATCGACTGATATGCAACATGACCCTTTCCGGTCAGGTCATGACCTTGACCTGAGGTCAAATTTTCAAGTTGACCTTTAAAGGTCAAGTTATAGTTCATTCGATGCGTTGACGAGAGAAACACGATGCCGGTAAAAGTAAGCTCGTACAAGGCTTGGGTCAAAGGTTATTGCAGAAAAACTGTTTCCGAAAAAATCGGCTATTTTTGCAGTTTTTGCCCCCTGCAGGCAAAACCGTTGACGTTAGGTGAAATCTGAGAGAATTACTCAGAAAGGGCGTTAATAGGGCTATCGAATGCGCTTTTCCGCGGCGCTGTAGCTCTATTGGTTCCCGAGTTATGCGTTGGCTTCTTGGAAATTTTCGACATTCGACCTGGAAATCGGCGAAATTTTGCCTTCAATGACCTCTGGTGACCTGACCTTTGACCTGACCAAAAAATTGACTGAAATGATTTCGTCATTATTTTTGACGCTCTTTCGAACGCCGCCTTCTGCGTATCGCTACGTGGCCCAGGAGCCGAGTTACAAGGGGGGGGGGGGGGGGTGTTCAAACACCCCCCCCCCAGCTGGGCGTGAAAATCCAGGACCCCCAGCCGGGCGCGGGTTAATGCATGAAAAGATCATCTGCGATCAAAACTAACATGAAAACAGAAAAATTAGTGATCAACGCCCCGAAAAATAACAGATAACCAGAACAGATTCACTTAACGAAATTCTAGCAGACCCCGATTTTCCGACTTCTGGGTCATTGGCCTGACCTGGAAGGTCAACCGATGACCTAGGACCTTATACTTGGGTATCATCGGCTTCCTCTTGTCACCGGCAGCATGCTCGTTTTTTTCCTGCGAAGCTCTAGCTCGATCAGGGGCCGAACGGCACGGGGTCCAACCGACCCCCCCCCCCTACACATTAGACGCTGGAAAACACAGGCGCAGGCACACAGGCGAGAGTTAAAACATACCTATTGCTGACCTGTTTATCACATACCGATGTTGTGCACAAAGCAGATAAAAAGATGCAGGACAAAAGAATCAAGGTTGGTGAGATCCGTAAGCCTGGCACACGAGACTCGGCACTCGCAGTCCGTCAACCCATCTCGTCCATCCCACTCACAATTCCAACATCTGTCCGTGCAGGTCATTGGGGTCTGTCAGTCCCCGACGGCAGGTCACCGGAGTCTGTCAGCCACTGACGGCAGGTCCCGTGACGTCACCAGCGCGGCGGCCCGACGCGGCGCCAGGTTGAGAGCCCGCCCACCGCTCCGACCGGCCTGCACCTCGTGCCGGCCGTCCAGTGTGGTGCCAGGGCCGCGCGCGGGACGGCCGCGGCCGCGCTCCCCGGCCCCCGGCGGCCATGTGCTGACCTGTCACCGCGTGACGGCTGTGTCGGACGCCGCTGACGGGTGCCTGTGAGTCTCGGTGAGATGGCTCCGGTGTTCGGCCACGATAACCACGCCTACTCGCCGGACGAGGAGGCTGTGAAGCTGCAGAGTGTGCAGCGGCTCGGCTCCTGGCCCACCGAGCCGCAGGAGCTGCAGCAGCTCCGCAATGCGCTCGCTGCCGGCCCCGCTCCGGGCTCCGCTCCGGGGGTGGTCCGGGGGTACCTGCCCGGACCGACCCAGCAGCCGATGCCGACGGGACCGCCGCACAGCGCCCCGCCGGAGACGACGCCGCCTGTGACGCAGGAGACGCGGTTCGGTGCCACGAACGGAGTGTCGGAGGCCATCCCGCGACCCAGCCGGGCACTGCCCGATATGGACCTGGCCAACGGCCTCAACAAAGTCCGGGACAAGGCGATCGGCTTCGTGCGACAGGGCTCCAGCAAGGTGGGTGCACGGGAGAGCGTGACAAATCACGTTATACTGCAATGCAATCTTCGTTGTTTTGTAGACGTGCCACTTCATTTAACGATTACGAGCTTCATACAGGTTCAGTAGCTTTTCCCCCTTTTCGTCAGGAGCAAATAACGAGCCCCGATGAGACTTGAACCGGACTCTCCAAATGACGCAGCTAACAGTTTGAATCTTCTCTAAACGATCTACCTGGGTAGGCAGATATAAAATCATAGATAGAAATTACTGAAAAAAACTACAACCATTTCCAGCATTCCTTGCCACAACTTTACCCTTGACCTGCACGTTTTAGGATTGCAGTGCTGAGTTCGGGCTTACTCATCGTAGTTCTCGCGCTCTATTTGGACAGTATGCACTGTATGCAATATGATCTCTGGTGCGTTCACTCCGTCTGGGTGATGACATTGAATGTGGGCGCCAGTAAACATAAGGCGCCGCCGGGTGCACGGTGCAGAGTCGGCTCCCCATGCTGTCGGCTCAGTGCCCGTCAGACTGTGTTCGTGTGTGCGCCTCTGCCAGTGCGGCGGCCATGTAGTGGTGCACGCGACACTACTGAGAAAATGGGCTCAGAGGTAAGCGTCCACTCTTTATAACGATGATCTGACACGAGGGAATAGCTAACTTTTTGTTGATAGGTACTGACGGTCAAATCAACATGCATTATTTTATGAAATTGTCCACAACTGCTCATGAACTCAAGCTTTGGAAACTTAAGAGAAAAGACGCGGTAACAAAGTCCCTAAATCGTCATAGCCGTTTAATATGTGATATCGCTGGACCGTCAGAAAATAAAACAAAACAACAAAAACAACATGTTGTTGTTGTTGTTGCCATCATGTCATACCAAATCACAAAGCCTAGAGCACAAGGGCGGTAAGTTAGGATGGTCAGCTGTGCAGGTATGTCCGGAGGTGCCCTTCTGTAATTGACGGGGCTGTGCGGGCTCGTCGCCAACTGCCGATCGTTCCCATTGGCAAAGGGTGTTCAAACACTGCGTAAACAGACAATCGGTGATCGATTCTTCCGGTGTTTGTTCGGCGTTAATGCACAAACGCTCGATCAAGGGGAATCGTTTATTGTTTTTGGCACTACAATTCATCAAGACACTTCCGTTAATGGGTCTTACATAGTTATTTACAAAATGCCTATTTTCGTCTTCCGTAACATTTTTTAACCACAAACACATATCTCCACATGAGCTTCATCGATACAATCTACTCTGCGCTTTTATCAGATCAAAATACTGACTAGTCCTACTTGACTCTATGTAGATCTTAGGGCTTGGTGGCGACTATTTCTGCGGCATTGCAACCCTTCATGCTCTTTTCGAGCATCCACTTCAAATGGTGTGAGCTGCGCGTCACTTCGGTCGAACAAATCACACATAGAGATAAGACCTCTATGGGACGGATCACGCTCAGATTAATGTGTAGATGAGCAATGTCCAAAGCTCAGATGTGTGCTGCGTAGCTTTGCTGATATGGTATCTCACTCTGCTGCGTATTTGGTCTGAAGACGGGAGAATGTCGAAACATTTAATCCCAACATCCATTCCCTTGTGGATGGGGAGATTACACAAGGTATACAGCGGAAAAACAGCTCATTGCGGTGACCAGATTGAGATACAACGCATGAAACGTTGTTCATTGTGCACGATTATGCAAGCATCCTTATGATAGACAATTGTATATAAGTTCATAGAAGTGTTCCTGTTCATGCATCAATGTATGATGCAATGCGTATCAGTTTCCCTATCACAACACAGTGCATATAGGACTTAACTCGAAATGCGCGGGATATTCTGCACGAGAAGGAAGGCTCATAGCTCTGTACAACGAAATATCCCCTTTGCGTGCGATCGTGTTCCGACAATCCAATCAGTTTAACAACCGGGTTCAATTGACGTCGCTGGGATGGTAAAAACGCCAGCCACTGTTTGCAATGTCAGGGCGACCCTTTCATTATCAGCGCCTCTGAGGATAGCGATAACGTCAATCGCTGTAGTGCGGAATCTGGAAATGCCTACTTGAACGCGAGAGTATTGCGTGAACTGAAACTGTATGCCATGCAAACAGAAAGGTCTGAGGTCATGAGATAAGGCGCTGAAAAGCTATTTCAAGAATAAGTGTTACACATTTCCGACCTTCTTATTGCCGGATACGTTCAATTATTTGAAAGAAATGGTTCATTTCACACACTTGTGTTTTGTTAAGTTCGAAATAACTTCTCCAAATTGAGATCATGCTGTTTGTTTACGTCTGTTTTTGCTAACCGCAATAATTGTTTTCTTTCAGCGGTTCTACCGGCCAGTTATCATTGGCACTCGGAAGGTCAAGGTCGGAGGTCATGACCTGCCCGGAGAGGTCACTGACCCCGAGGCCAAGCCGAAGCCCGCCTTCCCTGACAACCGTATCAGCACTTCCAAGGTCAGGTGGGGGGTCGCTCAGGTCACCTCCGCTGCGCCACGTGAAATGCCGGTGATTGACTCGCACAATCTGAGTTCACGGTGGCGCGATGGCCACATGTGAACGGTGACCATTGATGGAGGCCGTTAATTCACTTACGTGGTTGGCATTTGGCAACAGCCACTCAATTCTCATCGTCTTCATCAGAGTATTGGGAGAAATGCTAAGGCCGAAAAATTCGCATGTTGTGTCACAATAATTAATCCGAAAAATGCCTCGATTCACTTACAATGCAATGAGGTATAAATACAACACGTACGAGATCTTCAAACTAACCAAAACTCAAAAGTGTTTATACCAGATAGATAGTGAGGTCAAGCCATGTAATGCAGATCCGTAACCAGACATTGTCGCTGACATACAGGGTGACACAAAAAAAAAAAAACGGTCATCACCAAATTTCGAATAACTTCGGAAGTTTTATTCAGATCATCACCAAACTTCGGCCACTTAAGGTCACACCTATGTAGCATACATCCACCAAGTTTCGAGTCTTCACTACGAATACTTTTAGTACAGTATGCGTTTTACTGACGCTCCACAATGTGCTCCAGGTGAGCGCCACGGCGCTGCAGGGCGTAGGCACACTTGCATCCGGCGGGCAAAGTTGTCGATAACCCGATGGCTGTGCACTTTACAGAGTGCAATGGCCTCTGGAGACAGTGCTCAGGGGGTGTGCTACCCCTGAAACGTTATTCTTATCGGGTTATCGGCAACTTTGACCGACGGATGCAGGTATGCCTACGCCCTGCAGCGCCGGGGCGCTCACCTGGAGCACATTGTGGAGCGTCCGTAAAACACACACTGTACTAAAAGTATTCGTAGTGAAGACTTGAAACTTGGTGGATGTCTGCTACATAGGTGTGACCTAAAGTGGCCGAAGTTTGGTGATGATCTGAATAAAACTTCCGAAGTTATTCAAATTTTGGTGATGACCGCTTTTTTTGTGTCACCCTGTAATTTCATGCCAAGTTTTATACCAACCGGTTCTAAAAAATGTCTTTTTCCATTCAATTTTAAAGCCTAAACCACCAAGGTTGACCGGATGATAAAGCCACAATCAGCATGTGGGGTGATTTCAAACTATGGATTATCGAGTTCTGTATCGTCCAAGCTGTGTCCATGGCTGGCAGCAAAGACCGTTTGTAACCAGCCGGCCGCCCGGTTCTATTGGCCCTATCAAACTGTGGACGAGTGCCGATGAATTCATTGGCGCCACTTGAGAGCCATTGGTGGGCAGTGACGTCATGACACGTCGTGGGTGTGTACCGAGGTCACACTGAGTGTGTCGGTCCCGAGGTCATTGCGTGTGTGTATCGAGGTCACAGCAAGTGTGTCCCGAGGTCATCGTGGGTCAAATATGGAAGATGTGCCAGACTTTCCTGTGATTCAGCGGCACACTGACGGAGTATCAGCAAATATGTTCAATTCCTTATTGGTGCCGTATATGATTATTTGTTGTTGCAAATACTTTGCCGTAACCTTTGTCACTGAACTGGAGCCGTAACCTTTTGTAATATTCTGTCTATCATGCCAAAAATCACGATACCTCTTCTGTCAGATATATATGCTCGGGGACAAGGTGTCTCTATAGGAACACATGCCCGTCCCATAGTCCCATACTATTCTTTGGGTCTAAATTACATGGACATACGTCCGGGCGAAATTTAACGGACGCATTGCAATACCGGAGCCGGGAGCTGCCCGCATGCTGGATTCCCTGCGTTCGCGGAATCACGGTATATCAGACGGCCCCGGCCTCCCGGGAAGCTGTCTGAGGTTGACACAGTGATAAGGGCCGGGCGGGACCCAGCTATCACCCCGGCTCAGTTCCTCTGTAGATTGCCCGCGCCGACACTGACTGACACTGGCCTCGCAGGACCGGCCAAAAAGGCGTGCTCGGTGACCTTGGTTCTTGGTTTGTGTGAGGCTGCTTAGTGCTCACTCCTAAACAAAGGATCGAGTGGCCAGTTTCCAGGCGCGCACACAGGATTTTTGAATGGGGGGGCACGACCTTCGAACTGGGCCCCCCATGCCGAAGGGCCCCCCCCCCAAAAAAAAGATACGGCCCACGGGGCTATATTTCGGTTGGTTTTAAGCTTGAGCAATTGGTTTGTCAATGCATTATAAAACAATTATTTCGGTACCAGCTTAATTTTCAAAACATATATATTTTTACGCTTGGCTGTTTTTTCTCAAATGCGACTCAGAGCCGGTACATATACCTAATCATCTAATTTATTACGTAAAACATTTCATTAATAAACATTTTTGCAGGTCCCTCAGAAATCAGCCCCGGGCAGCGACTGACTGCCGGCCGGCCGACCGGCCCCGGGTGGCTAGAAGCAGGGGCCGGTCACTGTTTGGCCCAGATGTGTAGGAGCGGGAGCAGCACTCCTTTTTCACGTATATTCGCATATTTTTTTAGGCACATCGACATGAAATGTCATTATATCTGATACGATGCGGGATCACAGACTAGAGATCCAGCTTATAACTTATATTTAATGCTTAACCAATGAATCAAATCAACAGGACTATGTACGATGCATGTCGGACACGTACCCAGAATTTCGCCCAAGAGGGGGTCACCTGCTGGTCACCTGACCCCGGGCCCGCGGGTCACCCGGGCGGCCGGGGTCAGCTCAGGCTAGGATGTACCCAGGACCTTTCGATGGGAGGAGGGAGGCACGGTGGGTCCAGTCTCACTGGCAGACGGGTCTCTTTAAAACGGTCTTTGCATGAGAAAATGTGGAAAATTGGCAAGCAAAAGTATCATTTATGCCCGAGGAGTGTGCCTAATGTACACTAATGCCTAATTTACTTGGTATTTTACGAGCGAGCGAAGCGAGCGAGCTCCTCAGAGTCACCGGTGTGTGGCGCGTTCAGAGGTGCCAGTGAAAGGCCGTCAGATGCGCTGGTGTTGGGTCCTCACAGGCGCCGTTGCGGGGTCTTAGGGCTTAGAGACACTGGTGGGGCCATCATTGGCATGTGTGTGGCCCTGCAAAATGGCCTGCAAGTGGAAAGTGGCCCGTCATAGGCTGGCAAGGACACTCGGAGGCTGGTAAGAGGCCCTCAGAGTCACTGGTACGTGGCCCTCAGAGGCGTCGGTGTGGGGACTTTCAGAGCCGCCGATGTAGGCCCTTAAGATGCGCTGGTGGGGGTCCCTTGGAGGTGGGGCGAGGGGCCTCGCAGTTGCCGTTGTGGGTGCCTTTAGAAACACTGGTGTGGACCGTGTGTCTATCACAGACGGATGTGGAGCCATAGCAGCCAATCCCTCGTTGGCCGTTACTACTTAGGGCCCTGAGCGGCCGGCGAGGTCTCTCAGAAACCGGCATTGGGCCTTTATGAAGAAAATTGTGGCTACATAGGAGCCAATAACGTCCCCCCACAAGCCCTGTGGTGTCCTTCCGAGTTGAAGTGCGGCCAGCGCGAACCCTCTGCTACCAACTGGCGCCGCAGGGCCCCTCGGTTTCGAAGGAACCCTAAACCCGAGAACGGGCACGTACCCCCTCGCTCCCTTGCTATGTCACTGAATCCAAGTGATGGGACCCTTTAGGTAATCAGGGGCGTTTCAGATGACCAGGGGTTTTCAATTGATCAGGGGCCCACCAGGTGACCATGGGCTCCTCTGGTAACCAGGCGCCCCTTAAGTAACTAGGGACCCCATCAATAACCAGGGCCCCTCAGTAAACGGGGGCCACTCAGGTAAGTGTAGGAGTCCCGCAGATAACCAGGGCCGGCAAGGTTTCTCAGGTCCGTTTTTTGACAAGGCTCTTATTGACTCAGGTGCGAGCCCTTTGCCATCAGCAGAGGGCCCTTTCAAACCTTTTGAGGGCCGTTTAACGTCTCTTGAGTTCCCATTGAGGCCTTCTAAGGGCCCTTTGGGCAGTCGAGGGGCCTTTGAGGCCTTTTGAGGGTCTCTTGACGTCAGCTGAGGACCGTTGGACGCCAGCTGAGGATCGTTTTTGGGCCTTCTGATGGCCATTAGACGCCAATGGATGACCCTCTGACACCAACTGGGGCCCTCTGACACCAGCTAAGGGCACTTTAAGTTTGACGCTAGCTCAGGGCCCTCTGACATTAGCTGGGGGGCCCTCTGACGCTAGCTCAAGGCCCTTTGACGCTCTTTAAGGCCTTCTGAGGGCCCCTTGAGGTCTTCTAAGGGCCCCTTGAGGCTTTTTGAGGGCCGCTTGACGCCAACTGAGGACCGTTTGAGGCCTTCTGATGGCCATTTGGCGCCAGCTGGGGGCCATCTGGCACCAGCTGGGGGCCCTCTGTCACCAGCTAAGGACCCTTTAGAGCCTTCGGAGAGCCATTTGACGCAAGGGCATGGCCCTCTGACGCCAGCTCAGGGACCTTTGACACCCTTTAAGGCCTTGTGACGTCCGTTTGACGTTAGCTGAGGGCCCTTTGAGGCTATCTGAGGGCCCTTTAAGGTCATCTGAGAGTCCTTTGAGGTCATCTGAGGGCTCCTTAAGGCCATCTGAGGGCCCTTTGACACCATCTAAAAGCCCTTTGACACCAGATGAGGGCCCTATGACGCTAACTGAGGGCCCTTCGAGGCCATCTGAGGGCCTTTTGAGACCATCTGAGGGCCCTTTAAGGCCATTTGAGGGCCCGTTGTACACGGTCTTCGGTGGTCTAAGGATTAGTTAGAGGCCCATTTGAGGCGGCCTTCGGCCGCCTCAAATGGGCCCCATCCTTCGAGTTGGGCCCCCCAACTCGAATGGGGGGGGGGCACGGGCCCGTGTGCCCCCCCCCCCTTGTGTGCGCCCTTGCCAGTTTCCGACACAGAGTTCCGTTCTTTTGTCAACTGATATGCTGTTATGTTGTGAGATATGATAGTATGATACCTCCTATGCTATCTGTCTTAGTAGGATTATGTTTGTTTTACTAATGCCTAAAGTCAATACCGCCTTTGAAGCACTTGCGTAATGCGTATCTTAGGTGTGAAGGGTGGGGCGCGGCATGGAGCACATCTGATTTTCACGCATCCTACTTCAATAATTTTTTCAATGTTTCGCAAACCAGCAAAAGTAATTTTTATTTGCTCCATGTTTAAAGGTAGTGTGCCAGCTTTCTTGGACCGTATGGAGTTAATGGCCCAGATAAGGAGAACCGGATTTTTAGAACTTATCCATACCTTCAAAACTCATGGAAACGTCTTAAATTCTTCAAATTTTGAGTACCCCAGTGCGAAATTCGTCCCGACGGGTTGTCGGTCGTACCCCAACCACATTTCACACCACTATGAACAATAAATGCACACACTGAAATCGCTATTACCGATATGCTCATCCAATCAAGTTTCGATAAACCCGTTCATCATCATCTCCTGCGGTTTCGAAGTTCGAACACGCCTGTTAGGTGGCTTCTGATGCTCGTCGAGGTCGGAATTTCCAAATACGCGTGGTGCGTCGGGCCGCGCGCTCTGACTTCGGCCAAGAAAAATGCGTCAGCTGATCATTGTCATTTCTGCCCAGGGGGAAGCACTCGCCTTGGCCGTATATGGGCCAGAATGTCTAACGATTTCGGCCATGTTGTGTATACCAAAGTCTTGAAAAGTTGATCGCTGCAATCAAACTGCAAGCATGAAGCAGCAGCACTTTTGAGAAGTGTACCTCTCACTAAACTGCACCTCTGCTACCGTAATGCAATTTATATTTCTGGTATACACAACATGGCGGAAATCGATAGACAAAAACAAGCCACCAATGGTCCTTCCAGTATATATTAGAGTTCAGTGTTTCTGCCACTTGCGTGTGGTGAAATGGGGTCATAACTTATAAGACGGCTTTTTCATATCAATTATTTTACATAAAATCATATTTCAAACCATAAATAATGTTCGACAGCCAAATAAAAGAAACAATACCAATACGGGCTTACAGTTTAAGGCTCGACATTGTGTTGTCTACGATTAGACAGCTGATAACTCATTCCCGTACGTCGTATGGTCGTAACACTATAATGACCTTTGCTTATTGTCACAAGTGCGCCGCATTCGCGATTGTTGCCCGACGCCTGTTTGCAGGTGAGCCCACTACAGTTGTTATACATATCTAAAAACCGAAAAACTTTTAGGCGAAAAAGGCACTATTCCAGGCCCATTTTTGATTTTTTTTTTGCGATATTAGGTAAAAACAGAAGCTTCTTATCCGAGGAAAAATAAAATGGGAAATCTTTCAAAGGTGGCATACTACCTTTAACCCTCGCCCGCACATGGGGGGGGGGGGGTGGTTGCCACCCCCCCCAGGCAGTCTTTCTGCTCTGCACTCAACATTGTTAGAGCTAGAAGGCTGATTTTTCGTATAGCTGCTCGTCTATCCTTTCTTGATGTCCACTGAAAATTTCAAGTTTCTGTGATTTTTGGTTTCGGAGATATGACCTTGTTTTTCAGGTCATGTCATGACCCAAATGGCCAATTCTCAACATCTTGCGTTTGCCATGGGCCTTGTGAGCTTGTGACACCCTGATTTCGGCCTTTTTTGCCAGTCTTACCTCCCACCTATCATGGAACATGTTGTTCGACGATGTACAGGGGTCAAGGTCAGGGTCAAGGTCAACCTAGGTCATCTAAGATAATTGCGTTTTAGGCAAGCTGAATTTACTTTTTGGGAAGTTTTTTGACTGCATTTTTTGGTAAAAGCTGCTCAGATCATGATTTCATGTGATATGGACCCAAAAACAATCGGTGCACACATCAGTATACACACAGACACACACAGACATACAAACACATATAATTGACCTTGACCTAACTTGACCTGAAATGACCTCAGCAGCAAAATTCTGGTCGGATAGTGTGACAAAGAGGTTCTAGCTGGCTTGGCACCAGAAAACAGCATCGTCATCGGTATTTGATAAGCAGCGCACTTGATATCCAACGGTGACCCAAAACAGCAACATTTTTTAGTTTGACCTGACCTGGAAGGTCAATGACTGACCTGAGAAGGTAAAACTGGGTATCATTGGATTCGTCTCTTCCCAAAGAATCTTTTTGGTCTTTACTGCTAAGCTCTATCTCCAACAGGAACGAAATGGCGCGGGGGGGGGGTGGCAACCACCCCCCCCCCCATGTGCGTTCTAGGATGGGAAAATGGCATGTGCGGGCGAGGGTTAATGTACGTACGAAGTGCTAAGGCGCACACCAAACTGGGGTCCCTTATAACATATAAGACGGAACTGTTTTTCCCTGTATCATCTTTTTCTGTAGGGGTGTGTAATATGCATAAGCAATGTGCAATGCATGCATAGTTTGTACGTTTTGGGTGGTGACCAGCTCACCACATCTGCAGCTGTGTGAGACGGGCACCGCAACTTATGACACGAAACACTTGCCCGTGGCCGTCTTGACGTGAGCTTCCTTCTCAACTAGCTCTGTGCGCTGATTTCAGTACAAACTGTGGAGTTTCGTTCCCGTCAACCTGTTTGAACAGTTTCGTCGATTGATCAACTTCTACTACGCGCTCAATATTGCTATCACGGTGAGACGTGTACCACCGTGGTCCTATTGGTCTTTGTCCTCTGATGATCGTCTTTGGTCCGTCTGTGGTCCTTGGTACGTCAGTTGGTCTATGTCACCGGTCTTTGGTCCGTCTGTACCGTCATGACTCGTTTACACCGGCCAGTAGGTGCAGGCATATATTATGTCATTCATATTCATTGTCCTTGGCATGTGATCGAAATTCGTCCGTGGTCTAAAGCCCTGGGTTTACGTGTTCAGAATTCAGATACCTACATTTCTGTGAGTTTTCGTCTGTACTAATGGTCCATGATCTGATCCGTCTATTCGTGATCTTTACTGAACTATATGGAAAACATTACACTTTGTGCTGTCAAAAAAGCCTCATGTGATCGTTTCAGCAGTTTTTATTTGGTTTCGTCCAATGCTTGCTCGTCTTTGTAGATGATGTGAATTGTGAATGTCAAGCTTTATTTTTGTTTCCAACAATTAGTCTTGTTTCGTGCTGAACGAGCCCATAGGTAATGTCTGGTGACTGGTCTGTGTCGGGTAAGTGAACAGCTTCACCTTTTATGGTCTGAGATATCATCGTCTGAGCTTTCATTTGCGCCCTTGTTGTCCTGACTGACTGAGCGAGTTCATCTGTCCAACATTTTCCCAAACTGCCTCTGACAGTTGGAAAGTCGGACTCATAACTGGACTGTTGACCGGTATATCTGTAATCGGTCAACCTTCAGCCATCTGTCAGACACAGGCGCCCCAGGTTATCCAAACTTTGACGCACTACCGGCTTCCAAATGAATTCACGATGCACTGTGAGCGCCAGAACCTATTTTTGGCGATATAACATTCGATGGAGCGCCCACGCATTCCACTGGGCCGTAGCTGCATAAATATCAACGTTTTATTTCCCTGATCTGCGCTCTGCAACAAATGGATCACTTCTGGCGTTTTTCCTGCATCCTGCATCCTGTATTCGTAGAAAACAGGAAAGGCATATAAACGATTATGTACATAATATGTGTAATTGCAGAGGGAAATTGCCTCTATGCACGATCGTTTACTCAATGTTAATATATTCGTCAAGAGCAAATGTGAGACATTAGGTCTGGTAGGTATTGCATACCTAGTGAGTACCTACCTATAGTCTGAGCTGGTGCTTAGAACAGTCAGTAGGTACTACTGACTGTTCAGATCAGTCGTGCAAAGACGCAAAACTCAGCTGAGCGGGCCTCTAATGGTGACGTCATTACGGGAGTGTCCCGCGTGGGCGCAGGCTTCTCCTGCATAGTCTACCACCATCGCCGCAGCATGAGTTCCGCAGCGCACGGTGGTCCTATTTTTACCCATAAGCGTCATATTTCTTCATCAAGGCCATGGCGGAAACCACTAGCTAAAATGCAAAACATGTTGGGTGGTAAACGGCAAGCGACGAATGCGTACGTATGTTTGCGTCCATGCAGATAACGCAGATTGTGCAAAATGCAATATAGCCGGTGTGAAGTGTGAACTGACTCTTAAGTTTGACTATTTGTGTGCTATGTTTGCAGTACTCGATAGTGACGTTTCTACCGAAGAACCTGTTCGAGCAATTTCGCCGTGTGGCCAATTTGTATTTCTTTTGCATCGCCATGGTTCAGGTATTTAAACTGAGTGTGTTCTCTCGACTAACACTGCATGCGAGTGATTAGCTGTGGACGGTATAGCTGTAGACGGTATACGGCTGCTCGGCTGTCGCTGCTCACCAGATCGCCGCGGAGGTGCAGCCAGCTCTGCGCGTTCACAGTGCACGAGCCGCCAGCATGTGGCCTTCACACTAACAGCGAGGCCGCCGCTCACCCCTCCCCAGCACACCCACGATTGCGGAGAGACTCCCTCACCCCTCCCCAGCACACCCACGGGTGGAGAGACCCCTTGGCCCCCTCCCCAGTACACCGGTTGGAGTAACCCCTCCTCCCCTCCTAGCACACCACGCTCAGCGGGAGGGCTCCCACTGCTGCGGGACTGGCTTCAGGAGTAGTGGAGGTGGGGGTAGTGGGAGGAGTAGTGGGAGTGGGGCTTGCACTAGCTAGTGGCTACTGGATGCTTGCAAGTGGGTTGAGATTGGCCTGCACCATTTTTGGGTTTGCATGCAGCAAGCCCGACCAGACAAGACAAGTCGCAATTATTTTTCTCCTCTTTTTGGTAATTGCCCGATCCCATCCAATGCTTTCCTTTCGTCGTCATGTCGTAGTGAGAACTTCTTTGAACATCTTACGCACAAAGCTGTGACTTGACTTCCATGACCACTCAGCCGCTCAGATGTGACTGAAATAGGAGACTAGGCCGGCAGACTCTGCATTGGGCAATGACCGATGCCTTGAATTTACCAGTCTTACCGACTGCTGCAGCTCTAAGCCATATGCTGCACTGGCCCGGACATTGCCACGGGCTTTAGAAGTGGGCGGAGTTGTGCATACAACGCATTGTTAACGACGCAATATCTGGCCTATCGCTGCAAGGCAGAATGCTGATATTTTCCTGAACTTTGACCATGACTAGAGGTACCGGAAAACACGTTTTGCGCCACCGCTAACACCGGTCCCGCAACCGGATCCAGACTGCTATCAGCAATACGCGCAAAGCCGCGTAAACAGCGCTTACTCCCACTCCAGTCGGCGTTGTGCGGCTGCCCTGAATCATTGTGCGCTAACCCTTATACCCCCTGGGGCTGCTGGATAAACTCAGTCACGCCCGGTCACGAACGTGACGTCACGATCGGTCACGTCACGCCCTGACCCGCCCTCTGCCAGGCTAACCCTTACTCTGAACCCCTGCTCAGTGCTCAGGCTGACCTCGTCACCTCTCGCCAGCCTGCACGGACCGCTTATTTCAATCACACGCAATGCCAATAACCGCGGTCCAGCGGCGGTCGATGACGTCACTCGGCTGTCAATGTGACGTCATTAGGTTGACTGTGACGTAGAGAGGACAGCTTCTTGGTGGTAAGCGCTTTTGATAGGTTTTCGCCTTTGAATATGCTTAGAGGCTTTTGCTATTTTTGTTCAGGTGATTCATAATTTTCGTAATGAGATGCATCAGCTGCAGGAGACCTGCACATGAACGATTTTATAATAAATTTAAAATGTCTCGAATGCATTTTAAATCATAATTCCTAGAGTCATGAGCTCTTTTTGGCGCTTAGATGCACAGTTACCCTGTTTATTAATTCCATCAACAAATTATATCATTCCATTAAATTCATCCTCTGGAAAGAAAACCACGGCGCCAGTCCACAGGTGGTCGATAATGACGTGTATCAGTAACCCGCACCAGGGTTGTGCTTGACTCATGAGTCGAGTCAGAAATTTGACTCAACTCTGACTCAAATGAGTCAGATTTGAGTCGAGTCGGATAAAATGTTGAGCTGTTGAGTTGAGTCAGAGTTGAGTCGGACAAAAATATTAACCCTCGCATGTGTGCGGCGTTTGCCAGCTTCTAATGTGTAGGGGGGAGGGGGGTCGGTTGGACCCCCCCCTTGCCGTTTGGCCCCTGATCGAGCTAGAGCTTCGCGGAAAAAACGAGCGTGTTGCCCGTGACGAGAGGAAGCCGATGGTACCCAATTTTAAGGTCCTAGGTCATTGGTTGACCTTCCAGGTCAGGTCAATGACCCAAAGTCGGGAAAATCGGGACCTGTTAGAAAGTCGTAAAGTGTGGCTGCTAAGGGATTTTTCAGGGTGCTGATCACGAATATCGTGTTAGTTTTGATCACAGATGATGTCTTGATGCATTTAGACCAGGTCGGGTCAGGTCAGGTCAGGTCAACCGATTCCCGGATGAAAAGTCAAAACGTTAAAAGTAAACGGATAAAAAGTCAAAGGACATTAAGTCAACAGACAGAAAGTCAACATCGCAAGAAGTCAAAGGACAAAATGTCAAATGAACAAAAAGTCAACCTGCCAAAAAGTCAACACGCCGGAAGTCAACAAGCTAAAAGTCAACACGCAAGAAGTCAAAAGACATAATGTCAAAGAGACAAAAAGCCGACATGTCAAAAAGTCAACGCGCTAAAAGTCAACACGCTAAAAGTCAACACGCATAAAGTCAACACGCAAAATGTCAACGCGCAAAAAGTCAACACGCAAAAAGTCAAGACGCTAAAAGTCAACACGTCTAAAAGTCAACACGCTAAAAGTCAACACGCGAAAGGTCAACATGCTAAAAGTCAACACGCTAAAAGTCAACATGCTTAAAAGTCAATACGCTAAAAGTCAACACACAAAAAGTCAACAAGCAAATAGTTAATAGGTGCGCGAAAAGTTGATGCGCAAAATGTAGTCAACAGCAAAAAGTAGTCTTCAACAGCAGTCGATAACTAAGTCGGTACAAGTACGCCGCAGCCCGCGTCTCCGGTCGGCGACTGACCCGCGCCGTGCCACCTGATCCCCGGCCGCCGCCCGCTGGGCGCCGCGCCGGCTGCACCGCATAGTGATAGCGCGTCTCGGCGCGTCCCCGTATATACATACGTGCCCCGACACTACCGATAAGAACGCTCCTACCTATTTTTACTTTGCTTTAAAAAGTATATTGGGAATGTGAACTTATCTATATAAAGTTGGCGTACTGTGCCTGCTGGTGGCGGGGGGGGGGGGGAGTTCCGATAAGGAGACGTAGGGCGGAGGCGAAGATGAAGGAGAGGGACAGTAACTGGTGGCCACAATGCGCTATACTTGTCACCTCTCTTTGGACGTCACAGCTCCGAGGTCCTAAAAATTGTGTTTTTAGCAATCGCATCTCGATAACTTAATTGACCTATACATTTCGATGAAAATTGGTCACCTTAATTGTATGCAGTCCGTACCTTTCGATGAAAATTGGTCACCTTAAAGGGACCCTCCCACCTTAACATTAGATTTGAGTTGAGATAGCCAAAATGGGGTCCCTGGCTCACAATTACCGGTTTCGGCACTCACAACATCGAGAAATGCCTTAAATCGGAAATATTGAATTTCAAAATTGCAACATTTTGATTCAGAGGGGCTAATGCATAGGAATACCCCTCTGAATGTGTGATGTCAGCGCAGATATCTAACGATTTTTAAATGTTTGACTAAAACGTTTTGTAGCACGCGGTGGTATATGCTGCTTTGCGTGCAACAAATGCCGCACTTTCAAATAAAGTCGCTAGGAACAGCGGAGATCCCAATAAGTAAACAAAAGTAAAAGTCTAATATCTTGAAAACCGGTGAATATTTTTCGATGAAATTTGGTAGATATTTGTTTTTGCTCTTTCTGAACCGAGCGACATCACTTTCATGCCAACTAATTAACTTTTTTGAAGGTGGGAGGGTCCCTTTAATTGTATGCAGTCCGTGAATATTAACAGGTTGTTGTCTGTTGATGCTGATATGAGCGTTCCTTTCAAGGCAGGACAATCCGACAATCACACAATTGCCTCTCGTTCCAACTTCCACCTATCTAAAAGAAACGACGCGCTTTACTATTGTACCAATTGTACCATACAATACGCTTGAACTATAATAAAAGTGTGAAATCGCTAATAGAACCCGTGACGGAATCAATTGATGAGAAACGTCTCCCTACACAATATAGGAAATTTGAACAAGCGAACCTTTCGTATCGATAACATTCCGGGTTACTATATTTGTTGAAATAATTCCAGTAAACTGCGCCTGGGACAGCCAGTTGTCTCGAAGGATCATATAACGCTGCCTCATGACAACCTTACGATGCGAGCGAGCTCCCACCTAGCACGTAAGTGTCAGATTTCAGCCAAGCATGCCCGTGACCCGTGTGACCAGCTGAGTCGCGGTTGCGGGCCATGGGAATCCCCATCAGTCGCGCAATGGAGGCAGTCTCGCTCATGTATGTAATGACTGATGATCCAGGTGTCATTGACTTTGTCTCTTTGACTTGTCCTTTTGAGTTTTTTGATTTTGGCTTTTTTTCCTTTGGATTTTTCGTAATTTGACTTTATGTCCTGTTGACCTTTCGTCTTTTGACCTTTGTCCTCTTTACTTTTTGTCCTTTTGACTTTTTGTCCCTTTGATTTTTTGTCCTTTTGACTTCTTGGACTTTGACTATATGTCTTTTTGACTTTTTGTCCTTTTGACTTTCTGTCCTTTTGGTTTTTTGGATTTTGACTTTATGTCCTGTTCACTTTTTGTCTTTCGACTTTTGTCCTTTTTACTTTTTGGCAATTTGACTTTTTGCCATTTTTACTTTTTGTCTTTTGACCTTATGTCCATTTGACTTTTTGTCTTTTGACTTCTATGCTAGTTGACTTTTTGTTCATTGACTTTTTGGCAATTTCACTTTTTATCTTTTGACGTTTTATCCTTTTTGACTTTTTGCCTTTTGACTTTCCTCTTTGTTGACCTTTTACCTGTTGACTTTTAAGATTTTTGACTTCTTGCTTTTGACGTAATGTCTGTTGACTAATCATCCTTTTACCTTTTATCATTTGACTTTTTGTCCGGAACCCAGGTCAACCAGTAGGCGTCGTGACGGGTATTCGTAGTACGTGTCAACCGCCTCTGACAGCTTCGTAACATGTTACGAAGTCACCAAAACTACTAAGTAAATGTTCAAATGGTTGCTAAATTCGAATTCAGCTCCAAAAACTAGCCTAGAAACATGTAAAACTCGAAAAAGTGACTCGAGGTCACCCGAGGTCACCAAAGGTCAATGACCTGACCTGACCTTCAGGTGACCTTGACACACACGGGAGTAACATCAAATCACATGTTTGAACGTTTGAAACCACGAGAAGCTTGCAAACACGCGGCTAGTGCGAGCCGACATACGCGAAATCGCGATTCCGGCCAAACATGGTCTCGGAAAAGAGGTCACAGGTCAAAGGTCATTTGGTTCAGGGTCATGAAATTTTCAGGGTAGGTGTAAAATTGATCAATGCGAGGGTACTGAAAGTTTCGTCGCGATCGGCCGCTTTTTACGCGAGTTATTCGCGAAAAACCATGGGGGGGGGGTCCATCTGACCCCCCCTACACATGCGAGGGTTAAGGCGTTGAGTTGAGTCGGAATTGAGACAGTAAAATAACTTTTGACATTGAGTTGAGTCAAACATTTAGAAACATGAGTCAGCTGACTCAACTTTCTAGCAACTATACATACATACATATATAATATATATATATATATATATATATATATATATATATATATATATATATATATATATATATATATATAAATATATATATATATATATATATATATATATATATATATATATATATATATATATATATATATATATCAGAATATTTGGGAAGCAGGTTCTCTCTGATACATATGTCATTAAACACGACAGCATGTTTGGTGTTTTGGTGCACAGCATGTTTTGTCGACCAACATGACACAGAACAAAAATGACCAAGCTACCAACATAGACATATACTACAGAAACACCCTCACACCATCCTGGAAAAAAGATGAAAAAGCCATGCGTGACATCATCACAAAAAACGTCATTCCAGTCAATCCTGAGCACCGCATACGCTTCAAAATTTACTACAAGTCACCACGGACCTCCTCACTCATAATGCGTAACAATCAACAAACCACTACACCACTACAAGAAACCAATGTAGTATACCGTTTTAAGTGTTCTACCGGGGACTGTGCAACCCGCAACGTATACTACATTGGTCACACAACTACATCACTGAGCCGCCGACTGACTATGCACTTACAAGACGGAGGACCCAAGGCACATCTTCATGACCAGCACGGAACCCGACTCACGAGAGACTTACTGACAAATAACACCACAATAATAGCGCGACAGAACGACAAACGACGACTGGCCATCACTGAAACCGTCATCATCCGCGACACATCACCCATCATCAACACACACATGAAAACTCTGACAAACATTCCACTGTTCGACAGACAAATGATGTAATGTGTGAAAGTTTAAACGATGTGTCATCTGTGAATTATGATGGTTTGTTGTTGTTATGCGCGACCCAATGTAAATATTCACGGTAACGATGTTAAGACCTGTGTATTTAGCTGGATGTAGATTTGTGTTCGAAAGAGTGGTGCCATGATACAAATAGGTCGATGTTTGAAGAAATGTTAATATTTTATTCATCTGTGACATATATTGCGCGGCATCATTTGTGTATATTCATTTCTCTGATGATGATCAATGTTGATCGAAAGCTAAGATAAATATAACAGCGAACGAATTATGAACGAACTTTAATTTACATCCTAATGAGGAACCGATTTACGACAACTTTAATCTCGATCGCAGCCATTGCTTCTTTTGGTGAGTTACTTTTCTCTTTGAACGATGAAGAAAGAAGTACCGTCCGACGTCTCGAAAATGAAACAAAAAAGCTGAATAACACCAAACATGCTGTCGTGTTTAATGACATATATATATAAATATATATATATATATATATATATATATATATATATATATATATATATATATATATATATATATATATATATATATATATATATATATATAAGCTTTTCATTCCCCCCTCCCGCTCAACAACTTTTTTATCTGAGTCAATTTTGAGTCAATTTACTTGACTCAACAAAAAATTTGAGTCAAGCTTGAGTCGCCTCATATTTTCATCGAGCCGCTTGAGTCATGAGTCGAGTCAAGGGAAAAAAAGCAGCTGCTTGTTTGAGTCAGAGTTGAGTCAGGACTTTCTGAAGTTGAATGATGAATCGAGTCAGCAATTTTTTTGAGTCGAGCACAACCCTGACCCGCTCGTCTCACTAACCTGTGCACGGTGGACGGGGTGGACGGTGCACAGACCGGTACCGGCGCCCCGGAATGCTAAGAAGCCGGGACAAACCGGCTGAGTCCGGCTCGTACAGAGTCCACTCTCCAAGTACATACTGCAGAAACTGAATATAAATGATGCGCTTCTCAGGGTGCGCAACTGCCGCTTGCATGTAATAGGGGAACAGCTGAGTAAAATTGCAATAAATAGTTGACGATAATCATGTGAAAGTATTTCCAATGCATCCTAGGCGTTCTAATGTCGGGTAACAAGTTTGAACTTCCAATGATTGATACCATGGATCTGACAAGTCAAATGGTTGCCACAGTCTGTTTGTAATTGGCGATAAGAGCCTACAAGTGCCCATATCCTGTGCCTTATCTAAGCATGCGGGGCAGCTTCTATCTTACTATTTCAACAGGGCGGATCTGATGATTTCACCAATAAGCAGAGCATTCATATCTTCCTTTGCTCTTCACTGCATGCCAGCTATAAGGCGATAAGCCCGCTATTGACTTTGCTTGCGATGTGTGTGGCTTTTGTGGCAAGTGTATGTAAACGGCAATGAGTTCATATATGTTTGTACATACGCACCTTGGTGATATCCTAAGCTGAATCAGCAGTGCATGGAGAGGAATGCAAATAAGACATAGTGTGCATGATATCTACGTCGTCACTTTAATCAATTCAGTGCGATGTAATTTGTGCACTAGGTGAGTTATACACAATCATATAGGTAATGGGCACAACTCACACATAAGCTATTAGTAGTAGGTAATTGCTCGCCTATATGGACCATTGGAATTAGAATCGATCATTATATATATCGATCATATATATCGATTATTATATATTTCAATACTGTGAAACAAATAATTTTCAAAAACTCAATTCGAATAGGCATGCTACCAAAAAAGTCACTTTTAAGTTTTTCGCGGGTTCATTGAATACAATGTCAATGCAGCAAGCAGTGTTTATTGAGTCCCTTGCTGACCTCTCATGGCCAATGTCGCCGGTCCGTGTCAGTGTCTGATCGACGGTCAGCTGACCTCTGTTGACCTCTGCTGACCTGTGTCACCTGCGGCGGCCCAGTGTCTGATCGACAGTCCAGTCAGCCCCGTCACATCCGCTATGCCGCTGGGGTTTGTCGTGTGCGTCACCATGCTCAAACAAGGCTACGAAGATTGGCTCAGACATAAAATGGACGACGAGGTCAACAACAAACCAGCCACCGTCATACGAAACGGCAGAATACAGGTCAGATAAATTAAAGTGCGTCAGGATTTACTGCTCAATAATAGACGGCCGTCGGCAACTCAGTAAATGGACGTAGCTCGGCTAATTTGACGTGACGTTGGCCGTTTTTCCAATGCACCCGTTTTTCATTGGTTTAGTTCGCCATAGCGTTCAATTATACGATAATGGAAACACTCTACATACATTTCGACTGAGTAAGTTTATCTGTGGCCCTTTCCAGGAAGTGAAGACGAAGAGGATCGCCGTGGGTGACATCGTGTGTGTGCGGGCGGAGGAGGACTTTCCATGTGACCTGGTGATGCTCACATCCTCCGATCGGGAGGGTCAGTGCCACATCCAGACGGCCAACCTGGACGGAGAGACCAACCTCAAGGTGGGTGACTCACTGATGGGCTCAGATGCATACAGACAGACCAACCTCAAAGTTAGTAACTCACAGGTCGGTATATGCCAAACAAAGATCAGTCGGAAGGGGAGTGGTTCGCAGGTGGGACTTTGTCACAGAGACTAGACCAGTCTGTAGGTAAGATAATTCTCCACATGACAGAGGACCAGCCGGACGAGTGTGTCGGACTGCGGAAATCGCCGCGATGCCTCGCCGTGGTGACCGTTCAGTAGCGCAGGGACAGGAATTGAACGGAGACATTGTGGATGGAGTCCCCAGTCGATCATCTTACTAAGGAAGGAAGGGATCAAATCCTGCGGCTCTCCGGAGAGATATACGTAGCGCAGAAGATAGCAAAAACTGCCGTGTGAGATTAATTCTGAGGAACGGAACTAATTGGAAATAATCTGCAAAGCTGGAATAATTGTTGATCGTGGTATGGATTTCCAGGGACACAGGAGCTCTCTTAGATTGGTAATCCGTGCTAACCGGTTTTGATTTAGGTTATAAACCAGTACCGGAGCCAGCTTTACGAGATGGTGCAGAAGGGACTGCATTCGTCCTTGGGTTACTGAGCTCAGCGTCGAGTTTATCTTTCCCGTATTAGTGCCAGTATTTAACACGCGCAGTGGAAGGGGGGGGGGGGCGGATTTCGCCCACCCCTCCTGTTTTTCGCCAATAACTCGCGCCACAAACATGATATTGATGTGAAATTTTGGCTACCTGTCCAGAATTGAATTGCGGATCTTCTCGTGCAAAAAATAAGAAAATCGGTTCGCAACTTTTCTAGTAGCAGCGGTGTAAAGTCAAACATCCTGCCGCCGCGTCGGCGCGTCGGCCGGCGCTAACCGTTACGCGCCGCCTGAATTGTAGACTGTGCCGGGGCGGGACGGTTCCGTCTTTATATCGCGCTCCTTACCGCTGATTATATTCGATTCGCGTAAAATTTTGTGAGAAGACTAAGAAATGTACAGGCAATCTCATGGTCAAAGTATTTTGAAAATCGGTCGGTAACAACTTGAGTTATGAATGTGTAAACACAAAATTGTGATTGCCGCGTTTCTCGCGTCGGCCGATGCGGCTTCAGCCGGCGATATCTTACTCTTAGCAGGCTTCTAGCTGCCATATTTATTGTTGGATTAACTAGAAATTCACCATACATACTCACAGATGTATGTTCTTTCGTATAGTGAAAGAAAAAAGAAAATCGGCCGGTAACTTTTTGAGTTATCGGCGTGTAAGCGCAAAAAGTCGCTAATATGGCAGATTTGACCACATTTGACCTCATTTGACCTTGAAGATATTGACCTACTATGCATTTCAGACCCCATGAGACCCTGTTTTTCGGCGATAATTTCTTCAATTTTTGTCCAATTAGCTTGAAATTTTGGCAGACCATGTTTCAGCTCAAGCGCCAATTTTTGTCAATATGGTCTCTTAACAAAATATCAAAATTTAGAGCACTTGTCGTTGGCTCGTAATGTTAATCAGTTTTTGCACCCGGATAGAGGCTCGCTCGTTGCCGCACCGGATTGGATAGGAGCGCTGGCCAATCACGTTATGCCGTGCTCAACTTGACTCCGCCCACCGGCCGTGACCGCGATGGGTCTATGCCGCTTCAGTCGGTGTCAGCACCGCGGAGAGGTCGCAGCGGGACCACATAATGGAGACAAGTTAAGCTGGCAACGTTATTTCGGGACGAAAGCCAAAAAATTATCCGTTCGAGGGCATTTGGTGTCCTCTTCTCCTTATTTTGGTATTTAAACGTCGAACCAGCTCAGAATATTCAGAATGATCAGAATCAAAGCTAGGATCTATTTGTATTGGAACGGAACCGGCCGTAGAAGGAAAGATAGATGGACTCTTGAACTCTGAATATTTATTTAAGCCGGAGTTGCACCTATCTCATCGTCAGGTTGGGTCAGGTCACTACCCGATTACCTATAAGGTCATGCGTAAGCCTCTGCATGACCAAAAAAATATTGATATATTTGGCAGCGTCAATAGATGTTTCTGAGGAAGGCGCAGAAAGCAACAGGGTAGGATGAAGAGTCTCGGGCACGGCCGATTGCCTGGGGCATCGCTCCCTAGCGAGACGACCGTATTCGTGATTCGTGAAGCGGTGCGGGGCGCCGGGTGGGGCAGAAGCGTAATGTGTCGTATGGTAGAATGTCATGTGTGTGTGTCATATTGTTAAGGCGTGCACAGAAAGAAATAGGAATGTGGCAGGCGGACGTTGGGCACTACACGAGAACGATCATCAAGAAACACAAAACTTTTTTTTGTTTGCAAAACTTATGTAGCAGTAGGTATGTCCTCAATGGTGAGGTAACTCAGGGGCGGATCCAGAAAATCTCCAAGGGAGGGGCCATTAGAAACCAGGAGCCCCCCCCCCCCATAATCCCACCTGTTGGAGGCCCCATCTTCCCACTTGTTGGGCCCCCCCCCAAAAAAACTGCGTCTATTGAGCTTATCTAGCTGTTCAGGCAACATCTCAACATCTGTGCAGGCTTGGAGGCCCTCTGTGCAGGTTAGGAGGCCCTGTAAAAGTGGTCATCTCTGTGAGTATAAGAGACCTCCAAGTTATGAAAAGCTTTACCAATCTTCTAACAAAGAAGTCTTCTCAGCTAGTCTTCTAAAAAATAACTAAGTGGGTAGGTTAAAAAAAACTCATCGGATTTCGGCCACTTTATTTTCAGGAGGCCCCCTTTTCAGCTTTTTAACTTTTTAACTTTTTATTTTATTTTTGGAAAAAATCGGCCAAGGGGGGCATGGCCCCCATGGCCCCCCCCTTGTATCCGCGCCTGAGGTAACTATCTCTATTCTCTAGGCTTTTACTTTTCATGTTTGCATTTCAACACATAAGATCTGGGGGTAAAGTTAGTCCGGCGACCTCCTCAACCGAAGTCGATGACAAAATGGATTACTCCTGAAGGTGTTCAATGCTTATGTTGCACCGGGATGATATGAATCGATCACACCGGCATACATTCCTAATCAAATTTCATATATCAAACACTTAAATTGCATCCTATTAATGGTGATTCTATTTTGCAATTTGAACGTAGTCTGACACGATACATAATTTTACGCAATCATTTGAAATCAACAACGTTTTTTATGTGCGCTTTTTCACAAGCCCCGAATCTTGTGTGGAAATAGATATTTTGTTGTGACTGAACAAGGTGTACGTATACATTTGTGATAAATGGAAAGTCAAGGGCTTCAGCTAGTGCGTTACTTATGCGCGCTATTTAGCTCATTCGATGAAGTTACGGCTGTAACGACAACTGCACGGCAGCTTCGCTCCATGCGAGCCGCCCCGGTGCGACAGCTACTGCCCCGCCCGCTCCACGCAGCCGACTGACCGGCCAAGGTCACCGCCCCGTCCGCCGGGAGGGCGGAGCTTAATGGTCACGTGTTTGTGACGTCACACCTACGCACGGATAGCCTCTACTCCACTGACGGATTTACGGGGCCGATTTCAACATTACGAGGCAACGACAAGTACCCTAACATTTGATATTTTGTTAAGAGACCATATTGACAAAAATTGGCGCTTGAGCTGAAATGTGCATTGTGAAAATTTGAAGCAAATTGGACAAATATTAAATAAATTATCGCCGAAAAACAGGGTCTCATGGGGTCTGAAATGCATAGTAGGGTCATGAAATTCACACACAACAGAGTTCCCCAAGGCCTTCAGCTACCCTCCAAATTTCGTCTTTCTAGCTCCAGTGGGAGCTGAGATCTTAGGGGGGGGCGACATCCGCCCCCCCCCCCTTCCACTGGGCGTAGTACTCGCAACCCCTCCACTGCGCGTGTTAAACTCCCACCCCAACAATCTGCCACCTTACCCGTGACGCTTGACACCTATTTAATTTCACATTGTGTGATGCCTGCACGGTATTTTTTCAGACGAAGGAATCGCCGGCGCAGACGCGTCACATGCGCTCTGTCTCCGATCTGGACGCCATTAGAGCCTCCATTGAGTGCGAGAACCCGCGGCCCGATCTGTACAAGTTTATCGGCACCATGAAGTTCCACAACGCCGCTAGCGGGACGGTCGAGTCAGTGCCCCTCGGGCCGGAGCACGTCCTGCTGCGCGGCTCGCGACTCAAGAACACCGCCGATATCTACGGTGGGTGGAAGAGGGGGCAGAGGGCTGGGAAATGGGAGGATACAGAGCTCTGAGGGAGATTGGGCTGGGAGGGGATGAACAGGGACAAACACCATCCGAATGTTGAGAACCTGCGATTAAAAAAAAAAGAACCTGCGATTATTTGTTTTTAGGAATATGATTCACAAAGGATCATTCGTTCACATTCATTGCATCATAACGTATTTTCAAACGATACTAGGAAACAAGTGGCGCATATCTTGCAGCTCCTAGTAACTGAGTCTCCGCGGCAGTATCAATCACGTCATTCTACTTTTTATACCCGATAAGAGGCCGCGTGATCAACGGTCACATCACAAGTGACCATCCGGGTCCGCCCTGCGGCTGTCGTCATGCCACTTGTGCGTACGTCGTGGGCCGGGGAGGGTCAGGGGCACTTCAGATCCCTGTAAAACGCAGATATCTGCGGCATTGATATTTGATAGGGCGCTATTTGTACCGTGGTCTCTACACGCGCTATGAAACACGTGAGAGGCGGGGTCACGGACAGCACGTGGGACCGTCACACCACCCTATCTCGACTGCGTGAACACTTACACGATTGTTAAGAGTGATCTGAAGAGCCGATGACTGTGCCGATTGATAATCAGATTACTCAGGTATCACATGTGCTCATCATAGCGGATCGCTCTTCTTACATCTGCTGAGATATTTCAAGTAACGAAAAACACTCGAGATGGCTTTTGTTCTGGCGTCTGGCAACGCAACAAGTTCTTCTAAACAAGCTTTTTAATCTGGCCCACTCAACAGCTTCACCCTAAATATGACGCGAGTGCGACCCCTGCCACCGACCGTAGGTCACCTATAGAGAATAGATAGGGAACTTCAAACGGGCTCATGACGAGCTGTTGCAACCGGGGGCTCAGCACAAGGGAGGATGGGAAGCTTCCCTCTTGATGCTGCTTTGGAAAACAACAGATATATTGAAGGGATTATGTTATACCTATCACATTTTTATGGTACCTAATTGTGATATTTTATGGTCATTTATTGTTTGAATTACCTTGAATATATTGCGAGGAATTATCAACCTTTAATTCGTATCTTTGTAAGAATTCTTTCACTATACACACAGCAGGATAGTGCAGTGAAAGTGTGTAATATTTCATCCGCAGGATGTGCCATCTACACTGGCCGCGACACCAAACTGGCACTGAACCTGAAAATCACTAGCAACAAGTTTTCGTCCGTAGAAAAGTGAGTTGCAATAGACTGGAGAGAATGTTGTGCCAAACGTTTCCCTCAGATAGAAGGCTGCTAAATGGGCCATTTGTCATCGGCGGCGCCTTAGGTGTCTTTTTACGGGATGGTACAAGGAGAAACAGGGGAGCGTCTCCATTCAACTCTGCTAATAAATCACAGACACATAAAGTTAATCTACTGAAATTTCTGTCGGTCGTATTGTAGGCTTATTGCAGGTATAATATCAACGACACACCATAGAGCCATTGATCACTGACAGTGTTCAATTTTGTGGCCAGGTCGATGAACAAGTTTCTGGTGTTTTTCCTGCTGCTGCTGCTGTGCGAGGTCACCTTCGCCACCTTGTTCTCCTTCTTCTACCAGAAGACGCAGGAAGCCGTGACGAGCGACAACGGACTCATGGAAGGTAAGCTCACCGAAAAAGCCATAATGTTTATCACACCGTAGTCGCCTAATACAGTAACATTATAGAATAATGGCATCATAAAGCTCGACAGCAGTTCATGAACCCTCTCGGCTTACAGTGTCAAATTCTGCGCATACATTTTACCTTTAATCCGAAAAAACAGGATGCGAGCTGAGGCTTCAAAGATAATGCTCGCTGTTCTTTTGATAAGCGCATCGCTTATCATCCACCTTGTTTTACCACGTCCTGTTGTTGGCCGGACATTGCGGACGTGCATTGACGGGAAAGGACTTCGATAAGTTTTGGGTAACGTCAATCACAATCATGTCAAATGGCCAAAAAACATGGCTGTGTGAAAGGGTAAGGTATCTACATTTAAGTAAGTTATCATAGGGTAAGTTATCTAGGGTATGGTATAAGTAGGGCAATATTCACACACCGGTGAATAAGAGGACTGGTCAGAATGCCAGTCGCCGAGTTATAGGCCGGTCCGACTGCCCCTCGGGTCAATGAGACGATTGAGCCGGTCGATTGCCGATCGAGTCGATCGGGGAGGGCAGAGAGGGCACGAGCCGCCGCTATGAAGGGTGCCCCACACAAATGAGAGCTCGGTAGATGAACCGACAGCCGCCGGCCGGGCAGTGCCGGTGGGTAATCAAGCTCGAATGGCCCCTGGAGGCGCCCACCGTCACAGGGTGGGGGAGGGGGAGGGGGGATTAGCCACGGGGAGGATTTCCTGAAAATGAACAGCTATATTAGGAAACAATGACTCACCGTGTTTCATTGATTGTGACGTGACGTGGTTATCTGTCTATATTAAGCCAGAAATCGGGTTAATAAGGCACTCCGTAAAGTATAATAGCGACATTTGTTTGTATTTGTCCATGCCTATTCGATGCGCTAATTTTTTACACAGCTGCTGTCCACAAACTGCTCCGAGTTATGCAACCTATTCAACTAACAAGTCTCCGACGCTTTGTTATTTGGCCTTGCAATAGCTAATTTGAGCTCCTGGAACAAAGCTCGCACGTTTATTCATTCACATTTGACTTACAATGCAGTGGCGAGACCGGACGACATCTTTTGTCCCCCCGCCTACTGAAGTTTCTATTCTCGGACACCGGTGACCCTCTGCTATTCACCCTGACCGTGACGTCATTCGACTGTAAGATCGCATTCCCCTCTTCTGGAATGTCCGGATACAGTGCATGCGGTACTTATCATACACCAGTGCTGACTGTCGGGAGAAAGTCTGATAAAACCAGACTACCGTCGCCAAAGATGACAAATCACACTTGGTAGTGAATAAACAGCGAATAGCAGTAGGGTAGGGTGGGGTAATTTGAACATGTGGGGCAATTTGAACATAGTGTGAATAACACAAAATTACGGAAAATCCATAAGTGGCATGACAATAAGACCAATGAGAGAAATTATCGTAACTAAAAGGGCTATCATATGAACGGGGTTTAAAGTTTCAGGGAATGAAGATGTTGACGCACAGTGTAAAAAATCAATTTCGCAAGGATAAACGCCTAACAACACGTCATTGCAACTTCATTGCAGCGCAAAATCTTGCATTGCTAGCGCCTAATACGCAACGGCTTTTGTTGTACAATGACCTTAACAGTGCCTTCAATCCAAGAAATTTGCTTTTGAACCCTGTTTTTAAAAATTGCAAAATAACTTTTAGCGTGGGGTAATTTGAACATAGTGTGAGAATTTCAATGAAGACAGGGATAGCTCCGAAAAAACAACGCTCCCAGTTTTTTTTGCCAATATTTTTGACCCAAAGCAGTAGCAGATACGTGATGCCAGTTTTAGAAAATTTACGTCTAATATCCGTCTAATGTCTGGCATTTTCGTTGGTTTTCCGTCCAAAAATGTTAAAGTCAACTATTTGTCCAAATATGTCCGAAAATTATACAGCTATCAACACTCAAAACCGTCATTTATATTGCTTATCATGTAATTTTACCAGCCGAAAAGTGTTCATTATATTGAGAGCTTAACAAGCTTTCCATTCGCCAATCAATGCTACGCACAATTACTTGATAAAAATGCTTAAGTGTGGCAGGCCATCGTCCAACGTTGTCCAGACTTCTATACCTTTGTGCAATCAATTCTGAATTGGACATTATAAAGAATCGGAACTCCGAATGTCCAGGTTCCGATTGGCACCACTATAACAGATGAAGTAAGGTTTGGTAGAGTTTTTATCGAACGGAGATGATAGACGTTCTGTTACTTGAAGAGAGGCGAATTCTGTCAACTGACCGGTGTGCAGCGTGCAGATATTGATACTCTGCAACTCTTATTTTTGTTGTTGTGTTGATTTTTCAAATGATGGTATTTTTAGAATTGCTCTGCCTATTTGTTTATGGGTCAAACAACATCGGTGCTGGCGAGACTATCTTTTTAATGGCAGGTAAAGACAGTATGTTCAAATTACCCCACGGTGGGGCAATTTGAACACACCGTGACTTGGTGGAGAAGTGATGCTATGCTATTCAAGGTATGCTCGGCTCGTCCAAAAATGAGGCTTGCATGGTGAAAGCAAGTGACACATGCGCTACTGACAGTTTTTCTTCATCCAGGGTTGAGCTGGAATTTGGTACAACGGAGAAGACGTAAAAATATGTTCAAATTACCCCACACTACCCTAAGTTACCACCGGTAAATCTAGTTTAATGCAAAAAGAAGTGTGCACTGCTGAGGTTTCCCTCATCTGTTTTGAGTGATTATCAGGCTCAAAGGCGTCTGGTCACATGATACTCGTATTTTCTCCGTGCCTAAACGGACAATTTACTTATCCCATCAGCAAAAGCTATGGTAGTTTAATATTAAATTACACTTCAATAAAAGGTGTCATTTTACCTTCCAGTTGACATAATATCGACACCAACATTCACGCTAAAAGTTCTTAACGAGTGGAGCTCCTCGCTTTCCCCATCGCAAACAGACATGCATAATTCAAAAGAAGAACACATAGGGGAACGTTGCGCAAAATCGTACAACTTCGCATAACCGGACGCCAATGTATGATGCGAGACGCGAGTGCACTGACTTGCGGTCTCGGCACCGCTGGTAAAGTGGTAAGCCGCGCGCCGCACATGGGGGAGTCCCCGCTTCTCACGAGCCGTGAGGTCACGCTCCTAAAAACGCATTCCCGACGGGGGGCGGATATCCGCCCCCCCTGAGGTTTTTCGCGGATAGCGGGAAAACCGCGGCGCGTAGCGCCTTGAAATTTCGTACGACTATTCTCTCATCAATTTTACACATGGTGTGCAAGTTTGAACCTCCGAACTTTTAAGGTCAGGTCACCAGGTCACTTTGAATGACCCAACCTCAAGTCACTTTTTTGCAACTTTGTCACCGTGCCAGAGCTACAGTAGATGTCGGAGGCCTTTGAAAGTCGCAGGATGTTATTACGTAATTAGTAGCTACAATTTTTATATCTCGGAATTTTGATGTCGGTGACCTAAGGTCAGGTCAATTTCGCGACCTCCCCATTATAAGTCAATGGGGGAAAAGTCAACTCACTGTTTTTACCACTAAAACGGGTCGGAATGGCCCCATATACCATACATGACTTCATATACGATCAACCGACACTACCTTGAGGTCTGTTTTGCTGTTGGGCAGCTGTAAGGTCATGTGACGTCATCAAAGGTCACCAAAGGTTTTTTGCCAATAACTCCGTACAGGAACAAGATACAGCCGCGCGGATGGTCTCATTGTGTTCAGCTCGTCAAGACGCATCGAATGATATACATGATGACCTCGAGGTCACGTGACCTGAGGTCAACCTTTGACCTTGACCTTTCGAGGTCAACATATATATCATTCGATGCGGATTGACGAGAGGATCACGATGATGCCCTCAGTTTGTTCCTATCTTGACTAATTCGAAAGTTATTCGAGAAAAACTCTCTCCATATCTAGCGCCGCCATTTTGACTTTTTCGACCCCTGTGACGTCATCTTTGACCTGACCTGAAAATGGCCTTTGTAAAAATTGTAGACCTTGACCGTGTGTATCCGATGCCGTTTACCGCTTGTCGCTATCTTGCTTCGTTCTCGAGATCTCAGGGGGGGGGCGGTCATCCGCCCCCCCGTCGGTGCGAAGTTGGCGCAGACCCCGTCGGTGCGCGGGTTAAATCTTGCCTCACTGTCCCTCATCCGCCCCGGGACAATAGATGCAAGGATCGGATCTTTAGACGCATCAGAAAAAAACAAGGAACATTATTTCCGGATAGGAAGCGGTAGGAAGGACCAATCACCCAGCTGCATAGTGCAACCCCTGCAGCTCACCCTGCCGGCCCCTACATCGGGCCTCAGTCGGTCAGAATGGACAGGAGCAAACAGCTCAGCGGATTGTGGTGACACTTGGCTAGAGCGCTGTGAGATTCCGCGCGCTGTGCTTGTTGTGCTTCTTGCATCAGCATGGAATTCGTCCAAAAATGTGTCACGAGCTAGCCATTTATTAGGTTTCGCTTAGGAATGTCAGTTTGCTTGATCATGAATTATTGGACAGAGTCCCAGCCATAGCTATTGCTGGTGAGGTAGGTAGGAGAGCGAACAAAAGCCAAGCGACAAACATCTATATAAATAGTTTATCTCATCACATTCAATTTATTCCAGCTTGTAGAAACGTTGGTACTACCGTTACAACTTACAATCCTCATGCACTATGTTGTTTGTTGTCATCTGACGTCTCAGTCTTACTGATTAGATACTCCTATCCCCGCCAGGGTCACCCTGGTATCTGCCTGAGGAGGAGTTCGCCCCGATCAACACCATCTTCTCCTTCCTGGTCATCTTCAACTACATCATACCCATATCGCTCTACGTCACCGTCGGTAAGTCAACTGACAATGTCGCTGCTCTTCCGATGCTTCTCATGTTTGGTATGTCGGTAATACTTCTACGAAAAAATACTTTGATATGTGAATTTTCGCCGATCACCGATTCATGCATGATTTTATGTAAAAGCTGACATCGCTCGTTACGTTTGTTTCTCCTAAGAAATGGTGAAGTTTGCCGGCACGCGGTTCCTCGAGTGGGACGAAGAGCTGGAGTACGAGGGAATCCGACCAAAGGCCAACACGTCAGACCTGAACGAGGAGCTCGGACAGGTTAGTGCCGGCGACGCTGCATCAATAGAACAACTGACATCGACAACTTTTTCATAAATCATCATAGACAAGTATGTTTTCTAATCCTACCAAGCCCCGGCCTGTTTTGAACTCTAGTCTGCCCCACAGGTGGAGCACCTATTCTCGGCCACTCTGACCTCTGACACCCCTCCCACAGGTGGAGTACCTTTTCTCAGACAAGACGGGTACGCTGACGGAAAACGTGATGCAGTTCCACCACTGTTCGGTGGCCGGACTCAACTACAAGGAGGTGAACGGCGAGCTCCAGCTGCACGATTCTCGCAGACGGGGCCAGGCCGCACTCCAGAGGATCTCACCCGAAATGAGGGTGAGAAACGATCGGCAGATATGAAAATGTCAAAACATCGTTTTGTTTACACCACTAGCTATTTATATTTTCCTTGTTTCTGAGATTTTCCTTTTTTCGCGATAAAATTGCGAGTTACTACCACACCCTTTTACAATTTCGGTCCAATGAAACGAGCTCTAACCCTTCCTAAAATTGCCGTTTCTGCGTTACAGATGGCGGAGCTGGACGGCTTTCTGACGGCGCTGGCGCTGTGTCACACCGTCCAGGTGACTGAGGCCACCGCAGACGACCTGCTGCCCAGATACCAGGCCAGCAGCCCCGACGAAAAGGCGCTGGTCGAGGCGTGCAGCAGGTCAGTGACCGAAACCAGGTCAGATCAAATGGAGGTAGACCCGACCAGTATTAATTACATATAGAAGAGCTTCAAGACGATACAGGGATTGTACCATACCGTACTCTACCTTACTTACTATTCAGAAGGAATACCTGATGGCTGATAACATGATTTTTAAAAGAAATTCTTTTTAAAAAAGGAATGAGAAGACCAGGAAATACGAAACATCCACTAAACATTTTCCGATGTCAACAAATGGCTACGAAGGTCAGCCTTATTTATCGAGTCAAACGCCCGTCGGTCACTGACATCTCGGAGTGTGGAGTGTCTCGAACCGTTAACGTTTCGACAACTGTCAACATCGTTAGCCCTGTTGACGGCCGTGCAACTGTTGACCAAGGTGCTACTGTTGACTGTCTGTCAGCAAGTGTTCCGGGCTGACTGGATGGCGTCTTAATTGGCCGAGTGCTGTGTGGCTGTCAGCGTTCCTTTTGCACGCCGTTGTCCACCCAGAACGACGTCATCCAGGATGGCAAACACGCTATGAGAAGAGGCTGCGCGTTCGTAACACGCCTGTTGCAGTTACGGATTTGAAAGTTCCATTTACCATGGTCCACGTTGCCTTGCTCTTACCGTGCTGCCTATTCCAGGTTCGGCGTCGTGTTCGGCGGCATCACGGACGACATTTGCAAGGTCACAGTGAAGGGAGAGGTCAAATACTACAAACGGCTTCACGTCCTGGAATTCGACTCCGGTGAGTTATGGCGGGCATTGGTCATCTTGCGAGAACGACAAGGTTTTATTGGCTTCTTAGAAAAAGGATTAGGAAACTCGAAACGCAGCATTCGAAAGGCACAAGTGTGATTTGCCTAGCATCTGATGGAGGGTGAAAACCTGTAGAATTTTTAAGTCCAATCACATATTGGCTACGAAAAGAACATCCGCACTGACCCGTCAATTTGGAAGCCAGTTTGGTAATATAGCAATCATGCCAGTCAGAAGACATAATCCCGACAACCAGTTCTTCCATCGACAAGTCCGTCGTCAATCCTCAGCAGTTGTGTTCAGCTCGTCAGCTCCTCGCCGCTGGGGCCTCCTGCAGTGCACCGTACTCGCGTGGGCGGGGCAAGGCCATCCAATTCACCGCGGTGGTGGTGGACCATCCCCGTCAGTCGCGTTAGGTTCCTCTCCGTGAGGCAGACTCCAGGCACGAGTGGCGTGGGCGGTCCCGGCGAGCCCGCAGCCAGTGCACTGTCGGGAGGGGGTGGGGAGTGGGCCCCTGGCCTTGGACACTCAACAGTCAACATACTGCGGTATTCAGCGAGACTTTAGCTGAGCTACACAATCAGAGGGGAAATCCCACTCGAGAGTCCCGGCCCATGTGTTTTTCACTTCTACGTGCCGGACAGATTACAGCTGTAAACGGACTTGGTCGGCAAAATTCATAAAATGCTGCTCACGCGGTGGTTAATTCTGTTTCTCCTGCTGCGTTGTTCCCTCGACGTTTCAAGGCCAAACACTCGTTCATGTATTTATTTATTTATTTATTTATTTATTTATTTATTGAACGTCTTTGGACCATCCACAGGAGCCGTGGCTATTCTCAGTCCAGTGTCACAATCGTTGAACAGTAGTAAAAGTGGGTAAAAAGGTACATGCATTCACATACACACATAAAACGCATAATAAAAGAAAAAGAGAAACATCACAGCGCAAGTTACAAGGTTCACAATGAGCAATGCAGCGCCGCTGAAGGGCAGAGCTGTCACTGTGGGAGGCCACGCTGCGCCTTATCATTCACGAATGGCGCGTCGCAGCCTTTGAGCGTTACGTTTGTTGCACCGTAGTAGTATTATGGTAGTATTAACTACGCCGTAGAATTTGCCGCAGTGGGAGAGTAGGTTCACGTTATGACTGAGGCCCGAGAGTACTACGCAGCAATGCCGGCACAGCCGAGCGATATGTTTACTGAGCGCGAGACTGCAGGCGCGATAATCGGCCATGAACGATGGTAACGGGATGGGAACAGCCAATCGCTGCACTTGGAGGAGCATTGCGAGATAAAATAGCCTACAATCAACATATTCGAAGTTATATCTAGAAAGGTTATTATTGTACTGCAGAATTCCCTCGGATATTTACAGACGGTTGATATGCGACCTTGCAGCTCAGCCACGCTCGAGACCCGAGAACCCGGTGGGTTGAAAGCCTTGGTGTGATCGCTTGGTCACGCATGGCCAGCCGGCTGTAACTGCCGACAGTGACATATTTTATATTTGATTGCTTTCGACCCGCACGGCTTGCAAGCGGCAAAATAATACGACACGTATCGGTTAACCCTATTAGTGGCAGGCTCCTGGCTACCCCCTATTAGTGGCAGGGGGGGGGGGGCTGTTTACGACCCCCCCTTGATATCTCGAGATCTAACGGGCCGATTTTCAAAATTCAAACGGCATTCGATTTCGCTCAACGAGATCTACATTTCTAAAAAAAATAAAATTGAAAAATGTCAATAGGGGGATAGAGGGGGGTAAAAACGGGCAAATTGCAGATACATTTTAGACTGTTTATCACGGCCAGGTTTCTGAACCAATCTTAACGCAACTTTTGCCGATCGATAGAGAATGAACCAGGAATTTACATGGATCCTAAAAATATGCATTTTCAAAAATCATAGGCGGATACAGATCATTGAGATTGGGGGTACACAAAAAAGTATAGTAAATAAGGTTTTTGTTGGTACTGTTTCTAAAAAGGGTGGCAATGGTCTTGTTATGTTACAATTTTCTTATGAGAGAACGACTAAAATTGTATTGGTCATGCATAGGCGGTGTCAGGGCACCTATGTTGGGAGGTAAAAAATAACCCCCCTTTTTGGACGCCTGGATCCGCCTATTATAGCAAAAACGTCAAAAGAGGATGCACAATAACTTTGTATATGTTATCACATGATACCTTTCATTCACTGTTCGTAAAACTGGTGCAGCATCGTGATCTTCGCCCAAATGACTCGCTTCACGAATAGGACCCCCCATTCCCAGTGCTCTGGAGCCGCCCCTGGTAAAGTTATGAACTTGAAATTTTCAGGGAATGTGCCCAATTTAGTTTTAGGAAAAGTCAGAAAATTTCAGCATCGTAGCTTCAGCGGTTTCGGAGATATTCCCGAAAAACCTGAGGGGTGGATAAAAACAACCCCCCCTGCCACTAATAGGGTTAATGTTCGATACCAACCGCCATAAAGAGCGTACAATTTTAGCTTTTTGAAATTCTTAATGCCTGTTTTTATAAAGCCTGTTTTTTTGTAACACCGTTCACTTGAAATATGATTCAATGAAAGTATATGGCGAAGTACTTGTATGAACAGCATTATGACATATATATGTTTTTAAATATAACCTTATGTTCAATGATTGCGAAATGCAAAAGGTTCCAAAATTAATTACAAAATGAATATATTTCGGACACTGTCCTTCTTCAGTTCAATTTGCAATTCTGAACTGAAGAAGGACAGTGTCCGAAATATATTCATTTTGTAATGAATTTTGGAACCTTTTGCATTTCGCAATCATTGAACATAAGGTTATATTAAAAACATATATATGATTCAATGAAAGTTGAGACATGACGAATTTTCAAAGCGCGATCTGTAAATATATCACGATATCGTTCTCACAGTACGATTCCTCACGTTGCAACGTTACCACCCGTCACTGACAGATCGGAAGCGGATGTCTGTGATCGTTGAGGATGCCCAGGGCCGTGTGATGCTGCTCTGTAAGGGCGCCGACAGCACGGTACTCGCGCAGTGCGTGGAGGGCGACAAAGAACGAACCGTGGAGCACGTCAACTACTACGCTATGGTGGGTGTATAACGGGACGAGCGTCATCCATTATTACGGGGGTTCGTTTAAATGAGGCAATGGGCAAGGCTGTAGCAATAGGTGCAATGAAATGATTTTTGGGAATTCGAATACGAGCTTGCAAAGAGATAGAGATGATCAAACGGGCAACCAAAAGATGATAAAACGGCGTCATAAACGTTTTGTAGACACACTAGACTCATAGATGCCGGTACCTACTGGCGAACTCGTTGACCTAATTGTTTCGTCAATTGTGCATTCGATTGTTTCCGTACATAAATGCTGAACGCGTGCCACAAACGCTGAACGTCATGCCATGCAGCATTTGACATGTATCCATCCACCCACAGCTGGGTTTGCGGACACTGGTGTTTGCCTGGCGCGAGCTCACCAAGGTCCAGCTGGACGAATTCTCCCTGAAACTGAACCAGGCCAGATCATCCATGAATCGACGGGAGGAGAAAGTCAGGGTAAGGGACCAACTGCAACTATGCAGTCGAGGGATGTAGTTCGTAACTTGTCCGCCAGAGTCTCTGAGCTCGGCAGGTAGTTCACAGTTCCGTCACCAGGTAGCGTTTTGCCGAGAAACTTACTGAGTTCAGGCGACGGAACAATATCCAAACAGCCAACGAGGAGTTCAATAGGGCGTGTCATTCCAATTCACAATTGATAGTATCTGTTCATTCTCGCCGTCATCAGCTGTTCACTGTCGTTTTTGTCAGCTGCTGACGGCTTCCTCTGTGTGTACTGTCCAGGTGGTGGTGTCTGAGATAGAGTCGGAGATGGAGCTCCTCGGCGCCACGGGAGTCGAGGACAAACTCCAGGAGGGCGTGCCAGCCACGCTGGAGATCATGAGGGCGGCAGGAATCAAGGTCAGACCCCGAAATCTTACCGATAGATCGTGCAAAATATTCAAATAATTCTGCAATTCTGCGTAAACTGATATTGCTTAGTCATGGCATCTACATACATGACATTCACGGATCACGTGATGTTCTTCCATGTCCGCCCTCTACCACCGCCGCTGACCCCTGGTACATCACGTGACCGGCAGATCTGGGTTCTGACCGGGGACAAGGTGGAGACGGCGGTTAACATTGCCACCTCGTGCGGCCACTTTAAGCGCGGTACCACCATGCTGCGGGTGGTCCGATTCCGCTCCCTGCCTGAGCTCCGACAGACGCTGGCCGAGCACGAGTGAGTCACGGAGGGAGAGGCTGAAGTAACACATTGGTGTCATATTGTGATTTCGGTGGCTGATATGGTCCTGGGGCTGGAGATAATGGGATCAATTTTTGAGAGGCGGGTTTTAGTACGCTCAGCTGTCCGACTCTGACCTCTCCCATCGCTAACCATCGCTCCTCCCTCCAGCCTGCGGACCGGTCAGGAGATACACGGTAACTTCGGCCTGGTGCTGGACGGCGAGAGCCTTACGCTGGCTCTTCACTCCCGGGACACCCGCCACCAGCTTCTGGATGTCGCCACCAGATGTCAGGCGGTCGTCTGCTGCCGAATGTCGCCCATGCAAAAGGCAGAGGTAAAGAACAACGCAAAAAGTGAAAATTTGGTAATAATTGTACTATACCTATCTACTGTGTCCTAAACACCGAATTCAAAAAAAAAATTATTATGCTTTATTTTAATCTGAATCAATTTCTTCAACGCTTAGTAAGTACCTACATACGTATGTACACACATATAACTTATAAGGCCGTCTCAGCCTGGAGCAAACGCCTGAAGGTAGGCTGTCCCGCACACCCTACATCACTGCTCATAGATGGCATTAGTAGTGAACGCCTGAAGTTAGACTGTCACGCATATCTTACATCGCTGCTCATAGATGACGCGAGTAATCAGCGCCTGAAGGTAGGCTGTCCCGCATACCTTTCATTGCTGCTCATAGATGGCGCTGGTACTTAGCGCCTGGAGTTAGACTGTCCCGCAGACCTTACACCGCTGCTGATAGATGGCGGTAGTAGTGAGCGCCTGAAGGTAGACTGTACCGGAAAGCCTACCATTTCCTCACCGCCAACTCCGACCGCGCGATATGAAAGATGTTTGAATGTCGTAAGTTTTGAATACCGTAAGTAAGACTTAATCCATCGATTCTCATTTGCGAACATGCATATTGCACATCAAATTTCACAGCTTTCAAGGAGTTGTTGCATTTTATTGCCTTCATACAAATTAATTTGCAAATCTTTTTGTAATATACTTCCTCTCGACTCCAAGTTGTCCTTCTGACTGAAATTATCTGCTTTTTATCGTTAGATGGTGAAACTGGTCAAGTACTCCAAGGAGCGTCCGATCACGGCCGCTATTGGGGATGGAGCCAACGACGTCTCCATGATCCAGGAAGCGCACGTCGGCTTCGGTGAGCTGCCCTTTGACAAACAAGTGACCGTATTACTACATAGTGTCCGACCTGCCAGTGGAGTGGACAGTGTCGGTAGAACGTAGATCATGGTAAATTATTTTTAATCATTTGACGGTGATCGACCGGGTCTCACTCCTTTCCGTTGTTATTGCAAATGTCGGCAGAACTGCGCTGTAAAATGTAAGATTGTGATAGCTCAGATACTTCGAATTCATTCCATTGTTCTGTCTCTATACGTGGTTGACCTATGGCAGTCGTATAACAGGATCCAGCAGCTTCCTGGGCTCTTAGCCTTGCTCTGGTATCTGAGCGGCAGTTTCTCGTCGCCCGCAGGACTGGTGGGTCGGGAGGGTCGTCAGGCGGCGCGCTGCTCAGACTTCTCCTTCGGCCGGTTCCGGTTCCTGAGCCGCATTCTGCTGGTTCACGGCCACTGGTACTACGTGCGACTGGCCAACCTGGTGCAGTACTCCTTCTACAAAAACGTCGCCTTCATCACACCACAGCTGTTCTTCGCATTCAGCAACTACTTCTCCACCACGGTGAGCTAGAAAATGACGCGATCCAGGCTTCTTCAATCGTACCCAGAGTGGACGTCCGCAATGCGTGGAAAGTTTTACCAGCTCTCTGTCTTGTTTACTTACCTAGTGATGTTCCCTCCGTTCCAGAGTCTCTACGACAGCCTGTTCCTCACCTTCTACAACGTGTTCTACACCGCCGCCCTGCCGCTGGCCTACGGAATTCTCGAGCAGGACATCCCTGCCGAGACGCTCAGCAAACGGCCCGACATCTACCAGCGCTTCGGGAAAAACGTGCTGCTCGGCTGGGGAGAGTTCGTCAAGTGGACTCTTCTCGGTCAGTATCGATACGGTGTTTAAGTGTTCGGCGTGATGGCTGTGCTTATTTATTTGGCTTTCGTTATTAGCTAGCTAATTATTCCGAATAAACTCGGCATCATTTTACCCATAAATTTCATCGCATATAAATTGATCACGAAATGTATCTGGAGTGATCAGCTATTTCGAAGCCGGCGCTTTACACGTTCACATCAATGACCAATCTCTTTGTGACGACGTTCGGACCTCTGAAGACCGCTCGGCTCCCCACAGGTCTTTGGCACGCCAGTGTGCCCTATTTCCTGGTATGGTACACCTGGCGAGCCGACCCCATCATGGTCGAGTCCGGTCGCATGATGGGAGTCTACGCCTTCGGCACGGTCATCTGCCAAATCATCGTCTTCGTCGTCAACCTGAAGGTACCGAACAGAAAGTTATGTCGCGAGAGGATGGAAAGAATGCTGCAATACCAATCAAGAAAAAAAGGAGGCAGTTGGTTATTTTGTCGACTTGAAGACTGTCGACTTGAAATGCTGTTATAGGTACTCGTATGGTGTTCGTTGCGTTGCTTACTTGTTTCCAAGTGTAGCAAAAAAAAAAAAATCTTGCAAAACGTTTTCTCCTTTTTCAGATGATCATCATGAGCAGATACATGACGTGGATTTTCTGGCTTTTCTTCGGCGGAAGCCTCGTGTGCATCTTCCTCACTGCAGTATATTCAATCCTGAGGATGTAAGTAATCCAGCATAAGACGACTCCCGGCAACCGTTTGTCTTTTTAAATACAACTTTGGGCGATGTTTGAAACGGAGAATGTTGGGCCAGGCTCCGTGTGCTTCTGATGTAGTTACTTAGCATTTAGATATTGTCTTGTCCGTCGAGTATTCATGCCACTTCTACCCAGGCGCCGATCAGCACAGCTCTTCCTTTCTCTGAACCCAGTTGACCTCATCTCAGACGAATGACGTTTGCCGTCTGATCATTGGATCTGGCCCTTCTGACTTCTTCTACTCTCTCTCCCTCTGCTCGGCAGTCCGATTCTGGACAACAGCACCATGTTGGGCGTGTACGAGATGGTGGCCAGCTCCCCGGCTCTGTGGCTGCTGCAGCTGCTGCTCGTCACCGTCTGCCTGCTGCCCGACCTCCTGCTGGAGGTGGCGCGCACACACGAGCGAGGCCTGGGGAAGTTCACCGACCGGGTGCGCGTGGCGCTCGGCTTCCACAGCAGCTCGGCGTCCACGCTGCCGGCGTTCACCCGGCGTCCGCTGAGCTCAGCACGGCGAGCGGCGTCCGTGCGCGCGCCGAGAGGGTCGGTGGACCGTCTGCCGCCGCCGTACGAGTACTACGGCACAGCGGGGCCGCCGCCGCCCGCTGACGGGCCAGTGAAGGTGGTGGACTCATCCGTGCGAGGAGCGGTGGAGAACGGCGCGAGCGAGCCGGCGCCGGGGGTGACCAGCCGCACGGACAGGGCCTCAAGGGGGACGACAGCGATCACGGATGTGTCCACGTGACCAAAGATGCTTGTCTGGTGGTGTTACGATTCGACGGGTTCCTGCTGAAAGTTACAGAACGGGTCGGGGAGGAGCACAAGACATGACTTTCACGAGTTCATACATGCGATGCCATACTAGTCCAATACGAAGTTGAGCCGCTGGGGCTCGAGACAAAGTGTAGTGTAGAAATTTGTGCCAGTTTCATTTATTGTAAGGCAGTGGCGGCGTGTGCCGACAGTGTTGGTGCCTGTGACGAGCTTAGAGCTCTTGTTCCTTGTCGAGCTCAAACGGTGGCAGTGGATCGTAGACTAGTGACCACATCGATGACTAGTGACTAGTAGTGATGACCAGTGCTCTCTTCAGTCAAACGGACACTGGGGATGGCCGCTAGTGATCTCCGCCGTCCACAAAACTGTTCCCACGGAGTCATGGACTCTTTCCATGTCGGTCGTCAATAATGGTTGTAAGGCGATGGCCTAGTCAGGTGCTTGTGCGCTGTTGCATAGCTTGTATTGCCTATCTTATATATCGGGCATATTTCCGTATCTAAATGTGAAAAGTTCGACGGAACCTTTTCATCGGCGTAACACGATTAATTGTCAGGGGGGGGGGGGGGGCATTGCATGGACGATTCGATATAATGTTTTTACCTCATTGATTTTTACGCCTTTGTTCGGATTCATTTCCCGCATAATAGGTTATCAATAATTTCAAATAATATTCTGAACGCTAGAGCCCACTAATTTGTGAAATTACAGATGAGGAGCTTCGTGGAAAAAAGAATCCAACCTACTTTTATTCATGGCCGTCGTTTTGCTTGTATGCGCGAACTTAAAAAGTGTGTCTTCTTTATTGTACTGTACGAGTGGCGGGACATACTCGTGCATGCTTTTATGTATGCTTGTATGCTTTTATCGCCTTTTAAGTGACGACTCCCTGTCGCTTAGTTAATTCTGTGAAGAGCTTACGCACTGAGACTTTCTGCTAAGCAGAAGTATGTGAGCACTATGCCGGTATTTATGTTTTATGGGAGCTTGCGTGCTGTTCTGTCCAATGTGTCAGCTCATGTGACACTGTGCGAGTATCTACGTACACCAGGGACCACATGCGACGTGTCAGCGTTTAATGAAGTCTGTTTGAGCGGTTCGAATGCGTCGTCTTGAGTGACGTGATCGTGATACTGCCTTCTTTTAGCTAGCGCCTATTTCTCTGCCGAATCAATGGAGGAAAAACTTACGTAAGGAATGAACGGGAAGATCAAAACGTTCGAACGTTACTTTTAACGCGTCCGACGACACTGAGATGAACCCATTTAGTAGCTGCCATACTGCAAAATGATAAGCTTATCTAAGCTTCCAAGTTATAATAATTAGCCTTAATTAATTCCCGCCGCACTGGTCGGCCAGAACTTATTACGATCCCGTGGGCCCATGCTCTGTGCTCCTTGAGCTCACTGTCACTGCGCGCTATGTCGCACCATTTTTACCAGCGCGGGATGCACGCTGTACTGTGATAATATGCCTGATGTGTCCTGGATGGGAGCGAAGGTCGATGTCTGCATTGTTCTGTGTGTTCACCTCGTCAGATCGAGAGTGGGTGTGTGGGTGCTGGTGCGTTTGATCGTGCTGTGTTTTTGAGCGTTATAATGGCTCGTCCGGGATCAACCGACTGCCATATGACCAGACTGTCAATTCAGTAATTTTGGTTTACGGAGTCCTTATCATCAAGCCTTCGTAACATCTTTAACCCGCGAGTTGCTGGGGGGGGGGGGCGTTAAACGCCCCCACTTTTTTCGCCGGGCCATAGCATAAAAATGGCGCGCCGCAGGCGCGCCAAATTTTGGGTACCTGTAGGGAATTGATTGAAGTTTATTGTGACAAAGTTTCAAAAAAATCTGTCGGAAAATTTTTGAGATATCGAGGTTTTAGTGACGTCATGATTTCTGAGTTTTCGACCAAAAACGGCATATGTTCAAAAAATCATATAAAATCACAGAATAGAGATACAGACATGCCGTAAACGCCATTAGAATGCCAATACCATGAACAATCAAATGGCTATCTTCGATTATTGATTATCGTTCCGCATTTTCCAAAATCTTGAACTGAATCTTGACAATTTCTCGTGACTACTTCACGACCATGATACATGAAATTCTTAAATTGAGCTTTTTGAGCCAAACACGTACACATATGATAAAATGAATGTCACCATCGTGTTCTACGGCCCAAATTACCCACAAAACATGTGTCATAGGCTGCAAATAACAGTTTTGATTTTCGGGGATATGTGCCTACCCGGTTGACCTGACCTTGACCCTGACCTATGCTTGACTGACCCCTACATGAAACTGACACTCTTGTAGGCCTTATATGATGGATTGTGCACCGTTTTGACAGAGTTTCTGACGAGAGGCGCCCATTGCGAAGTCCTGAAGTCCATGCTACTGAAAGCCAGATTTCAGGTGTTTGACCTGACCTTGACCCGACCTGTGACCTCAAAACTCAACTTTAAAGTACTCATCTGTAGCGTCTCGTCGCGTTCTTTCGTTTGCCGCCTCGTGCGTTTCGCTGCGCCTATTGGTTCTCGAGCTATCGGCTGGGGGCGTTTAACGCCCCCCCCCCCCCCAGCAAACGGTGGGTGGCGAAATACCCCAGCAACTGCCGGGTTAACATGTTTCTAGGTGATTCTTTATCGGAGTGATTTTGACAAATAGTGTAAGTGGTTTTGTTTATGTGGTAACAATAAAACTGATACGACGTCTTCTATGGCATAAATGTATCGGTTAGCACTAAAATGTTCCATATAGGAACAATACATATATAGCATATAACACACGCCTGCTATCTCCTCGCCGTATTCGAGTTTTGTCAGCATCTAACTATGGAGGGGAGGGGTCCGTGGCCTTGCCGCTCGGCCCCTGATCGAGCTAAAGCTTCGCAGAAAAAAACGAGCGTGCTTCCCGTGACGAGAGGAAGCCCATGCCACCCAATTTTACGGTCCTACGTCATTGGTTGACCTTCCAGGTCAGGTCAATGACCCAAAAATCGGAAAAAGCGGGACGTGTTAGAACTTGGTAAGGTTGCCACAGGGGTTTTCGAGATGCTGATCACCAATTTCATGTCAGTTTTGATCACAGATTAATGATGATATCTTCATGCATTTAGGCCAGTTCGGGCCAGATCAGGTCAAGTCAACCAGTACCTAGGCGTCCTGTTTTGTCTGTTTTGTTGGGTTAGACTCTTCCGGTCTAATGAGACCATTTCAGTGCGGAGTGCCGCGGGATGATAGGGGGAAACTTTGGAGACTATCCATTTTTTTGTTGGGTTCGGCTTTTCGGTCAAATGAGACCATTTCAGAGCCGGAAGGATGATATGAATTAGGGGGAGATATTTATTGGTCCGGTCGGGCACGGCAACCCTAGTGAGTCGTTGGGACTCGGGGCTGAGTCCATCCAATGGGCAGGCCACCCAGCCCCCATAACACTCCCTGCACCCGGCTAATAGACTTGCTCCCATGAGAGCTTCCCTCATGAGATAAAGTTGCTCGTCAAGCCCGGAACAGGGGATGGGTCTGTGACCTGACTTCAGAGGTCGTCACTCACCACTTGACCCGATTAAGCTGGGTACAGTACATACTACATTGACATAGGCCATGGTTGCATCTCGTGGCATTCCTTTTTCCCCCGAGCCGCGAGGCACTGGCTTTACTGGGTCGCAGAAGCAACGGGGGTCGTATATGTAGGTATCCGCCCAACACGGCAGGCAAATTTGTAGATAAGTCGGTTGGTCCGACGTGAATTAATTGCTACGGTCAATAGCAATTAACATTGCACATTGTTCTAGCCCTGCCAGCTAACAGGCAAGCTTGCTAACAATAACATACCTGTAGGTAGACGGTAGACCTCCAAGGTATTAGCCGACCTCCAATAGGACTGCTCTCAGAGTCAGGTCATGAGTCAAGTTCCCTGTGCAGTGTGCACTTCCAGCTTCTGCACTCTACACTTGCAGATTGCTGTGCAGACTGCAGGCGCACGGGATCCAATTGTGCACAAGGCCAAGGCCGTTTAAGTTCACAAGGCTGTATAGGTGCACTAGTGTCCGGCTCGGCTCTGGCCGGCTCTGGCCGCTAGTGACATCTAGAAGAATCATTTTGAAGTTATTTTCACTACAAACAAAAATTTTAAATCTGGTAGCACAGAAGTGCAAAGGGCGGAGAGATGCGGCAAAACATACGAGAAACCTACGAAAAGTGGCGCATTGGCCGTAATGTTTATGTGTTTGTTAGTGGGCGTGGAGGTGTGTCGCGTAATCGTTCGAGTTTTAGGGCCTTGGTAACAACTGGATTTCCATTACGTCATGGGTGATGATGTCACACCACGGGTGACGTTTCACTGCTGCTGCTGCTGTCCACGGACGGCAGCGTTTGTGAGTGGAAAACAGTAGCAACATTGTAAATGAAGGCAGTATTGGCGCTTATGCTGCATATGAAATTTATAACAACATGTTGATATCAATATTAGTGAATGTTTATTTTTGTTACTTTTCATAAACCCTCCATTTCAGGGTCTGCATGCAAAATTTCTGTTATTTTAGGGTCAAGCTATTGTACTAAGGGATTTATTTTGGCAATTAAGTCATTTGTTAGGTTGTAAGGCTTCATAAACTTTTAGTTGAGGTTGGTATCCACTATCCAGTTGCAGCTATAATTGTGTCATATTTTGTATCATTTTCTGAACATGTAAACACCTACCTATATGAATTCAAATATTGTGATTGTAGAAAAGCAGTTACCCTCACATTGCAGCGGGGATTAGAACAATTAACCACACTTGTTATACAAAAAGCCTGTTTGCCATCAATTTTGGGAATTCAAATTGGGTATTGGTAAGGTAGATGTAGCACAAGCTGCCCGATGCACGAGAATGGGTCTTTCTAACCAAACCTTACCTAACCTGACCTACAACCTACAGCCTTAAACCTAAAATTTACAACCTACGACCTAGTCCTACGGTATGGCATATCACAACAGCTTGTGCTACGTCTGCTACCATGACCCAACTTTGTGCCAATTCATACCAACTTGGGATGACAGTCACTGCAGATGTGTGCTGACCATGCAGGTCTTTGTTACAATTGCAATTCTATTGTGTTACAGGTTCAGCATTCTACAGCTGCGACCCGCCATGGCTGGGCCACCGCGGCGGCATCACCTTCAGGGTGGACCTGCCCATGGCCACCCGCCGGTCGGACCCGCCTGCAGTCTGCAGGGAAGCTGCCCTGCGAGCCATTGCAGAGCTCCCGCACCCGGACGTCACTATCTGGTCGGACGGCTCGGCTCGCGGCGGACGGAACAGGGCGGCGCAGGCGCTGATCCAGTTCCACCACCTCAACAGAGAAGAGACCGTGCGCGCTCCTGCAGGGGCGGTCTGCTCCAGCCTAAGAGCAGAACTGACCGCCATGCGCGAGGCGTTCGCGGCTGTGGCCGGCCTGGAGGACGGGGAGTTGGCATCGACCAAGTCGGTCCGCCTCCTCACCTCACCGACTCAAGGTCTGGGCTCCAACTACTCGGCCGCGGCCCAGCTAACTAGACCATGGCCCTGGCCGCCGAGGTGTGGAGGCTGCTGAGTGCTGAGCACCCTCGCCGAGAACGGCACCGAGACGGTGCTCCAGTGGGTGCCAGGCTATGCCGGGCTGGACGGCAACGAAACCGCCGACCGCCTGGCTGGCGAGGCCACGGCGGGCGACCAAGACAGCGCACCGATCGACCTGTCGAGTGCGCGGGCCGCCGTCATGCGCCATGTCCGGGAGCTGTCGCGACAGAGGGCAACCGCTGCCCACCCGCACCCGGACCCCACGCCTGGTCACGACTCCCTGGCGCGCTGGGGGTCGGTGACGCTGTCCCAGCTGAGGACCGGCACATCACCGCTGACCCGTGATACGCTCCACAAGATTGGCCCGGAAGTCGACGACGAATGCCCCGCGTGCGGGGAGCCCGACAGCGCGGCGCACCTACTGACCGATTGTCCGGCCTATGAGGCGGCCCGCCGCCGCCGCTGGGGTGTCGACCCTCGCCTGGTCGACGTCCTCGGCGGCCCGGCGACGAAGGTCGTCACCTTCATCGAGGATGTTGGGCGGACCGAGCCGCCGC